ATAATTCCGCCTTGAACGTAACCGTAATTATCATCCGACGACTGCCCCCACGGCGGAGGATATAAACAGTAATCCACTGAGTCAGAGAACACGAACTCGTTCCCAAACTTAGCCGAGTCGACGTCGTAACTCGCTCCGAGACATGGGAGCTCCACAATCTCACCGAGCTCCTCCGACTCAGTCCTCGAGAGGTCCATCACCAACACGAGGGACTCAAGCGAAGAAGTAGAAGACGAAGAAGACGATGAAGAAGACGTAAACGACGTCGTTGGCTCCATGTGTGCTGCTTTGAGAGCGGCTGTCTGAATGTCTCGAGGGCTTAGCGACACGGGTCGAGGGAATGACTCAGCGAGTTCAGGGAAGTTCAGTATAGCGGAAGTTCCTTTAATGCTCAAAGCCGCCACGTCGTGTGCACGCGCCGCCATCTCTGGCGTCGGAAAAGTTCCGAGCCAAATACGAGATTTCTTCCTCGGCTCACGAATCTCCGAAACCCATTTTCCCCAATTCCTCATCCTCACACCGCGATAAACCGGGTGCTTACCGGAATCTCTAACACGTTTCGTCTTCTTTAAATCCTCGTTTTGCTCTGCTTTGCTCTCGTGACTCACTGAGTCAGACGCCGAGTTGGATAGCTGAGTTACTCTCTCCGAGCGAAGGCTGTAGTACTCCTCCGCGGACGTACTCTCTAAAGCTGATGCAACCATTGTGTTACACGGATATAGTATAATATTCAAACAGTCTCTTATTCTGCTTGTTTTATGATTCGGATCCCGAGATTTATGCAAGTAAAGGAAAGAGCCTCAGTGAGAAAAATAAAGTTTTGAGAACTATTCAAAATAAGGGAAAAAAACAGGGGCAGTGAAGTGATGAAGAAATGAGAGAGAAACTTTGATATGCGAGAAGAAGAAGAAATGTTGGTATAATTTTGTCTATCATTTTTTCTCAGACACTCAAAATATTTATATGCATTAATATTTTGGGTACGAGTTAGAAGAGAGGGAGGGGAATGGGACCAAAACAATGCAATAAGTCGATTGAATAAAGGAAATGGACCCAATCTCGCTCTATTTAATTTGTTTTTTATTGACCCACTCTATTTTTTTTTAATATATAAATATATTATATTAGTATAAAACGACACACTTGGAGTCACTGTTTGCTTTGATATCCTTCGCGTTCTTAAATTCTTATTATGCACCTACATTTGAAAAAAAAAAGTATTAAAAAAAAAAATACGAGATGGCCATTTGCAGAATCAGTATTGAAGTATCTAACAACTTTTTCCGGCTGGGTACGTCTATTTTATGAAATTTGTCTCCGTAACATGGTGAGACAAGCTTTTTATTTGTGTGATAAGGAAAATTTCACCTAAGTTTTACTGTTTCATCATCTTTTACCCTGATCTTCGACTCAATGGATCATGGTTTCATTGACAAGAGCAATAATATAATATATTTGCATATGCATTCTCATGTGAAGCTAATCGATGTATCCAAATATATGATATGCCATGATTCGGATTTTCTGTTGATCAAAATTAACTAATTATTTAATTATTTCTTGTCTTTTAGATATTGGTTTTTGATAAACACATGTATCTATAGTTTCATGGAATTACGATAATAATAATTAAAAGTTATCTCTGTTAATAATAGTTAAAAGTTATTTCGAGATCACCGATAAAAGTCATAATTTCGAAGTAAGTTCATATATTACATAATATAAGATAGGTAAAATAATATGTAAAGAACATGAACTAATTATATAATCATTATTATCATTTACTTTTAAATTAGAAATCTATAAACTTCGCATCAAACTGTGTGATTAATTGTACTGATTTCATTTGAGAAAATACGACCAATACCAATTAATAAAGATTTGACTAGCTTAGGTAGTATAACTAGAAAGAACTTCTAACGCATATAAAATGATAACTAGACATCTATTGATCCTAGTATAAGAAAATATATGGAGGGTAAGTTCCATAAAAAAAAATTCACCAGCCAATGCAGATTAGGTTAAAGATGTTCCAAGCGCACAAACAGACAAAGAAGTACATTTTGGTGTAATAATACAGATAAAGAAAAGTAATATGTAGAGAGAAACTTCAAGAAAATTTTAAGGGACATCAATTTGTTCAATCATGGGACCGTATTTGCGTACCTATAAGGACGGGTTTCTATCGAACACATACAATATTATAAGTGACCTAAAGTCTTCTAATAGTAATAATTTTGTCTTTTTATATTCACAGATAATATTAGCAATTGAGTACTTGCGATGAACGACGCTGTTCGTTCCTTTGCCTCTAGTTTCAGCATAATAATTTTCATTATATATTTGGTTATTTACAATTACTAATCTCCCTCAATGTCAAAAAACAATTAACGATAATACATATTCGAAGGTTTACTGAAATTCTTTAAGAAAATTCATAAATTACAAGCTTGAAATACAAAACTAATCGACAATAATTATAATGATTTCTATGTCTTTTATATATGCTAAAACACGTTGTATACGTGGGACTTTAAGAAATCCATTCGATACGAGGATGAAACTGCAACATCATCTTGGAAATACTTACTACAAGATGATAACAAGGGATGAATCAGTCCGACTAAAAAGACATTTGTTTAGTAAGGAGTAAATTAATTAATTAATTCATGTCTTTTAATTTATATTATATGTTAGAACATATCGCATTAGCTACGAGGGATTTTAACAAAAATAAATGTTTGTATGACATACTGCATATCAAAATTTAGCAATGTGCATGGTAACTGGTAACTGGTATGTGCCAAGCTTTTAATTATGTTATTTGCTTCCTTATCACCTTAATTAAGGTCATTCAAGCTTCTCTTTTCTCATTTCAGAATTTCTTCTGTAGTTATGAATGGAGGAGACCTTCTCAATAAATGAAAACGGACCCACTTACAAATAAAGGGAAAAAAACAATTTTACGAGTGTTTATTTTTTTGGCTCAATTTTATGTGTGTTTATTTAGGCAGACAAAACCAAATATCAATATCTTCCAAATATGGTTTTATGGGCATACGACAGATACTGTAAAGTCTAAATTTTTAAAAAGGGTCTAAAATCAGCCTTTTGGAAAAAGACCTTTTTTATAGAGGAGGGGGAGACATTTTCTTGCTTTGTGTTCTCCTCATGGGATTACAGATCGTTAACAATAAAGATAGTAATTTTAGGGTCAAATTAAGTTCTTCTCCGAATAAGCCATATATATATATATTTTAAGTTTCAGTTTATATCCTGTGGTGGGCAGTTTATTCCCTACGTACCCAGAGTATGTATGTTCATGTCTATATATCACTATCTTGTGTATGGTTTCATCAGAGCGACAAAAAATTGATCGATAGAGAAAAAAAATAAGGACACGTCGAGGTGTAGGACATTTACATCTTTAACATGTTTTTGCTGCATAGTATATAGTCAACGAAACACGCAAATGGTTGTCGTTTAGACTAAAAATCTTTTATGGGTCTAATTTGGGAGAAATATATATTCATTATATTATATAAACATATCATAAATGTTATATCGGGATCGACAATGCGTGTGCGATCCTTGAATTGACACTATTTACTTTTAAGATTTGTTGATAGATCAGTGTGACTAGTCTTAAAAAGACCGTGAGAGTCTAGGGAATTCATTTTTTCCCGTTAAATCATTTATCAAAAGATTAGACCTTTCGATGTATTAGAGATCATTCTCACTTGCCTTTATGGCTTTTTCTAATCCATACACGTATACAGTTATTAAAATTTGAAATGATGAAAAGTTGGAAACCATAAGATTGTGTAAGAGACAGACAAAAACTACAAAGAAAAACATGATTCTGACTCAAAAGTACAACAGACATCACCAGTCAAAAATCACCATCCCCATTTAATGACCTCTTCTAGTTTTTATTTTACTCCCAATTGTTTTGGCAAACAAAAAAAAAATTATCATTAATATAAAGAAAATATTCAGGGAAAGTGAAGATATTGATAGTGTCTGACTATCACAGCTTCAGTCCTGCTGCTTGTTTGTCACATGCGATTGCCTGGCTAATGATATAACAACACAGTGTCTTTGATCAGTAACGTCCAAATTAACGAGTAGTTTGTAGGCAAAAAGGTTCTGAATTTAATTTGTACACAAAATCTTTGGCCGTGTAATTAGAGTTGATCTGTGCTAATAAGTCATTTAAGCTGAGGGAATATATAATGAAGATTAGGTTGTTTAAAAAGATGTTTAGATAAATATTACGAGTGCATGTCTGGAATTTCATTGTGTATATAGTATTATTAGTTTGGGTTGGAGTTGGACCATATTTTTGATTTGCGTTGAGACTTTGTAGACGTGTTATGGATTCGTGTTTTTAGGGTTTGTACAATGGAGCCTTATCATAGTGTACTAAAGATCGTTTTCTTTGTGACTTGTAAATTGGTTCTTTTGAATTAGAGTTCAATTTTTTTTAACGTTCGTATAATAGATTATGGATGGATGGATTACCGTTGATAGCTCTTCACATTGAGGAAATTCAGCGTAAAGAAAATATTATCTATTTCTATTTCTTGAGATATTAATTTGTTGTTATATGTGTTCTTGTTCTTTCTTTCCACAGATTCGCATAAATACTAAAACAATACAATCAAAGTTAAATCAGCATCTTCTAATGAGCATTTGGAGTCTGCGAGTCTATCAAAATCGTATCAATCTAATAAATCAGATTATTGTAGAGAATTTCTTCTAGTGAAAAAGCTTAGGTTGGAATTTTATTAAAACTGTTGCTTCTACACAAACCGAATTTATTGTATCACGGGCATCCTCAATGGTCCATGAACAATCATTCTGAGGATTCTTACAGCAACAGTCGTTCGTCACTTGTTTGACTAACACGAACTAATAAGTTAAGGTTCTTGATCTCATCCATTATTGAATATTTTTCCCACATAACGAAACGAGTCTTTTTAAAAAATCAGTATAGGTTACACTTTCCTTCTCTTGTGGCTTAAGATGAAGCCATCATCATCGTCATCATCATCAAGGACTTTCTTCTTCTTTCTCGCATCTAAACCGTTATTCTTGGAGGCAGATGATGGTCTTTGAGAACTCTCCGGTTTACTAGAATATGATGGTGTCGGTTTAATCGGTGTTCCCATTCGGATCTGCTTCATCTTTCTTAGCTTTTTCTCATGGGCTCGCTTCGCCTTTTCCGGAGACAACATACCATGTTCCATTAGCCTGCTCCAATGCACAATTCAATATCATGAAAAACAAAGCCTAAGCCATTCAAGTTTTAATTATGCTAAACCGATCCAAGGACCAATATGCTTTAAGTTCATCACAAAGACTTGTAAATAGTATTTATTTTTACCAGAACTCAGCCATTTCGCTCCCTGGTATTTGTTTCGATAATGATTCATAGAATATCCTCAAGGGCTCTCTCTGTAAGATGTAAAAGAGATCGAGAGATTAAGAATCAAGAATTAGAGATGATGACAAAGAGGAGATTCAATAGAGAGAAATCGTTAGAGATGAATAAAAACCTCTTCAGGAGGATCATATTTCTGTCCGGGTAACGAATAAACCTTCTTCTCTCTTTTCACTTTACCTTTCGCCAAGCTCGCTGCAGCAGATGTTGTTGCTGTTGATTTCACCGTATTTACCGCTGTTTTGAGCTTTGCCTTCACAAAAGTTTTGCAGAAAATATATTACATATTCGTTGTATGATCGACCTAGAAACCAAAAATATCCGAAATCACGTCATGAAACAGAATTTCCTAAATGATCCAACCGGATCTATAAATTAATTTCATCTTCAATAGAAAGTTCGATCTACAAGCTAACAAGAATCTTTGCCTTAAACTTAGATCTAACAATTAATTTCAGAGAGCTCAAATCAGAAAACTTCCATACGAAAACACAGAGTTTTTTTTTTTTCCGATTGATACCTCGGATTTGGTCGTGACGGTGGAAACAGCGGATCTGGGTTTGGTATCCGACATGATTGGTCTGATAGAGCTCGTGATCTTCTTCTTGTCCTTATAAGACGGATCGATCTTGACTCTGGAAGCAAGAGAAGAAGATCCATCGCGTGGCTCGCTCTTGACCGAACTGGGTCTCGTTTGTGTCGCCATGAAAAGCTCAGACTTTTTTTATCCTGAAATTCAGCTCAACTGCTGCTTTTGGTGCTCCAAGAAACCGAAACCGATTCCTAGCTAGATAAGAGTTGAAATTTTCCGATCAAGTCTTGCCGCTTTTATGTAATGAAATGGTAAAGATTGAAAAGTTTAACACGAACGATTTGCTGTTACCGTTTTTAACGGTCATTTTATATTTACACGAGTTAATAATTTAGTCTTTTTTCTTTGCTGCTACTCTGCTAGTAATAACTTTTTTACTTAATTGGAGATCTTTTTCTTCTTCTCAATGTCACTTTTATTTTACGGAATATTTTTCTCGATAATTAGAAAACAAAAATTGTATCCCAGGGAAAAAAAAGATAAGTTATTTTATATTTCGTCGTAAAATCTCACGGATTTAATTTCATTAATTAAAGACTTAAAGTAAATCCAACCCTTAAAGCCTATAATCTGGCTAAAAAGATATTATAATTTGGTTAAAACGTTTGAAAGACCCGATTATACCAAACCGAATGGAGAATCATATGGAACATATCGTACCGAACCGGTTCATCATCATGCCACATGAAATGTTTTTGAACCTTTAACACCCTCCTCTGCATCTCAACGTATCTCCTAACCGGAATCGAGATCAGAATCTTCCTCAGATTCGGAATCTCCTTCTCTGGGACAAAAACTGCAAAAGATTGCCAATCCAAAACCTCAAGAAACGGCGGAACAAAGTTATCAGAGATAATCACCGGAACGCAACCGTACAGAACCGCCTCCACCACCCTGGGACTATTCACCTCGTACCCTTTAGCGCAAACGCAGAATCTGCTGCGTTTCATGAACCGAATGTACGATTTGTGATCGATCCGGTTAAAGATCTTCATATCCGGTTCTGGTCTCGACGACCATTGGTTAAGCAAGATGGGTCTGACATAACCGTGCAAGTTACCGGCGAAGAAAGCGAGGATAGTTCGCTTGGAAGGGCGGTTACCTCCAATTTTTCCGTTTGGGCTTTGCGCCGAAGAGATTTTTGTTTCCGGCAAAGAGACGTCTTTTCCGACCACGAAGTCTACTCCGACATCAGCATTACAGAGTGATCTTATGCAGTTCATGTATGGTCCTCTAGTCTCAGCCGGAGCCTAGAAGAAAATTGAACTTACATTAAAGAAACGAAATCACAATGATCATATCAATTAATTAAAATACAAGCAAATATCTTTAGGCCATAAATCACAATGATATTGTTAGCTTGTTAAAACATGTAAAAGCAAACGCAAATGCAAGCAAACATCTTTAGGCCTTAAACCACATACCCAATCATGGCAAGCGGTGAAGAAATGATCGGAGCCACGGGTTCTATTCCAGAAAGGGTAGTTGGAAACGATGAGATCGATGTAATCTCTGAGATATTTAACAAGATTTCTACGACGGTGAGACTCACGAACATAGAGTTTCTGTTGGAGAATCCTTGAACTGAAAGCCAAGTAGAATAGATGAGCTTTGGTGGGATCTTTTGTCAAGAATCTATGGCTACTCTCCATTAGTTTCATAAACCATCCTTCTGACGCGTAAACTCCTTCCATTATCGCCTCAGGCTGATGAAAGATTGGTCTGTCCCCTTCTGAGTAAACGTACACTTTCAGATTCTGTTCCATTAGCTCGTAGCTCCTGCGCTTGATATTAACCATTTAGGATTCTTGTTTGCAATAACCATGATTAGAAAGAAAAAAACATGATAATATATATCCTTATAAGTATTGCTTTACATTTGAGTAAATGTTAAAACCTTTTGAAGATGGATAGGTTGTGGTAGAGAGGCGCGTAAAGGGTATCATCCTTCTTGACAAAAGCTGCGTTCTTGATCTGGTTTCTTGCAGTTTCAAGCTCTTTGTCCACTTTTGATCCCCAACGAGGTGCCTATGAACATGAGAAAAAAGTGAGCAAATGGAATTAGAGAGTTGAGTAATCAGAAATTGGAACTTATGGTAAACCCAATTGCATACAAGTGAATTATGTGGATCACTATGCCGCTTCAATATCATGTTGTTCATCTGGGTTATTGATATGACAACTAAAGGTGGCTTTTTTGTGCTCCTCTCATGATGTTTCTTGTTGCTTTGAGGAATCTTGGGTGGAAGAGAAGGCAGAGAACTTGCGGTTGCATTGCCTCTGCTTTGTCCAGAAGCTTTGGGAGAGTCATTCACAAACTTGTGCTCAAAACTCTTCAAATCCTCCGCAGTGTCATTACGCGGTCTAAACCCAGAGGATGCCTCTGGAGATGCAAGAAACGTTTCGTTTTCAGCACTTTTGTTGACATCGTTGGGTTCTCTGGCCTTAGTAACGGTGCCGTTATTAGGTGAAACAATAGAAAATGGAGTGAGCTCGAAATACTGAAGGCCTAAAACAACGGTGAAGACCAGGACCATAAGAAGAACAACTCTACAGGTTTCTACTTGGCCTAGAAACCGGAAAACTCGAGTTTGATCCATCACAACCTGACAAATTGATTAGCTAAGATTTCTATTGAACTAAACCGACCTCATCAAAATCCAAATCTAAAGACATGCACCAACCTTAAGTGACAAGCAATTTAGGCTAAAAAAATTTATGTACTGGCTCACGAGAATTGTTTCAGAAACAGACCTTTATCACTTAAAAGGAGACGAAGATTAGAGGTTGAAACGTTTGTCAGACGGACCTGAGCGTTTCTTTGGAGTTTCTTGGAGTGATCATCATCAAAAAATCAGACAAATTATTAACAAGCAAAGAGACAAGGCAAGAGAATCGATGGCTTTTAATTTTGTTCTATTGACTAATCAAGTAGTATTAGAGAAACACTGTGTTTTGAATTGACATGCCAACAAGGTATGACAATAACTTTTCTTATATTTTTAGAACACATCCCTTAAGTTATCTATGTTTGATCAATTATGACCAATAGTTTAAATTCAGAAGCTGACTCTGTTTTGTTGTTTTCTACTATTATTTTTCAACCTTTAAACCATATTTTTATGATATTATTACCCACTCAGCCACTCTGTTTTCCTTATTTAAGAGTACAATATTTTTGTGAGTAATTGACCTGTTTAGTTTATTTCATGAACTTTTAGTAACTTACACAAACCAAGAAATTGTTTAGAGGGCTCTCGAAACAATGAGCGTATTATAAAACTGAAGTTGTATTTATGTATGACTTTCAGTGTCAGCGTTTGCGTCCCGCACTCTCCTCTGGAACGTGATCCAAGCATCGGAAGTTGCGAGTTCTTGTGTTTCCCCAAAGAGAATTAAAACCTCGGTATCATTGGTTTTTTTTTGTTAATTCAAAAATAATTGGTTATCTCGATATATGTAATCCATGAACATGCATGGTTTACTAAAAAAACGTTACTTGTGGTTTACTTTTTTTTTAATAAAAAAAACAAAATTTATGAATAATCTAAGGGAACATTGGATACTTCTAAAATCAAATTAATCTGAAATAACACTGATAATTACCAAACCAACGCGGCACATAAAATCATATTAACATATATCTATAATTTTGTTTTTGTTAAATGTGTCTTGTTTAAAATGCTATTAACAATTAACACAACGATATCACACAACCATGCATCAATCTGTCAACTTCTTCAACATGGCCGTTGGCTCGTGCCAACCACATCCTCCTCCTCCTCATTAACATAAGGAGCAAGATTCAAGTAACAATTATGGTTGTAGTTGTCGTTATTACTACTAATATTAGGACTTTTACTAGGACTATTGCTTCGCCATCGCGCACGGCAGACCACGCAGATCGCCGGCCGCCGTCCCCGACTCGTCCTCCACTTCAGCATGCATTCTTCATGCACTTTGTTCTTGCAAACTCTACACTTCACCGCTTTTTCGCTCTCCTCGCTTCCGACATGTTCACCGTTTATGCTTTTAACGGCGTTTATATCGTCTAGACATATTGGACATGTCGCTGCTTCTTCTTCTTCCATCTCATTTTCCTATATAAATATTCAATCCAACAAATAATCTATCGTTTAGTTCAAAATAAAAAATATATCGTTGTAACCACAACTAACCATTAAAGTTGACACATCACGCTAGTTCCAATATTTTCCCGTTTGTCACGTTTTTATGATTTTTTTGTGTGTTAATACCTTAATTGTGAAATTTGGATGCTTTCATTTTCAAAAAACAAAAAAATAAAAGAGTAAGGAAGAAAAGGAGAGAGAGTACCAGATCACGGGTGGAGGAGGAGTTAGTATCGCTGTAATGAGAAGTGGCGGTGGAGAAAAGCTGAAGAAACCGTTGCTGGAGGCGGAAACTGGCAAGGCAATCAGGTCGTGTTGGGGCGGAGACGAGGCGATAGAGGATACATGGCCGTAGTCTCCGTTGCCTGAGACACTTGTCGTCGATAGGAATTCCAAGAACTCGGATTAAGACAAAGAGAATGTGCTTGCACGGTTTCCTACGGTCGGGACAAGTGCAAGTCGGTGTGGCCGTTAACGTCACAGTGTAGACGTTACAGGTGGCACCAAGTACGTGAAATGTGGCGGCGTTTGGACGGTGGAGGAGACGGATCCGGTGACGGAGAGCTCGAATTATCCGATCTGCCACCGGCTGAGCCAGGAGATGCCTTTGGTCTCGGTTACTAACGTACGGCGATATTTGATTGGACCCGACAGATTCCATAACTTAAGAATCCGTCACCGATTTTTTCAGTTTTAGACTACGTGATATTCATGTTAGAGGGAGTATATAGGTACAGTTACTTATACACGTCATGTATTTTGTGGGAGATTCTTTGTATGAAACAACGGCACACGTGTGGAATAACGGCGACGTGTAGGAGATAACAAAGACGGCGTTAGACGGAAGGCAAAGCTTACCTAATTACACGTCGTGTAGTTTTTAGAAGTAGTGTTGCACAGCATGCCGTTCTTTTCATTGACTTTTGTTTGATAACGGCGTCGTTTCGTTAAACCACGTGAAAACCCCCTCTTCTTCTTGCTCGCACACTTGACAAACCTAGAAACCAAAATCAAATTCCTGCTTCTTCACATTCGTATCGTTATCGGCAAAATGGCTTCTAGATGTCGATCTTTGTCAAAACCAGCGTTCTCTGTGTTTAGATCTGCAATGAACAAGCCATCTCTCCGACCCAAATCGGCTTCATCGTTTCTCGGCGCCCCTCCTTCGCCTGGACTTGCAAGGTTAACTATCTTTTCTTATTTTTCCCACTTTCCCTGTCATGATTGATTCGTTTCAGAAATTTGAGTCATGATATAGTGTTCGCGTAGTTATGATTCATGGGGTTTCTCCAATTCGGTACAGTTTCAAAGGGATTTGTTTATAATTTGGCTATGACAGGCCGATTGCTCAGCTAGGCTCGCTTCAGTCGCTACTTCCGTTGTACAGTGCAGTGTCTTCTGCTAGGCTGACTTCGTGCCTCGGTATCGATTCGAGGAATTCTAGGTCGTTGTCTCAGGGTATGCTCTGCAGTGCGAATCCAGGAGTTTGATATTCTCCCAAAATGTTTTGTGTTTAGTATATGTGTAAGCAACCTTTTTTTTTTTACTCTTTGATCTTGCATATCCTGGAATTTACATGCTTTTCTACTCTTCGTAGCAAATTAGAGAACTTTATATTTCCTAATTCTCGTTCGATCTTCGCAATACCACTAGAATCTGTAGCAGGTTTTAGCCGAACGACTTTGGATACTGCTCTTAGTTGAATAGAAATACCCATATTTGCAAAACTGTTTATTGACTCTGAAATTAAGAGAATTGTCACATATTATACATTTCGCTGTATTAAACTTGTCATGCTTCACATTGGGTTGATCTTGCATTGCTATTCCTTTCACATTGTGTAATTCCACCAGGACTTTTGCTTGTTTCCGTGTACTAGTCCTTTTGTTGTAGTATTAGTGCTTTTGAAAGACTTGTTTTGGCATAAGAATCTTGTATTGGCTTGAAGATGAAAGATTCCATGTTGGTGTTGTTCTTTCTTCATGTTTCTCTTCTTGTAGTATTGATTGAAAGCAACTGAAACAAGTATGTTTGATGGCCAAATGGCAATGTGCTAATCTATTTTCGTCTCTCTCTTGATTCTTGCAGAGCTTGGCCTAAGCGTGCCTCGATAAGAGACCAGACTCCAAGAATATGGATTCATTCGAGATCACATTCTCCGCAGTTTTTGCTTTGCTGGTCTATTTCAGTCACTCAGATCAGCTTCTGTTTTCTGGGTCATAAACACTGTCCCTTCTTTTCCATTCAATTAAGTTCACAATTTCTACCTTCAACAAAAACAGTGTCCCTTCTCTGTGTTATTGGTGGTTCCTGGATTCTTCCAAGCTATAGTTTTGGTATTGTAGGCCAAATTTTTTTAGTTAAAATTGTGTATTTAACTTTTGAATTCCCTTTTCAAAACAATAAAATTGCACATTTACAAATATCAGAAATGATATACTGTATGTAGTGTATAAATTGAGCCAATACATGAAAAGTCCAAAATTATCTGAAAGTATTTTGACAAACGCTTCGCCGTTTCTTAATATGTAAAACGATGCCGTATTTTGAATCAAACCTTTACCCTCAGACTCCCAGCTAAAATGCAGTTCCTCTTCAGCACGGAGGAGATTCACCGGAGATAAGCAAAAATGGAGAAGAAGCGTGAAGGAGTAATCGAAGGAATGAGCCGGATCGTATCGGATCCTTACTATTTCCTCCATTTCATGGCCTTCTTCTCTTACCTTCCGATCCGCAGCTCGGCCGCACAGTACACTTCTCATCGACTCCTCGACAGAGAAATCCAAGCACTTCTAGCTTTTCTTATGTTTTCCGCTATTAAGGTTTGAGATTCTCTTTATATTAATCGATCTTGCTTAGATTTCTTACTTCTTAGCTTCCTGCTTCATCGATTGTTCAAAATCGTTTGTAGATAGTGAGGGAGGAAACATGGGAGGCATTCGTTGCGGATAGTTTACTCTATGCTAAGGTAACTCTTACGGATCTCAGATTCCGAACGAAATTGATTGTTCTATCACCTTTAGGATCCATTTGAAATCTGCTGATTCACATTCTCTTCCTCAGATCTTTCTCATAGCGGTTTCGTTGATTATGGATTATCGAGTGGCGATCTGGTTTTGTGTCATATTTTCAGGTCGACCTTTATCATTTCTCAGTAAAAAACAAAAGCTTTTTGAGCTCAGTTTATATCTCTTGTTTAATTATCTGATAGATATAGGAGATGCAGATTTGAATGTTGTTCTAACTTTGATTTGAATGTTTCCTTTTGCAGTCATATATCTTTTAGCTCAACAACCAGCATTTAGTAAATTAGGTATGGGAAGCTTCAAAGTTCTTGTTTTTCTGTGAATTTTTGGAATCAAAAGTTACATTCTTGTAAAATGCTTCAACGTGTTGCAGGAACCGCGAAGAAGCTAACACCAATGCAGTTGGAGGATTTGCTATCAGATGGGACCACAACAAAATACTGGTTGGTACGTGGCAACTGGCTTTTTATATAATTTTGTTGCTCTGTTTCCGATGATGCATTTGAAAAACCAAGGACTAGTCCTGGGTAACCAAAATAATGTTCTTGTAAAGAGCTTAGAGATAGGTTACAATCATACCATTTGCAGATAGAATTCTATGCATGTAGTTCATCCAAGTGTGTTCGTTCAAGCCGCTGCTTTCCGGAGCTCTCCATCACGTAAGCTTTGTGTTAAAAAAAACCTCTGTTTCACTGCTCGTCTTAAGAGAGACGCTCACACTTCTTCCATTGCTTCAGGTACTCGAATAATCTTTTGTCTTTTGGAACCATCGATCTTGGACTTTTCCCTAATACTGCGGCAAAGTTTGGAATATCTCTCGCAGGTAATAGTCGCCCACGTACTCATTCATTTGCAGAGTCTCAAAATCACATTAAGCATTCTGTTGTGAAAGTTGACTGATGTGTTGTGTAACATATATAGGTGGAATGTCTCAGCTTCCCACATACATATTGTTCGAGAAGGGTGTCGAAGTTTCGCGGTTCCCAGACTTTTGTGTTGACGCTGCACCATCTTTACCCATAACCAAGGTTATATGCTTCTTTACTTACATAAAGCCTGGTTTATAGAAAAGCGTAGATTTTTAATGGTTGCATTGCTTCTCCCTAAGGCCCTTTTAATGAAAAGAGTTCCTCCCTCTTTTTGTTGATGTTGCAGAAACTTCTGTGCCAACATTTTGAGCTGGATCGGCTTCTGCTTGATTACATCAACGGATCATAGCCAGAGCAAAACGATTATACGTGATATGTAACATAGCTTATCGTGCAAGAGCTGTATGATCAATCGACGCACCATCGGACTATAAGAGGCAAACATTTCCGTCTCTCACTTTGGTTTTTTCTGTCTTCTTATTATGGGCATTTTTAGTGAGGCTCGCCGGAGGAAACGACAAATTGTACTTTAAGCGTTGATAGAGTGAGAGATTTTTGTTAAAATTTTATGGTGTCTTGAATTTCGTAGAAGATATTAATTTGATGTTAATGAAATCTCAGTTTCTAACTTTTTAGTGCCTTTCATTTTCATGACTTTTTTAATGGGCAAGGCTTTGTTGGAAGTCGTACGTCTCTTTTGTGTTATTTTCATCTGTTAACTACAACCAACTATACTTCCCATGTGCCTGTGTGGACTACAATTTAACATCAAATAATATTTTTTTTAAATGCACAAAATGGTCTAACGAAAATAAATAAAAAAGCATTTTTGGAAAAGAAATATACACTTCAAATCCAAACTAGATGTTTTAATGTTAAAAATGATCAAAATATTCATATATAAATTCTACTCTTTTATGAAAAAGGTAATTTTGTAGCAAATATTATAATGAACCGTTTGGAAGGAAAACGAAAGAAGATGGTAAATGTAAAATTTTCATTTTTTTAATAGGTATACTTCGATATAGAATATCTAGTCTTTAAAATCAAAATTTCCCTAAAAGTTACTATGTTGATATGAACTTACGATGGATCGTGTTCTTTTCCAAATATCGTCTGTATCAAATCTTTACATGCCACTTATTTTGCTCAGACATTCCAAAATTAATAGGCAGCGAAAGCAACAACTAATAAGTGTACGTACTTATGTGAAAAAAAGAAGGTATCGTTATCTTTAAAAGACGTGCGACTATGAATTGGTGTAAACAAAAAAATGAATCACTTGGTAAAGACGATGCATGGTGCCCAGTGGCACAGTGTATGGGCAACCTGTTCCAAATTTAATGTTTCCAAAATCCCAATTAAGCGATTAATTCATGAATTGATATATATCTTTGGCTCGGCTTGATTGTTTACTTTTCTCGTCGCACTCGTTTTATTTACGTATTACTATAAATGAGAATATGTGTCAAAATTTAGCAAATTATTAAACAAACTTACTATCAAGGCATACGATTCTTTCCATCGAGATATTAATAGTATTTCAGATTGTCAGAAAATAATCAAAATAGCAACTACTACCATTTTCCTAAAACGCGGTTTTTTTAGCCGAGCAAAGCCGAGCCAGCGAGTAATTAATTTAATCATTAATGTTGGAACGGACCAATCTTCCTTCTGTCCAACTCATCAACGGTTACTGACCGAACTCTCGCAGAAACACCGAATCTGCACCGTCCACTGCTCTGACCTGATCGCTCAGAAAATGTTAGTATAATCGAGACCATCAAACCCATATCTCGTTAGCTGAACAACCAATGAAATATAGCCACGTGATCACTCACACGGTCCTGCGCTGCACCGGATTAATGAAAACTTTGTCGTCTTCTGACTCATTGAAGTATTCACCCCTATAAATGGAGTCCCACCATTCCTCCCAAATTTCTGACATCTTCTCTGTTACACGCTTTGTTCTTCTTCTTCCTCCTCTAATTTTTTTATTTATCCTTCGATTTGTAAATTTATTTTACCGGCGATGGCGTCAACGTCGGCGGAAATGGAGCAATTGACATCAGGCGCGAGCAATCGGATAATCCCGATTTTGAAAACGCTTAGGAAGTGCCTCATCTTCGTCCTCTCCCTTGTCCTTTCTCTTCTCCTCCTTCTCCGTCCCCGTCGCCGTGTTTTGCCTCTTCCATCGCCGGAGGAGGCTATTCCGGCTCCCTCTAGGCGGTGGAGGCGGAAGATGGCGTGGAAACTGGAGGAGGAAGACACGGCGAGGCGTCGCTCCTTGGCGGAAGGCGTTGAGATGGGTTTTGGTATCGTCGGAGACGAAGAAACCCCTTGTCGTTGGAGCAGTTCGTTGTTCTACGGCCGCCGTGGTAACGCTCTATTCTCCCGATCTTGGTTGCCTATTTCCGGCGAACTTAGGTGAGCTTTTGATTTTTTTGCATGCTTTGCTTGCACGATTAGGATTCTCCATTTAAGTTTTTTTTTAAAATCTGGAGTCAATGCTCATCTTAATTCCTGATTTTGACTTGGAATTTTGAATTTTATCTTATCCAGGGGAATTTTGATTATTATCCATGGACTGAATGAACACAGGTGAAAATTCAATCTTATTTCGGATAAATTTCTTGTTTTTTAATCTTATTGTCTATAATTTGATGAATACCTCAATCTGTGGAATCAATTTCATTTGCAGTGGGAGATATTCTCAATTCGCCAAGCAGCTAAACTCGAGTAACATGGGTGTATACGCCATGGACTGGATAGGTATGAACACGAGCTTGTCTTGTTCCATTTCGTTTCCATGTTTGTTCTGAAACTGTGAGTCTGAACAGCTCGCCATATTGTTTGGTCCATAACGTTGTAATTAGGTCACGGTGGGAGTGATGGTTTACATGGCTACGTTCCTTCTCTTGATTACGTTGTTTCCGACACCGTAAGTTCACAATCTTATAAACATTAGCTGCTTTTTTGCTTTTATGCTTTTTTGGAGATGAAACTAGAGAAACTTTCCATTTGAAAGTTGTTGATCTAGTGATGATGATTTGGGTGAGCTGATTTGAATTCTGTAGGAAGCTTTCTTGGAAAAGATTAGGTCTGAGAATCCGGGCGTCCCGTGTTTCCTCTTTGGTCACTCTACCGGTGGAGCTGTGGTCTTGAAGGTACCCTAACTTCGTACCTTTGAAGTTGCTATCTTCAAGATTTTACCGTTTCACAGTGTCCTGATTTTGTGGTCTAGCTTGTCTTATAGGCGGCTTCATCACCCTGTGTTGAAGATATGTTAGCCGGTATTGTCCTAACATCGCCTGCACTTCGTGTCAAACCCGCTCATCCTATTGTCGGGGTAAGTAAAAGTTAGATGCTTTTTCATTCTCGGTTGTAAGTAAAATTTAGTATTGAGTCATATGTTTCTTTGTAGGCGATAGCTCCAATCTTCTCGTTGGTCGCCCCAAGGTTCCAATTCAAAGGAGCAAACAAGAGAGGGATTCCGGTCTCAAGAGACCCTGAAGCTCTATTAGCCAAGTACTCTGACCCGTTGGTCTACACCGGTCCAATAAGGGTCCGAACAGGCTATGAGATTCTCCGCATAACGGCTTACTTGACCCGGAACTTCAAGTCGATTACAGTGCCTTTCTTTGTCCTCCATGGTACAGAGGACAGAGTCACTGATCCACTGGCTTCGCAAGACTTGTATAATCAGGCACCGTCAGTGTTCAAAGACATCAAACTCTATGAAGGCTTCTTACACGACCTTCTCTTTGAACCTGAGCGTGAGGAAATTGGTCGTGACATCATTGATTGGATGATGAAGCGGCTCGAAGATGTTAACGGAGCAGCCGCTGGCCTCTGGTAAAATATCAGACGAGACATCAGATGTCTTCTTCTTCTCCTCTAGGTAGTTGTGATACAAAATGGTGTGATTGTAAAATCAGAAACCAAGTGTAGGAGATACATATATGCATGTATAATGGGTTTAATCTATGAATTTTTTGATTTTGTTGTTCTGAGTAGCCAATTCCTTGGTAGTACTCAATCTATCGAAATTTTCTGAGCTTTATTAATAATGTATGGATGAATCATGGTAAATATATTACAATATCAATTGATATATCCCAAACATATGTATGTATTTATGTTGTACGTGTACATGCTGATAACATCATAGCATTCATAGCATTCGAGTTACTTTTAAGTGGAGCAACATTAGTAAAAGCCATGCAAGACTTGGTCTAAAACGGTGGTTTGCCCTTAGTTCGTGGTCTTGGAGTCTTTATTCTAGAATAATCTATTTAGTATTCAATGTTTGTGTTTTCGATTTTGTTAGTTGTTTTTTGCTTTTATAGATGTGGAGAATGATAGGTGTTGGAGCTGGAGATGCAGAGTTTGTGCAAGTCATGATAATTATTACATTTAATTATTACATTACTGAATTCAGAAACTAACTTTGTTATTGTTTTTGATTATACATTGAATACGAGACTACTCTGCAAAGCCACAGCCGCACACATGAGGTTCGCCTTTTAATTGGTTGCAATAAGTAAATGTTTTGACAACATAAAATTATAGTGTCTTGCCTAACCAAAGACACTCGATGAGGATAATTTCAGGGGTTTTGCAATCATGCTTTCCACTATCACTGCATGTCCATATGAAGGTAATTCAGATGAAGGTAATTTCAGAGGTGCATCTCCATATGAAGGTAATTCAGATGAAGGTAATTTCAGAGGTTTGCAATCATGTTTTCCACTATCACTGCATCTCCAAATGGTTAAGGTGGATTTCTCGTTGTCAATTGGGTAAGTAATTTAAAGCTTGTTGACTTATTTGTTGTGTTCTTGTTTATTAACTTATTTCCTATGTTCTTTTTGTATGTATTTTTTCAGATGATTCTGAGTGGGAGTATCAGAAAGTTGGCGAGTAAATCAAGACAAACAAAGATGATGAGAAATCTATTTTGTTAAATCTTTCTGTTTAGACCATTTCCGATAGTTAAAATTCTTTATGAGTTTTTGTTATTATTTTTAATATAAATTTTGAAAAATCTAAATTAAAAACCTCTTTAAAAGTTTTTAAATTTGATATTTTAACCCCAATTAGAATTTTTAAGAAGGAATAAAGATTATTTCAAGTGGTCCCATGAGAAAGAAAATAAAAAGAGAGAAAATTTACCATCAATCACAACGTGACACGTTAGGAGTTCTAAAAATTCTATTAAAAATTGATTCTTAACATTTTATTTAGTTATGAATTATTTTTTTAGTTTTTTCTGTAAGAACCCTATGTTAAAAACCCTAATTGGAGCTGCTCTTAATCGTTTGGTCAGGCAACTATTCTCCATAATTGTCAATTTAACGTGTGATATGTTTCAAATACATACAATTCGTTTATATCAATTTTGGGCAATGAGGTTTCTTGGGCTTAGTGAAAATCTATTCTGTGGTCAAGGTCCTTTGGGCTTATTATGAAGAGCATTTTCGTCCATTGGGCCTATTTGGTTATTATCAATATGTAAAATACTGATCCTTTAGACATTTTTTCTTTATGAACTGTCTTTAATGTGAACGCGGTGTGTTTTTGCTTGTTTGTTTGTTTATCTGAGATCATTCTGTAGTTGGATTGTGATAACTTTAACGACAAGGAAGCTTTGTGTCTTAATTAAGTAAATTTCATTCTGCAACCTCTTAATTAAGAGCTCTTGGTGTTTGGTGAATCCCATTTTAAGGTAAGTAGATTTCAAGGAAAACAAAATAAAAATAGAGGAACCAGCTTTGTTAACGACGATATACAGCGAGCCTTTTGACTTTATACTTTTATAGGAGTGAAAACCGAGAATTAAGAGGACAAAATATGAAATAGAGAAAAGTAAACTTTGAAAAATGGTAGGAGTTGGTGAAAATATGAACATGTTGGAGTCGAGGATTCCTTCTGTGTTCCAGAAAAAGAATGAGGTTTTAGCGACTATTATTAACGCGTCTTGGTCCATATTGGTTTATTTTTTTTGTATGAACACAAGAAAATAGGAATGACCGGGTAAATAATCAAATATAAATGGGTCAACTGAAGACAATATTAAAAGGCGAGCAGCTACAGTTTTAGTGAGTGAAATCACAATGCTTTCTTGTTTTTAAAACTACTGAACAATGCCCAAAAAACTTATTTTTAAAAGAACATTATGCATCCTTACGAGTTATAAAAAAATTGATTCACGCACTAGCAGCAGTCGCGTTATCCACGATCGTTAAATAAAATAGACTAAGCATTCCTTACACACACTAATCATGACAGTTCGGTGCGTATTCGAGGTGGGGATTTTCTTTGTAATAGTTTATTGATATATAAAAGATATAAAAAAAAGAAAATATTTGTTTATATACTATTATGCAAGTTGAGGGGTCCATTATGGCTGCCAAGTTTGATCCTCCAACACATCACCGCAGCCTCAAATACAATTATTGCCTTATTTGTGTTTTTATTGATTTGTCACTGTATACAATTATTTTTATGTACCTTAATTTTTTTTTAATTATGACTGTTATTATTTGATTTCTAACATCATTGTATCCATTTACTGTCATGTTTTACTTAGCAAACAAAAAAATCCTCAAATTAATCACTCGTGTTGTTTTCTGTTAAATCTTAAATCTTAATTTTTGATTTTGAATTAGTTTTTTTTTTTTGACAAATGCAAACTTACGTCCCTATCAGTTTATGACACAGGTTGTTAAATTGAATTATTTGTATCGTTTGCATGTGTTACAAAGTAAAATCATGTAGACCAAAAGAAACCTAATTCGTTATGTTATGTTGTTAGATCTTAACCATATTTCAAGATAGATTAACGCTCAATTCTACCCATACTCGTCCTAAATTGCTTAATTAATCATATATATTCACATAGTAATTTTAAGTTGGCTATATCTAAATGAATATTTGGTTGAATTGGTGGAACAGTTGGAGGAAAAAACAATTAGAAGAACAAAATCATTAAGAGAGAGGGAAATTGTTACAAAAATAATAAACGAAAGAGGAAAACTATATAAATAAAGGGTAAAAAGAGGTAATGGATGAAGATAGAGGGACCTACATAAAAAGGAATGACCTCGTCCACGTTCTTCTCATTTTGACAATTTTGGCACGAATTTTCAGACTTTTCATTTCAAACTGCTCTTATTCGTTTTTCTTTTCTTTTGATAAGTTTAAAAAAATGGTCATTTTCCTCTCGCCTATATAATCCACTATCCTCTTCCACCCAGAAAGATATCTTCCAAACTCATATAATAATCCATCAGACTGATCCGTTTCCTCCGTAAATCTTCCAGATTCGTGTTGTGTTTAGCTCGGAAGAGAGATATGGGAAGCACTCCAGCTGAATTACCCTGCGAGGATGTCGCCGATAACAGATCCGGCGTCGGAGGCGGCATTTCCGACGTGTACGGTGAGGATTTAGCCACGTTGGACCAGCTCGTCACCCCCTGGGTTACCTCCGTCGCCAGGTGAGTCATCAATCAATCAATCAATCAACCACCTTGATAGATCTCATCATCCTTTCTGGGTCTTTGTTTCAATTTGATCTATGAGAATCGCTTTGCTTGATTTAGCTTATTAAAGCTGGTTGCAAGTAAACACTCTCTTTGTTTGTTGCTCTTTATAACTTACAAAAACCTATAAATTTTTCTGTGAAATATGAAGCTAAGTTTTCTTGCTGTTGACGTAATAGACTTATTGTGGAAATGAAAACTTTGTTTCAGTGGCTACTCGTTGATGCGTGATCCGCGATACAACAAGGGACTTGCATTCACGGATAAAGAAAGAGATGCACATTACTTGACTGGTCTTCTTCCCCCTGTGGTTTTAACCCAGGATGTTCAGGTGACTTGAGCTTTCATACTCACTTTTTGTTTAGTTTTGATCTGGGCTTATTGTTTGTGTTAAACTTGTGGTTTTTTGGTTGATTAGGAGAGGAAGCTGATGCACAATCTCCGCCAGTACACTGTTCCCCTGCAGCGTTACATGGCCCTGATGGATCTTCAGGTGTGATTGATTCTTCCTTCGAAATTCATGTTTACTAGTAGAGAATGTGTTCACTTGCAACTGGTGGCTAATAATGTATCTGCAAATTGTAGGAAAGGAACGAGAGGTTGTTCTATAAGCTATTGATTGATAACGTGGAGGAGTTGCTTCCAGTTGTGTACACACCAACTGTTGGTGAGGCTTGCCAGAAGTATGGTAGCATTTTCAGGAAGCCACAGGGTCTCTACATCAGCTTGAAAGAGAAGTGTGTTTTCATCTAATCTCTCTCTCTCCCTCTCTCTTTACCACTTCACTTACCATTTAGTTTCTTTCAGTCACTAAAGTGAGAATGTATGTTCTTTAGGGGCAAGATTCTTGAAGTGTTGAAGAACTGGCCCCAGAGAGGGATTCAAGTTATCGTTGTTACTGATGGTGAGCGGATCCTCGGTCTTGGAGATCTTGGTTGCCAGGTAATAAATGGTTTCCTTTTGAGTTAACACTTGAAACTTGATCACATATGCATTTACCATCTGTTTGAACGATTGTAAAATTACATTTTTTTTTCCAGGGAATGGGAATTCCAGTGGGGAAACTTTCTCTTTACACAGCTTTGGGAGGAATCCGTCCATCAGCTGTAAGCCATCGGAACCAAAAGCTGCGATATTTTTTTGCCTTTGATATTGATTATACCATAATCCTCTGATACTAAATGCAAAATCCGATTTTCATATGCAGTGCCTTCCGATCACCATCGATGTGGGTACAAACAATCAGAAGTTGCTGGATGATGAATTTTACATTGGCCTTAAACAGCGAAGAGCAACTGGCCAGGTTTACTAATCTCTTTCATATTATTGATTTCTCTTCTTATAACTCATTCAATGATTTTCCAGAAACTGAGGGGTCTGTTTGTTTTTTCTGTGATTCAGGAATATGCAGAGTTTCTACACGAGTTCATGTGCGCTGTTAAACAGAACTATGGAGAGAAAGTGTTGGTACAGGTGAGCCATAGGATCAGTTCTGCTAAAAACTATGATTGTTGTTAGAATTGTTCTAAGATGATCTGATACATACTCTTCTTTTCAGTTTGAAGATTTTGCAAACCACAATGCCTTTGACCTTCTGTCTAAGTACAGCACCAGTCATCTTGTCTTCAATGACGATATCCAGGTAAGATCTTTTCCTCAAGAATGAGTTTTTTCGTTGAGGTTTTCAGAGAGCTAACGCTATCAAGAATTTGTTTGGTCTTCGGTAACTGCAGGGTACTGCATCAGTGGTGCTTGCTGGGCTTATTGCCGCTCAGAAGGTGCTTGGTAAAAGCCTGTCTGACCATACCTTCTTGTTCTTGGGTGCCGGAGAGGTGAGACCACAAAGCATTATATACTCTGTAAGCTTATCATTTATCTTTGCATATATGTTTTGACGCTTTATTTCGTTGGTTCTTTGAAGGCTGGAACCGGTATTGCTGAGCTAATTGCTCTCAAGATTTCGAAAGAGGTTAGTAAATTTGGGAAGCTTCTTACATTTTCTCTGTTTTCTGGATAAGAATACGTGAATGATCATATCCCGGTTGTTTTTGTAGACTGGAGCTCCCATCGATGAGACCCGGAAGAAGATTTGGCTCGTGGACTCAAAGGTATTGTTGGCAACCACCCAGATCAGTCTCATCCTCTTTGGCTGAACACTTCTTGATCACTTATGTTCCTCTTTTGAACTTTATCCTGCAGGGACTGATCGTTAGCTCGCGCAAAGAGTCGCTTCAGCACTTCAAGCAGCCATGGGCGCATGAGCACGAACCTGTTAAGGACCTCATCGGTGCCGTGAATGTACGAGATGAACTCAGATTTAAAGTCGCTTGATGGTTGAATAGAGGATATTGTTAGAAGTTTTGTTTCTTGTATTCATTCTTTGTTGAAATTTTGTCAAACAGGCAATCAAGCCAACCGTTCTCATTGGAACCTCTGGTGTGGGTCAGACTTTCACAAAGGAAGTTGTCGAGGCCATGGCTACCAACAACGAGGTTTCTTCTTGTTCTTCCCCTCTGTTTTCTCAAAAAAACAAGGTGTCTATGCTATTGTGCTAATGCTGGTCTTTGGTGTTGGTTTACAGAAACCGTTGATTCTTGCTCTCTCAAACCCTACATCTCAAGCTGAGTGTACCGCAGAACAGGCTTACACATGGACCAATGTATATTCTCTCACATGACATCTGAATATGATTCACGTTCTAAATATAATGCAGCGCTCAGTTCTGATGGTAAATTATGCTTGAAACAGGGTCGTGCGATCTTTGGAAGTGGAAGCCCGTTTGATCCTGTTGAGTACGATGGCAAAACTTACTTGCCTGGCCAGGTTTGTGCTATTTCTGTATTTTTGTTTTCTCTGTCGATTTGTATGTCTTTGAAAATCTGAATGCTCACATCATTTGTAACTCCTACTTCACTTCACAGGCAAACAACTGTTACATTTTCCCGGGTCTTGGTCTTGGTTTGATCATGTCCGGTGCAATTCGTGTCCGTGATGACATGCTCCTCGCAGCTTGTAAGTAGAAATAACTCTCTGCAATAAGTCTTTTTACCTGAAACCAAACTTCAGAAAATTAATCAAACGTGAACACTGATGAACTGTGACAGACACTTAAAGATTCTAACTTTCTCTAACTCTGTGTATCCAACAGCTGAAGCATTGGCCGCCCAAGTCACGGAAGAGAACTTCGCCAACGGCCTGATCTACCCTCCATTCGCAAACATCAGAGAGATCTCTGCTAACATTGCAGCCAGTGTCGCCGCCACAACCTATGACCTCGGTTAGTTCTATTCATTTCCCTCCGTTAGTGGAACTGTCTTTAACTCTTATCCCAAGTTCTTGACTAATAAGAAACTATGCTGATGATGTATTTTGTGGTGTTTCAGGATTGGCGTCGAACCTCCCACGTGCAAAGGATCTAGTAAAGTTTGCAGAGAGCTGCATGTACAGCCCTGTGTACAGAAACTACCGTTAAAAAGAGTTTTGCTGAAGAAACCTGCAGATTCTTCTATTTTACTACATTTATTGTTTCTTGGGGCTATAAGTGTTATTGTTGTTTTGGTTGTTTGTTTTCTACTTCTACATTATGATGTTGTGTGCCAACTCTTTCTCTTTGTATTTGTTGATGAATTAATAAATTACTTTTTAACATAATGTACCAATCATTATTTTCTCATAGTTACCTTTTTCACCCACACAGCACAATCACTTGTATTACAAGGGAATATATATGCTTGTTCTGATTTCGAATTTGTTTGTATCTTATTGCCTGAAAACCAAGGAGTTTATTGGTTGTTTTATTTATATAAAAATTTTGCGAAATAAAACCATAGGAACTATTACATGAAGAGGCTCTTTTGTATACTTAAAATGCCCACAATAGACAGTCTGCATTCATTTTCATTAACATGAATAAGCACTTTCAATAATTCTAAATCATCTTAACATCGAACTGAGAAAAAGATCTTTTAATAGAAAAAGAGAACTGAACAGTTTTGTATGTGGGTTTAATAACCCAAACAAAATCTTTTAAAATGGGTCCAATAGTATTCGAATCTAAATTGCGGGCGAAAGCAGACTAAAAAATAAGTTGAGGGACTAATAATGGTTAAAAAAAGGTTTTTAAGAATAAACACGTTCAATAACCGCGTGATTCATCATCTCTCTTCTGGAATAAGCGAGAAGTTGTGATCTCGTCCCTTTATTATCCTTTTCATCGTCTTCTTCAATCTCTTTTCACCGAATTCTCTTCCTCCGATCAAATCCGTTTCATCTTTCGACCCAGGTATGCTCTTTGAGACTCTTTGCTATTTCCCCCCTCGGAAAATTCTACTTGTCTTCGGATCAGAGGCGGCGCGAACATTTTCCCCCGATTAAATTACAATTGTAGGCTTGCCTGAAATTGAACTTATATCGTTCTATGGCTGCTTTCTTATAGCTATCCGATTTCGATTCTTATAGAATTAAACGTCGATTTTGGGTTTTAATCAACGTTTCATGTTTTTTTTTTTTTTTGTTGAGCCTACTGCCACTATAAACCTTACAAATTGACTTCTGATAATAATTAGTGTCTTCGAATGCGTTTGCGTTCTCATTTGTATGAATGTGATCAACAATAGCTTTGTACTGTCCGTCTAGTGATCAGGTTACACAGCAAGGAAGAGTTGAAGTTTGAAACTGCAGCTATGGCGCTTAACCCTCAATTGCTCCCCAATGGGATGCCTATTCCCTTTGTTAACGAAATGTTCGTTCTAGTCAGAGATGGGGTTGAGTTTGAAGTCGACAAGATCCCTGGGTTCGTGTTTCCTTCTCTTTTCTCGCCTTGTTTTGGATCTGCTTAAGTGTTTTTTTGGGATTGTGGGTTTGATTTTGATATGATAATTACTCCTCGTTGGTTTTCAATGTAGTGTCATTGGTTTGAATCTGTTCATTTCGCGCATGTATCCAATAAGTAGACTTGTAAATAAGATAAGTTCGAGAAGCGAACAGACATATATAATATATAGGTCTTAAACACTTCCCTGACGTTTATTTCATTTGATCCAGAGGGCATGGAGGTCATGTTAAGGCCAAGGGAGTGATATATCTGTCTAATATACGGTTGGTCTTTGTTGCAAGCAAGCCTGTTGAGAACTTTGTTGCCTTTGACATGCCCATGGTACGATAAATTTATCCTATGCTTTTCTCTTCTTTGGTCAATACATGGCACAATTACATATAGTTGAGGAACTTCATGTTACATAATGGGCATTGACTAGTTGAATTCTCTGGAATTTTTATGGAAACTGTGTTGCTTTCTACTTTGTAGCTTTACATCCACGCCGAGAAATTCAATCAGCCAATATTCCATTGCAACAATATTTCTGGTCAAGTGGAGCCTGTAAGTACAAAACATTTTTCCTCGCCAGAAAACTACCACAGATTTTTTTTTTTACTTAAAACTCATTTGGCAATGTAATAAAATTTCCAGGTGGTACCAGAGAACGAGCATAGAGCTCTATATTCAACACACTCATTCAAGATCATATTTAAGGAAGGTGGTTGCGGGACGTTTGTTCCTCTGTTCTTGAATCTCATATCATCAGTGAGACAGTACAATAGACAAATGCAACAAGCAGCAGAAGCAGCAGCGGCAGCTCCACGTGTGGATCCTCTTCAAGCCGCTCAGACCCCTGTGGATGAGATGATGAGACATGCGTAAGTCCCTCTAAATGAGACGGAAGGTTTTGATAGTAAAATGCTACTATTGTTTCTCAAAAAACTGTGTGGTGATGTGTGTGTGCAGGTACGTGGACCCGAATGATCCAACGAAGATATATCTGCAGCAGCCATCAGGGGAATCTCAGTTGAGGCGGAGAGCCTACCATTCGAGTGCAGCAGAACATTGACATATACACGGAAACTGCAAGAGGGTGGTGGAGAATAGCAACAGATTAGTGTTGCAAATAATCTTAAATGTTGTTACTTTGTTTAAACTTTAAACTTAAAAAACGAAACCGCTTGTGTAGTGAGAAAAGATAAGTCGTGTTGTGGTTGTAGCTGGTTAAAATTGGATTCTCTATAATTAAAAAGTTTGGTTTGGTTTGGTTTGGTTTGGTTTGGTTTGTACCGCACAAATTGAGGTTTATTCACAAGAAAACAACAATCTGAATTTTTTTTTCTTCCAATCAAATCAAAAGTTTTCACTTTTCAGGCTCAACTTTCTGAATTATATAAAGCATAGCATTCTTTTTTATGCACGGATACAAAATTGATTGTGAATTTGAAATAATAAACTACCGAAGTTACTTTAAGGAGAGGGAGAGCGAAGATACAAAGGGATTCTTAAGTGAGGAATTGTTGATCGATTTGACCTAGAAAACCCTAATTTCGGGTGGCTCTGTGCAGTCGCACAGTTGCCGCACCCTCCGACTTCAGATACGTCACTTGTGTCTGCTTCAAATTCTGGTTAGTGTTATCTTATTCTCCGTTTTGTTTGTTCTTAATCGAATCAGAGTTGCTGTTATCCGTAGATTGGATTCTGCGATGTATTTCTGTATTTCTGGAATTCGGATTTCTTAGCTTCGACGAGTTTACTTGATAAAAATGTCGTAATTTTGAAGTTCCACTGTGTTGATGACCCCATTGATTGTTTAGTTTAGAGCTTCTGTTCGATTGGAAGGAGTCCTTCCAGCTTCCTCTTATGATCGTACTTCATAGTAATTAGTAAGAGCATAATAATAATACTCTTGAGGGTGTTTTTGCAGCAAGAGAGAAAAGGGTTTTATATATTGGATTACGATGGAGACGCAGAAGAAATCTCGAGAACAGAGCCTACACCGGATAGTTGATGATATCGGTACGGCATTTGGAACGGGGGCTATTGGAGGATCTGTGTTTCATTTCATAAAAGGGTCATACAATTCCCCAGTAGGTCGTCGTTTTGTTGGAGGAGCACAAGCGGTGACCATGAATGCTCCTCGCTTAGGAGGCAGCTTTGCTGTATTTGGGGGCTTGTTCTCCACATTTGACCACGCGATGGTCTACATCAGGAACAAGGAAGATCCATGGAACTCCATCTTTGCAGGTGCTGCTACAGGAGGGTTTCTGTCTATTCGACAAGGCATCGTCGCAGCTTCAAGATCCGCTGTTATGGGAGGGGTTTTGCTTGCTTTGATCAAAGGGGTACATTAATCTTGAACAACTAAAGCAGGCTTTTTTGGGGCTTGTGGTTTGATGAGCTATATACTCTTTGTGAAACCATTCTACAGTGTTTACTCTTTTTGTTTCTAAAAGTAATCTTGTTTCCGTCCAACAGTAGAGTCGATTTTTTATTCAGCCTTATAGTGATTAGTGAACACAATAATTTGTAGATTTTTGGTTTGCAAGTCTTGGTTAATCGGACTGTGTAGTAGTCAAGAAGAGCTGACTGTGCTGAATAGTCAAAAGTCAACTTCTCTCTGATTATGACCATTCTAATAGAATCTTCTTACGCACACAAAAAATAAATCAAGATCCAAATCCATTCTTCTAGTCAATATACACCAAAAAACAAGTCAAAAGAGAGTATTGAGGCAGAAATAATAAACACAGCCCCAAGTAGATAGATCATTGGCTTCTCACTTATTTACATATACAAAGCTTAAAAGGATCATCACCAATACGACCGACCATCCACTAAAAACAAAATTAAAACCGAGACCAACACTTTTCCCTCCCCAAGAAACCAAACCAGAAGGATCTTTAGATTACAAGTTTTGTCCCTCTAATTATAAACTTGTTTTCTTCTCTTTCTTTTTCCTCCTTTTGACAATCAGAGTTCCTTCTTTTTTGTATCCTAATTCTATTCACCTAGAGAGTAATAGAATTACAAGAAGAGAACCAAACAAAACAAGAAAGAAAAACAAACTGAAATCCCCCCCCCACACTCCAAACTGGGGCAAGGGATGTTTTCAATTGTTCTCGGAAAAATTACCTGACAAGACTTTGTCACGACTGCCAAAACAGCTCAAAATCCTTACTATACAACGAGCGGTCTTGTATCTCCAGGTTCGCTACATGTCGGTTTATGAGCTGCGATTGCATTATCTTACACACGACCAGTCCCGCCGGAAATATCCACCACTCACTTTCACCCCTGCCCAAATAAACCAAAACGTAAGATTGTGAGAGAAAGAGACACCCTTTTACAGTCTTGCTTTGCATACTAGTTAAACTCACATGTTTATATTCCACGGCTGAAATGGGATTTTCTTGCTTGCTGATGATTCGCTGTTATAATGAACGTATCCGCAGAGAAAAGCAACAAACTGACATAGAAACAATACTTGTCAGAGATAACGTATGACATGCAACATTTTCTAAAGAATCAACACCCATAATGTCCACAGGTATAACTGTTGATTTCGTCCTCATGTGACGTGAACAAGTTGTCATCATTAAAAAAAAAACAAAAACAAAGACAACTTACCACATTGACCAAGGACATAAAGTTCCACAAAGCGTAAACACGTGCTAAGCCAGCAGAGCGTCTGGGTCCATGACTAAATAAGGCATTTATCCCAGCGGGGAATGGCAAAAGTAAGCCCAGCGGTAATATAAACAAAGCCAAAAGTACATCCAGCAAGGAAATCGAATACAGCTGGAGCAGTGTGAGCAAGACTAGACTAAAATCCCCTAGAAGTAACATCGAGATAACTAAGCCAACCATGTCCTGCAATAGCACACAAGATAACACAGGGAACAGACATTAAAATTCTTGAAAACTTGGACGGCACAACACAGAAGAAGACATTCAGACTATCCGGATTTTGATTGGAGAGGTACCTGGTGGCCCACGGGTTTAGTGTTGTGAACTAAGAAAGAGAGAAGGAAAAACATATCTCTTTTCTCTTTCAGACTTGGTAAGCTGTCAAGGTCGATTATCCCTCCATAGTTCTTTCTGCGTGTTGTAAAATCCTCAGTATTTGTGTGGGTTTGGTTGAAGAGCATACTCTCTCTTAAATTTGCCGGAGAATTTTCTTTATGTGCACTCACACCGTAACTAGAAGTTACAAGAACAAGACATTAAAACATCGCATAGCTACATATGAAGTGCACAACGAAAAAAATGCTAACGTGAGACACCACCAAAAAGAAAAACTTTTAACTTTTAAAGTGATCAATAGTGATCATCTTATCTAGATTGCTCAGTTCATATTTTAAATTCAACTTAAAACAACACAACGCGTTCATAAAAAAAATAGTCACTATGAAAAATAGAAAGACAGAATGTATGCAATTTACCGTGGCTGGGTATCAGTCCATGCTGTTTCAATGACACACTGAGGCGATGTTGGTTCACAATCCTCAGCAGCATGAACCAAGAGACCATATTGGCAGTAACCACAAGCTGTAGTCTGGAACCAGGCGAGATCAACCCGTATGCAATGTCTTTCCAGAGCGGGATTAGCATGAGTTTCTAACCATCTCAGAACATAATTAAATGTAGATCTCAGTCGCCCACGGCGAACAAGGCGTAGTTGAGCATTTACACCGGCCACCAGTCTGCACCAAGTAGTGGGCGGAACGAGCTGGGAAAATAAAACAATGACAAAGATCAATATAGCCTTTAACATGGCTGCTGAAACTGCTTCTCGTTAGCTAAGAAACCAACCTGACTCATCAGACTGGTAAGAATATTATCATTTTGAAGTGAGAAAGGAGCCATGTAATTGCCATCACCACCAAACAAGATGGGCATTGGAAACCTTTGGTGAAGCCGTGGTGGAAGGTCTGTCCTTTTTTCATCCCCGCCAAGGAAGAAATCCAGATATGCAAGCATCAAATCGGAGGTAGCAGCGACCTGCATTTAGGGGAGGGGGGAAAGTATTAAAGCTTAAAACAACAGATATTTGTAAAACTAATCAGATATTCGTTTATGAGAAATACATCAAAAAATCACCTTTAGACCCTCATATAAAGCCCGGGAGCGACATGAGCGTAAACAGGAATGATCATATTCTGAACGTACAAACTCACGCAATCTTTGCAACTTCAACTTCCGCCGCCATTGCTGCCATGACCACGCAAGCGGATATGCAACCACTGAAAGAATACTATATATTGCACCTTCCCACCATTGATATGCAGCTATAGAGTTGATTTCATCGACAAATGTGTTGAATGCCGCCTCATATCTAAAGAACCCAAAACCAATATAAGAGTATTTCAGAGCGGCAACTTATCAAGTAGCTATACACCAAAAACAATGAGACCAATCCCAAATCAGCTAGGAAATAAAATAAGAAACAACTAACACTATCTCTTTTATCTCTTCTGGGGGGATATGCGAGAGATGCCATGGCTCACTGAATGTATTAGGACCCATAAAATACATTCTATGCACATGACTCTGAGATTGCTCTGCTCTATTTGTCTCCAACACCTGACAAAGACAGAACGTTATAAACAACACAACACTGGTCATACAATAGTTGCATCTGAAGTGACAAATCAGCGAATAAATCATTCTTCGTTTGCTTGTATAGATGAAAGCAGAAAGTAAGACACACAAACAGTTTTTGGATCTAATGTTCCAAGACGAAGAAAATCATCTAACCTCATTTAGTGATTCAAGGAAAGGGAAGGAATGATCTATTTGAGAGCCATGCTGTGTGGGAGCTGGGCCAGGTAAATCATCAACTCCAACAAATTTCATTCGTGCAACACTAAGTACAAGTGCTAAGAGGATGAGGAGACCCATCAAAAGCAGACCAAACAGCCAAGGCCCACCAAATGTGTAAATTAATTCCTCCAGAGCGGTGTAGCAGTGTGGCATGTGATACCTTTCCGATATGCATCGATATGGACATGGTGTCTCAGAAACACCACCTGTTATCAAGCATAGAAAACCGATGTTTATAGATGAGACATGAACATTTCCAGCATCAGTTTACTGGTATGGAATGAGTAAGAAAACAAGATCATAGCCAACTTAAATAAACTGTTATCTTTGAAACACAAAATTTTAAAACTACCGACAGTATGTTCATTATCATGGGGGAAAAAAAACAGAAACCAATTTAGGCTTGGTAGTTGAACGGGAAACAAAATTTACCACTGACAGTTTAGGACAAAGTTTATGGCACATATGTAATACAAAAGAGAAGATATATGCGAGTTTTATTCATACCTCGAACTGGGAGATAAACAGCACGAGTTGGAAGCTCATTTACGGGACAAGGACGGCAAAGAGACGTGTCAGATCCAGTAACATTTTTGAATGTACCAGATGGACATTCCTGAAAAAAAGAACAGAACTAAGAATACAATGCGCGTAAAAACTACAACAATAACAATTCAACCCTGATAAGGAAAACAAAGGCAAATAGACCCCTATGATATTATAGAGCAGAAAAATGTTGAATTAAGTTTTCCTAACCTTGCAAAATGTACCGTGGAGTCCCTTTGGACAAGGCGTCCCAGTTACTGTGCCATTTTTACCAGAAAAACCATCATCTACTGCCCCTCCCCCCCTACAATTACAAAAAGAAACAGTCTTAATGCAACAGGCTAGAAAACGATATCAAATAATAACATACAAACGGAAAATACAGTCAGTGACGGGAAAACATATTAACAATCATGCGACAGGTATTTCGAGGACAGACCGTGCATGGATTATTCCTTTTACACTAGCAATAGGCTGGTATATGTCCCCGGTGGGAATGTTTGACCAATGAAAATGAATCCTCCCACCTCCGCCACCACCACCACCAGAAGGACTGCCAGACCCACCACCACTTGAGAGAAGAGACGACTCTCCTAAAATAAGATAACGCAGGAACAAAAGAACTGTTCCACCAGAACCACCACCTGGTGCTACGATAGAGCCATTGTCATCTCTGCTCAAACGTTTGACACTTTCGCCATCAGCCCTAATTGAGCCTTGAAGTGATAAACCAGATAGAGGCTGCTCCATTGAACCAATCACTGGCCAAAACAAAGAAAAAGAAAGAACAGGTTAAAAAATATCATCTTGAAAGCAATAATCTTTCAACCTTTCATCGCAACCACATGCATGCATGGCCTAAATGATGACAAGCTTCTACACATGAACGGGCTACAAATATTTGACACACGGAATACGAATAGTCAGAACTCCACATCATTCTCTCTGCATCAAGTCCTATGAACCTCTCAAGTTTAATAGAATTCTAGAATCGCCAAAATCTCTGACATTTCATACCTATTATACCACCACCAGCAGATGAATAACTCGGGCTATAATCCCCACTTCCACTGCCAAGCTCACAAGGGAGATCTGCATTTCCATATGTAATTCCACCTTCAACACAGCTGCTGTTGTAACATACACGGCCCCCTCTACCACCATGCCCACCACCACTGCCAATGCCGTTTCCAAGCAACTTGCCTTCTCCCACACCACCTCTACAACCTGTGAAACCCAAAAAAAAATTGCATATGTACGTTGCTAATAAAACACATTAAAAAGAACGTAAAATCATATCTTCGTTCTCCCTATATGGAGAATGGGTAGCACCTTAAATCTTATATTGAGGGAGTAAGCCAAGGACATGCCCATACCAAATGTAGAAGTACAATGCGCGATCTAAACAAAATCTAAAAAAGAATATAGTTATTTTTACCCATTCCACTGGCACTAATCTCTCCAGAGGGTTGAAGGGTAACTGTTTTTGCACGGTGGAAATGAACAACTGATCCTTTGATGAAGCCTTCGACTAGAATATCCTCAACTCGGCATATCTAGAAGAAAAAAAAGATATAAGAACTTTCATGCTAGAGCATGCTAGTTTAAGTACGGCAGAAATACCTGTAGAGTAAAGGACAGAGACGAATTGACATTGCAATCCTCTGGAGGATTCAGTAGTTCATAGGGGCAATCTTGCCGATCACAATAAAGCTTTGGTGTACTGCAAAGGATGTGAGTTCCATTATTGTTACCTCATTTTATCTCTGAAGAATAACTGAATCAACTAAGCATAAATAAGGCATTGTTCTTCAAACTTACACAGCATCTCGGGATGCATTCAGTAGAGGAGCACGCAAAATAGATCCAGGCCCAACCTTAAATTCCCAGAAGAAGAAAAAAAGTCATTATCTCCTAGACGACCAAATCAAGTACCTTTCTATATCTATTATTTAAAGCCAGTCTGGCCTTCAAAGGAGACTGATTAACAAAAAGTCATTATCTCCTAGACGGCCAAATCAAGTATTCATCGCATTTTCGGAGCTATACACATCAACTGTTTTTGCATCTGCACGAAATCGTCATATAATGCACGATTGTCAACAAAATAAACACAAGGAAACGCCTTACATAAATCCGGTAAAATAGTGACAAAACAAGCCGTTGTGCTTCAATCGAATCCTCTGGTCCCGTTAGATTCAAGAAACCTTGTCCACGAACTTCAAGATTTGCATTTGACCGAATTACAGATGATTCCTATTTTTATATTGACAGATCACACAAACAAGTTAGATGAAACGGTATGTGACAAATCACTTGATGGAGAAAAACAGGGACACGCATTTGTGAGTACCCTAAGAACGAATAAATTGCTAGCCTCAAGCTTGGAAGTCGAAATACTTGTATCTCCTCCCCCTCCATCTATATGCAATTCTGAATTCCACATCAAGAACATCTTGACAGTCATGCGTAATGCCCCGTAAACCTGGTATGTACCAATAAACATAAAGCATGATGGACAAATGATTTGCGTAGACAGATACAATACTGCTGCATCCGAATATCCCGAAAAGGTGGAGAACTAGAATAAAATTCACCTTGATAGTGGAATCACTCATTAAGAGTTCTTCAGCCAACAACTCAAATACTGATGTACCATAATGAGATAATCCGAAGCTCAAAACACCACCGCACAACAAACTAATTTGTCCTTGAACCTACATATTGAATTCTGTTTGAGTACTAAATTTTTAGTTTTGCTATATAGTATGCTGAAAACTGGGAATTCCACTGAATACCTAAAAATCCATATATATAGGCAACAAAAACTCAAGAGAAAAGACATTTGAGTTGCACAAAAAAATAGTATATCCTTGTATATAAACTCACAAATAGTCCTAGCATTAACACTGCTAAAGGTAATAAAACACTTAGCCTACAAAACCCATGTATTGGAAATTCGTTTTCTAAATACCTGGACACGGCTCCATAGCAGAGGACAAGTTGCTCGCGCTTTATCCTGAATATAAACATTGGTCCAAAGAGGCTGGAAGGGAAATTCTAAGAGGAGCGTATAAGTGTCTGTCGTCAGATTGTAGTTGCTAACGAAAAGGCTTCGGGGAACAGCATCGTATAGCGTCCCAGCAGCACCTGAGTTATCTGGACATCCAATACTGTGTCCGCCTGCGTGTAGGAGAATGAAAATAGTTCACATGATTGAAGATGTTAAGAACGTACGTAATGGAAATACTGTGATGATTATTGGTTTACTTTACGACAGTTACAAATTCCGCAACAGTTACAAGATCTAGAGGTGTGGATATTGGCCGGAAAGAAACAGTGACCTCCTAAGAAAGAGAAACTAACCATGCACATATATCTTCGGGTCATCATGCCTGCTAAAGATATCCACAGATACTCTTCCACCACCACCACCACCGTAACCATTCCCACCACATGCACTGATCTGTCCAATTCCAGTCCTGCACTTCGAATAACAGCAAAGCAGAGGATGCTTTCTGAGATCAATTTACCAGGAATCTGAGGAACCAAAAGGCTCACTACCAACCTTTGGAATAAACATAGGAAATGAGTAGTTTCATGTGTACCATAACAACAAACTTCGGAGAGTCATGAGCAAGATCTAAGATCCTTATGAATAAATACGTCATGAATATGATGAATTCTTAATCGCATATTTCCAAATGACCACAGACATTTATAAGCATAGTTCTAGCATATTTAACCATGAAAGGAAAGTTCATTTCGTTCTCTGCAGACTAGAAAGGCTTGGAAATCAAACTAATAGCTAGTGAAAGAGAGCATGTAAACGAAAGTTCATTACATCTTATAAGCCGTGATGAAGATGCTGCCACCAGACCCACCGCCGCCTTTAGCTCCTCCATAACCTCCGTCTGCCAAAAGGCTTCCGTTAACATCCAGAAACTGCAGAATATCCATCTTCACCCTCCCGCCACCTCCTCCTCCATAATCAGTCTCCTTGCTCGTTGACCCGCCTTTACTACCGTAGCTCCACGGCTTATTCAGAGTCGACCAGGAGTATGCATCACCTCCCCACACATCTTCGGGAAGCTTACTAGTGTCGGTCAAACAACAAGCGCCTCTACCACCATGCCCACCACCAGCACCCTCGATCGCCTGCGGCGTCCCGCTGGTCTGTGGCGGAGGGTTCCCGGCTAAGCCCGTCGTGTTCACGGCCGACCCGTTGGCAAAGCTAGCGTTACCAGCTGCAAGCTCCAATGTCCCTGCGACAATTGTAGATTCCGCGCCCAGAGAGAAGTTCCCAGAAACATTGATAGCAATGGAGCATCCGGGGATCGGGCAGTGAAACTTAACCCCTGGTAGGATGATAAAATTACCCTTCCCAGCTATATACACATCGCGCGTAAGATTCAAATCGGCAACAATCTTACAAGTAGTATCCAAAAATCCAACGCCGCCGAGATCCTCACTGCAGGACACCGATGGTCCGTGCGGAGGTGGCGGTGGCGGAGCCGGCGGCGAGTAATCCTGATGGTAAAGCAGCGACTCAGAATCCGGGTCCAAATCCGAATCAAAACCCGAATTCGGTTCCACAATGGCGAATCGATAACTTGAACTAGGGTTTACGGCAAAAACCGCAACAGCGACCAGGAAGAAGAAGAGGAATCGAAATCGAGCCATCCACTAGTATCAAGAGTCATCACAGACGAAGTCCAGTAAGGTTTTCGATTCGACCCCAATTCGGGTCATTGAGCATATGGTTGACGAAACTGAAAACCCAGAGACCCAATTAACAAACCCTCCCTTTCTACACCGCCACACACGCCTATGCATACATCAACATAGACATCTATGTATGCATGTACACGTATAGTCCTCTCGCACAAGAAGATTTGAAGAAAAGCGCATAAACCCCCACCGTAAATGGCTCTCAGAGAGAGAAATGTTGCTTTTCTTTTCTCGGAAGAGAGAGAAAGAGAGGGAAGAGAGCTTCCAAGAAGAAGGAAACAGGTTGGAACGGAGAGTAGTTACGATCAGGTACGTGCGGCTTCACCGTAATCGCAAAGAAATCAGCTAAATATTCTTTTGGCTATAGCAAATCATATTATGCCACGTCGTTCTTTAGATTGGCCTCTTAGGTCATGCTACTCTGTATCGTGGTTCACATGGAACTGGAAGTGTCATCTGAATCTTAATTTATTTCCTAATCGAATTATGTTATGACATCTGTCATATTACATTTAATTACTCGCGTTGCTGTTTAACAATCTTCGTTTAAGGGGGGGTGTTAAAGACTGCAATTAAAAAAATAAACGTCAGGGCATACGTTCGACAATTAAACGGTATTTCGACTGGGCTTTGATGGGCCCTGTTTCCGAAGGAGTTTGATGGACACGTGCCAAGCTTGAGCGTGAGTGTTCAATTTTGAGAAACAGAAAAGGGTGTGACCTGGATGAAGTAGAAACAAAACTTAACAAATCTAGCTGGCCCAATAGAAAAACTAGCAGCATTATCAGTAGTACCAGCAAATTAATTTATCAGACCAATCAATTTTCCAACGTTCTCGATCATATTTCCACTAGTTGAAATGAAAAATGGTATTTACACTGTTTTGAGAGGCGTCTACTTTTATAGTCAAAACCCCATTGCTCAGTTTCCACTTTCATCTCAGTTTTTACTTTCTGTGAATTAAAAGCAAAAACACCGACTTGAAATAGTTTCTCCGAATAAATTCGAAGATGCATTGTTTTTTCTATCTCTTTTTGGATTGGGTCAAAAGAGGAATTGACTGAAGCCCAATTATCTATGTTGTATCAAGATAGAAACGGAAACAAAGATAGGAGGAAATGGCAAAACTAAAAATTTGATTTAGAACAACATGATTTTGTTAACTAGTTATTAATAAGTAATTTATTTTATTTAAAACTTATAAGTTAATAATTTTATAAATTAATAAAATATTATAAATTTATAGAGTTTTGACCTTTTACCGTATAAAAAATATTACGCGAGAAATCGATTTTTAGGTGCTATTTTGTTTTGTCGCTGTTTATATATATACCCCGAAAAAGGAAAAGAAAAAACACTATTAAAAAAAAAAAACCTTGCCATATTCCTGATCAGATCTACACTTCTCCAGATTTTGCCGGATATCGTTCCTTTGTTCATATCGTTTTCGCGAATTCAAAATGGATTTCATGAAGGTCTTCGATCAAACGGTTCGAGAGATGTGGGTTTGCCGTTCTGTCTATCTATTCTTCCTCGATTTCGATTAAAATCCGTAGATCCTTGGTTTATGTCTTCGATTGATTTCGATTAATTCTTTACTTGCAGAAAGAGGGAGGTGAATCTGAAAGTTTTGAAGGTTCCTGAGATGGAGCAAAAGGTGAATTCATTGGATTCTTACCTACATGTGTAAAGTGTCTGCATGTTGCTTGGCTGATTGAGATAAAAAAAAATGATTGAAAAATTTCTAGAGTGTTAGAGATTGCACGAAAGCACTAACTCCTGATCAGTTGAGCTGGATTTGTTATTGGTTCTCTGTTCGGATGCTGAGTGTGTTCATTGTTGATATTAGATTCATCTTTAGGACTAAGAAATCTCGATTTCCAGTATTATGGATTACAAGTTAAGCTTGAGACTTGATGTTTGTATTAATGCTATAAAGTTTAGGGTGAACGCCAATGTGTAGTATGCTATTTCCAGGATTGTCTGTTTAATCATGCCTTCTTATTCTTGAGTTCTGTGATAGGTGTTAGATGCTACAGACAATGAGCCCTGGGGTCCGCATGGTACTGCATTGGCAGAGATAGCACAGGCCACGAAGAAATTGTAATCTCTGGATTCACTTTCTTTCTTGTTGTTTTTTTCTTTCTTTCAAAGACCATTATTCACTTCAATCTGGAAAAGATTTTGATTATATATCGCTACGTTCTCATTATGTTTAGCTCGGAGTGCCAGATGGTTATGAGTGTTTTATGGACTAGACTGAGTGAGACAGGAAAGGATTGGCGATATGTCTACAAGGTGAGAATCGTCGTGGCATTTTCCTGCTTTATTTGGAAGCTTCAAGTTTATATCTTTGGTGTAACCCTATGTTGTTGTTTTTTTTTTTCTTCCAGGCACTGGCGGTTATTGATTATCTGATTTCAAACGGATCAGAACGAGCAGTCGATGAGATTATTGAGCATACTTACCAAATATCTGTCAGTATATATCTCTTACACATTTTGATAGGTCGTTTTCTTGATATGGACGTTGTGGTTCTCTACTGATATGGTCTTTGTTTGTGATTTCTCATCCTTGTAGTCACTCACGAGTTTTGAATATGTCGAACCGAATGGAAAAGATGTGGGTATCAATGTGAGAAAGAAGGCAGAAAACATAGTCGCTCTCTTGAATAATAAGGAGAAAATCTCAGAAATCAGAGACAAAGCAACAGCAAATCGTAACAAGTTAGTTTTTATCCAAGTGACAATAACTGGTTTGTACATTCTTCTTTATACGTTGCCTTGAACGGTTTTGCTGCCTCCAATTAGGTACGTTGGCCTCTCATCAACAGGAATAACATATAAATCTGGTTCAGCTTCAGCATCGTTTGGTGGTAGTTTTCAAAGTGGTTCAAGCAATTATGATAGCTACAGGGATAAAGATTCCAGAGAAGAAGGCAAGAATGACTACGAGTCTTTCCAAAAGTCAAGGCGCGGTGGTAAAAGTGAAGAGCAAAGCTACACTTCGAAGAAAAGTTTTTCACGCTATGGCAGGTTTTGTCTCATTCCCATTCATTTGCTGATGCTATATACTCGTTACGGGTTTTGGGTATAACTTTAATTTGAGAGGGTTTTTTCCAAGTTGAGGATGCTCGTATCTTTCTTTTATTTCGCATCCGTGCTTTTATGGTATTGAGCATGTTAAACTTGCCTTCTTGCTCAGTCGGTTTCAATTATGAATATGCAGCACGGACCATGATAATTTATCCAGTGGAAAAAAGTCACCCGACTCTGGCAAACATAGTTCCATGCCTTCTAACAACGACGATGATTTTGATGATTTTGATCCACGTGGAACTTCCAGCAATAGTATGTTCCTTTCTACGCCTGCTGAACTTGCAGAATTCAAACAAATTGTGACGGACAACATGTACATATCTGTAGACGTATGTCCGTTTCTTATTTGCTCGGTTTTTTTCTATTCTGCAGAGCCTTCCACAGGCAGTGCCAACCAAGTGGACCTTTTTGGAGCAGATCTGATTGGTGACCTCTTGGATGCTGGTCCAACTGAAACATCTTCCACCAACAACAATGGGAAGTTTCAAGAGGCGGACTTGTTTGCTGATGCAACTTTTGTATCAGCCTCGGTTCAGGGAACAGAATTTGGGTCGCAGGCACAGGTGGGTGACTTATTTTATACAGCTTTTAACAATGGAAAAATCCCCGATTTAGTGACCATTCATGTGATGCAATTTCGCGCTGCTTGACAAACACGTTCAGTTTTTGGCTGTTGAAGTCATAAAACAGTGACTTGTCCTGTTGAGTCATAGACTGACATATTTTCGCATGTCTGTTGCTACAGAAAGAAGTTGATCTTTTCTCTGCGTCTGAACCTTCTGTCACAGTTTCTTCAGCTCCTCCGACTGTTGACCTTTTTGCATCTCCTGAATCAGTTGCACCCCCAGAAGCCAAGATTCCTAAACCCGAGTCTATGACCACTCCCAACATTGTTGACCCATTTGCTGCAGTTCCTATGGAAAATTTTGATGGATCTGACCCGTTTGGTGCCTTCACTTCTCACTCGGCTTCAGTCTCTACAGGTCCACAGGCTCCAGCTGTACATGGGAGTGCAACAAACACCACAAGCCCACTGTCTTTGGCAGACTCGAAGCCACAACAGCTGCAAAAGAAGGATCCTTTCCAAGTGAAATCTGGAATCTGGTCAGATTCGCTGAGCCGTGGACTGATTGATCTCAATATAACTGCTCGTAAGTCAAAACATCCTCTTTATGTTTTTCATCAAGAACTCTATCTTGTGCAGTGCACTAGTATGTCATAGCGAGCTATAAAAGATTTTAGTTTGTTTTCTCGTGAACTGAACTAGATGCAGATCAAACCCAAAAACATAGTTGATCAGTTACATTCGAATTATTGGTCGAATATATTTACCCACACGAGTCCAAATGTTTAGCTCACGTAAAGTTTCGCATTGTACCTAAGACAATTAAATTGTTAAGTTTTACTTTCCAAGTCCTGTTCTGGATCTGACTAATGAATCTTCACTGTGATCAGCTAAAAAAGCTTCTCTCGCTGATGTGGGGGTTGTGGGTGGTCTGAGCAATGATGAAGGGAACAAGGCATCTGCTGCTACGTACTACACAGGGTGGTCGATGGGCGCAGGATCCGGGCTTGGTAAAACAGGACTATACAGTGGACAGCAGCAACAACAACAAACAACACCTGAAATCTCAGATGATTTCTTCTCCAGCCTCAGTAACCAAACCTACCAAACTGGAGGGTTTAAGCGGTGAATTTGTCTGGGATATGCTGTTCAGATGAAAAAGGCATATCAGGTTTGATTCTACATTCATACTGGAAATCTTTGCTTGTTTTTTTTTCTCTTAAATGGGTTTTGTTGTTCTTGCACTTATTAATTCTTGGGACAATCTCGTCGGTGGCTGATGTGCCATCGTTGTTGTGGCATTTACTTTGGGTTTAATTGAGAGAGAGAGCTGTATTTATAGTTTTTCATAAGAGATGCATTATTATTATTGGTTTTAAGTTTGGTTTTGTCCATAGAACAACAAAGTATATGTATTTCGTCCGGCACTACCGAGAATTTATCGTGTGTGATTCTTAAGCAGAAGAGACTCCAACATTCTTCTTAGCTTTGTTTTATGATTTTTCTTTTATCTTATCAAAAATTGTATTTCACGCTGTCCAAGTTCATTCTTAATGATGATGTTAACACTAATCATATCTTATACAATTTGGTTGGCCCTGGTTGGCGCATTAACTGCATCTATTGATGAAAAAATCATATATTTCTAAAAAGGGTTTTACAACAAAATGTTGACAGCAATTTTTTTGTTTTTATTCTTAACCGAAAACTTTTTTTCTAAAGCCAAAATTTATGACTTTAATTTTTGTTTAAATCACAGCCTTTGTTTTCTAAAGCCAAAATTTATGACTTTAGTTTCTACTTTTAGAGCAACTTCATGGATTCTCAATTGAATCCCTCACTAAATATTATATTATTATTTTCAGTATAATTTAATTTGTTAATTATTTTTAAGTTATAAATAAAATTGAACTATTTATAAATAGACAAATGTGAGTATCTAAAAGTTCTTAAGAGCATTTCTGTTGGTATTTTTATCAAGGTATCTCACTAATAAAAAATAGAAAAAAAGAAAGAAAAAGAAAAAAGAATATCTCATCAAAATATTTTATTTAAAAATTCTTGAGATAGCTTCACATATCATTTTACAATTGATTTATTTATTTTTTTACAAAAAAAATATTATATTACAAATTATTAAAAATATTAGTATTATATAGATAAAATATTCAAGAAAGTATTCCATCAATGAAAGTGATCTAAAATTGAAAGATTTTTTATTATTCTATCATTATTTAAAATTGAGATTTTCTTCAATTAAGTACCAATGAGAATGCTCTTAGATTTTAAACTTAAAGCATAAAAGCTACAGTCCCATCCAATCAGACACCCAAACCAAAATCAATATGTCATTGCCTCAGTGGTTTCCTACTATCTTCATCGTTCTCGTCTTTTTCTTCTGTAGCTTAGCATTACCCTCACATGGAAGCTCACACGCAGTAGTAGCTGAAGAAGAAGATGCCACAGTCGTTGGATACGGCTACGTCGTTAGATCAGTGGCCGTTAATTCCAACCAGAAGCTTCTGACGGCGGAGCTTGATCTGATTAAACCGTCGTCCGTTTACGCACCAGATGTTCAAACGCTTAGCCTTCATGTCAGGTGATAACAGTCGTCTCTCTCTACCCACTCTCCGGAAATTCCTAAATTTGACTTACATATTCTTAAGTTTTTCAAACTGATTTTAAATCTGCGATAATTTGGGAAACTTCCGCCATTATATTAACTGCAGCTTGGAGACTAGTGAGCGTTTGAGAATCAGACTCACAGATTCTAATCAACCAAGATGGGAGATACCGCAAACCGTCGTTCCTCGTGCCGGAAACCTCTCTCTTCGCCGTTTCTTATCGGAGGAAGACGGAGGGAGCTCGTTGGAGAACAATTTGCTGGAAGATCCATCATCCGACTTATTTTTCACCCTCCACAACACCACGCCGTTTGGTTTCTCCGTTTCCAGACGATCCTCCGGTGACATCCTCTTCGATGCATCGCCGGGTTCATCAGATCCAAATACTTACTTGGTCTTCAAAGACCAATTCCTTCAACTATCTTCCGCGTTACCGGAAAACCGATCGAATCTGTACGGCCTCGGAGAGCACACGAAGCGGTCTTTCAAGCTAGTTCCCGGCGACACCATGACTTTGTGGAACGCCGACATCGGTAGCGAGAATCCGAATGTTAACCTCTACGGATCGCACCCGTTCTACATGGATGTGAGAGGATCGAACGGCCACGACGACGAAGCAGGGACGACTCACGGCGTTCTCTTGCTGAACAGCAACGGAATGGACGTGAAGTACGAGGGGAGTCGGATTACTTATAATGTGATCGGCGGCGTCATCGATCTCTATGTGTTCGCCGGACCATCGCCGGAGATGGTGATGAATCAGTATACAGAGTTTATCGGAAGACCTGCCCCTATGCCTTACTGGTCATTTGGTAAAGAGATGTTTGCTCTGTTCATTTGTTTTTTTGTGAATTGAGATGTGTGGTTTAATTTGGTTTGGTTATTCATTTTCGTGAAGGGTTTCATCAGTGTCGGTATGGGTACAAGAATGTCTCAGACCTTGAATCTGTGGTTGATGGATATGCAAAAGCTGGAATACCTCTTGAGGTTATGTGGACAGACATTGATTACATGGACGGCTACAAAGACTTCACTTTCGACCCCGTGAATTTCCCTGAGGACAAGATGAAATCATTCGTGGATAGACTTCACAAGAGCGGTCAGAGATACGTGCCGATCTTGGATCCTGGTAAAAATCCAAATACTACTACTATCTCTACAGTCTCTAAAAAAAATGATTTCTAAAGACATGAAAATGTTGGTTTTACTTGTAGGAATCGGTGTGAATAGCTCTTACGGAACATATGTTAGAGGAATGGAAGCGGATGTTTTCATAAAACGAAATGGTAAGCCTTATCTCGGCGAGGTTTGGCCTGGAAAAGTATACTACCCTGACTTTTTGAATCCAGCTGCTGCAACTTTCTGGAGCAACGAAATCAAGATGTTCCAAGAAATTCTCCCATTCGATGGTGTGTGGATTGACATGAACGAGTTATCGAATTTCATAACTTCTTCACCTGTGTCCTCTGGATCGTCACTCGATGATCCTCCTTACAAGATTAACAATTTCGGGGGCAAAACGTCGATAAACCAGAAGACGGTACCCGCAACATCTATCCATTTTGGAAACGTTAGTGAGTACAATGCGCACAACTTGTATGGACTCTTGGAAGCTAAAGCCACTCACCAAGCTATGGAGGATGCAACGGGCAAGAGACCTTTTATTTTGTCAAGATCCACGTTTGTGAGCTCGGGGAAATACACGGCTCACTGGACCGGAGATAACGCTGCAAAGTGGGAGGATTTGGCTTACTCGATCCCTGGGATTCTCAACTTTGGGCTGTTTGGGATTCCAATGGTTGGAGCTGATATTTGTGGTTTCTCATATGATACCACCGAGGAATTATGTCGTCGATGGATCCAGGTAGAGTGATTTAATTCTCAGACATAAACAGTTAAAACTTTTTTCTTTCTAAGTTCATGATCTAACTTTGGCTCTTAAGATTATCAGCTTGGAGCTTTTTACCCTTTTGCAAGAGATCATTCGTCCAAGGGTACTGCTAGACAAGAGCTATATCTGTGGGATTCGGTTGCTTCTTCTGCAAGAAAGGTTCTCGGCCTCCGTACGAGACTGCTCCCACATCTCTACACACTCATGTATAATGCGCACGTTAGCGGCATTCCGATCGCGCGACCGCTCTTCTTCTCTTTCCCTCGAGACGCTAAAACCTATGAGATCAGTTCGCAGTTCTTGATCGGTAAAAGCATAATGGTATCTCCGGCGCTGGAGAAAGGTACGGTGGCCGTCGATGCATATTTCCCCGTGGGAAACTGGTTCGATATGTTTAACTATTCGTTCGCCGTCGGTGGTGACTCCGGCAAGCGCGTTAAGCTTGATACTCCGGCCGATCACGTCAATGTTCATGTTCGAGAAGGTAAGTAAATTATTCTATTTACCCCCGTTCATAATTACTAGTTTTTTCGGTTTGACAACCAAATTGAGTTAACTTTTGTGAAATATAGGTAGCATTGTGGCTATGCAAGGAGAAGCAATGACAACTAGAGAAGCCAGAACGACACCGTATGAGATTCTAGTTGTAGCCAGCAAGCTTGAGAACATCTCCGGCGAACTGTTTCTGGATGACGGCGAAAACATACGGATGGGAGAGGGAGGAGGGAACCGTGATTGGACACTAGTGAAGTTCCGGTGCTATGTGACCGGAAAATCCGCGGTACTAAGATCGGAAGTGGTGAACCCAGAGTATGCGTCGAGAATGAAATGGAGCATCGGGAAAGTGACGTTTGTAGGGTTCGAGAACGTGGAGAGCGTGAAAGCGTACGAGGTAAGGACAGGCGAGAGATTGAGGAGTCCGAAAATCTCTCTTCTCAAGACGGTTATGGACGACGATGGTCAGAAGTTTATGAGTGTGGAGGTTTCTAGACTGTCGTTGCTTGTTGGGAACAAGTTCGAGATGCGATTGAAATTGGCTTAAAAAAGAACAAGTACATATGAAAAGTATATAAACCCACTTTGATGATATAAATTGTGGATGCTTAAATGTAATGAATAAAGAAAGGCTTGCGGCGATTAAAAGATTTCATAAAACTTTATAAAAAACTCCAAAGGAAAATAGTTATTAATATCATCAGGTCGGTATATGACTAGGCACAACGACATCGGCAAGACCATTCTCGAGAACTTTCACTAGGTTTTTAAAGAAGTTTCTGGTTGCGTTGGTGTAACATATTAACTTCTTCCGGTACTCAGTGAAAGCGTCTTTAAGCACATCTTTTGAAGTGCCAGCAGCAGCAGCAGCGTCAAACGCGTCGTCCAATTCCTTCTGTAAGCGTGCAGTGCCCTCAGCAGTTTCAAACGGCTCCAGTTCCTTCTCTACGCATTTGTGGAGCCTCTCCAGACTAGACTCAGCCTCCCCTTGCGAATACTCGAATAACTCTCGCTGCTTAAAATAATCGGGTCCTTGAGGTAGATAGAACCCATACGCATATGTCCATTTCAGCACCCGCCTGCCCTCAATGATCTGAATCCACGCCTCTGCGATGAGCCTGAGCTCAGCTTCTGTTGCCTTCTGTATGTCACATAGTACCTCAAGCTTCTCCGAATGGAATTTCCGCAGATCCTCAACAGCCTTCTTCCTCGACTTTTCATTGCTCGCCCACCGTTCGTAGTAATGGGCGTATCTCTCTATCGACATCTTCGCCATCTCCCGCACCTTTTCAGCCTCGTCATGCAGTCCTTGTTTCCTAGCCACCTCATACTTGTTGCACGCATAAAACCCACCGGATCTGTCCCCGTGCTCTGTCCATGGACCAAGGCAGAGCCAACAAAACTGGTGTTTACAAGGCGCTGTGCACGTCATGTGCATGCAGCCATGGTTCTTCTCGATCGACCGCTTGCACATGGGACAGGGCTTTGAGTTCGCAAGTATCCAAGTCATGTTCTCGGACTCGGCGCTGTTCTTGCGTACCCACTGCCCAACAGTGTCGCAGTCCACAGGACGGTGAGCGTCTTCACTGCAGTTCCAGCAGAAGCTGTGCGAGCACGAGCAGTAGACATCGTTACTACTCCTTGTCCCTTCGGCGGAAAAATCAATCGCTAGCTCGCATCCCGGTGCGGGACACCACTTCCTCTTCCTGCTGCCTTCGACATAAGACCTGAGAAAATACCTGTCGTACTTATCCTTGCTTTCCTTGGAAGCAAGCTTCTCGACCATGTCTTGACCAACAGCACAGGAGCAAGAAGGTTCTGGACATTTAATCATCAAGCACCCTGGACCATCGTTGATGGCTGTGGTGATGTAACCAGTCCAGCAAGCAGAGCAGAAAGGATGACCACAAGCAACCAATACAATTTCTCGAGGAGGATATGACTCAAAGCATATCCCACATCTAACTTTTTTGCGAGTAGCAGCAGGTCTTGGTCGACGTGGTGCCTCCAATATCCCGGCGCTACTCCGAACTCTCTCCTCGTCAGCAAACCATTCATCGTTAACTTTGCTAACACTCCACTGATAGTGAAGAAGCAAGATGCTAGCTTCGACCTCGCTTAGAGAGAGGACGGTGGAAACTTGTCCGATGTCATCCTTCTGATTCCTGCGGATATCTTCTTCCTTGAGACAAACGTAATTTACCTGGTCAGAGGTCGCAGCGGAATCGTCGTCCTCACCGTATGCACAAAGATCATCATCCTCTCCACCTTCTGAATCATAGTCACCGTATGTACAAAGATCATCCTCTCCGCCTTCTGTATCGTAATCATCGGAATACATGATCGGCGCTCCAAGAGAAAACTTTTACACTCCCCTCTCTGTGAAGGCTTTGATATATTTATATGATTCAGACGTAGCAACCTTTTCTCCTGCCGCTGGTCAAAGTAGGGTTAACATATATACTATTTGTATTAGGAATGTACTAGTCCTTGTATTTTATAGATATTTTCCATTCCGCTCTTTCCATTTTTTTTAATACAACTCCCTTTTTCCTTTTTTTATTATTTTAACTCTCAATCAATTTCCTTTTGGATATATGTAGATCACAGCTTGTTCACATAGCATATTTGTCAAATTTCCCTATTATTATTGTTTTTTTTTTTTTGCATCCATTTCGCCACAAATTTGCCATTGATCTTCTTCTTTTTTTTTTAACTCAAATATCTATCAAAATTTAATAATGACTGAATTTCAAAAATCTGATGAAAATCCTCAAAAACCGTAGAAAATTAGTCTAAAATTAATAGGAAAAAAATGACGTCATGATCCGATTCCGAAATACCTCAAAGTCTACGCAAGGACAGACCAGCGGTCTACGCAAAAAAAAAAAAAAAACCCGTTTCGGCGTCTTGCTCACTTTACTTTTCAATCCCGTCTTCTCCATTCATCATCATCTCTCAAAGTTTCAAAGACGGATTCGTGAGTTCTCAGTGTGATCCTGCCATCTTTGCAACTACTGATTCTTACTTTTTCGCTTCTAAGTCCGACACGTGGATTATCCTCTGCTTTAATCATCTGGTGGTGAAGACGCCTCACTTATAGTTTCTTCAAATAGCTCTGGCCTCTGGATCCGGAACTCTCTGACGACGGTTGCAAAGTTGATTGCTCCGAGTTTCGATTTGCTGCTCTGGTGAAGGAAATAGTGATTGGATCACTTTCGTACTTACTTTCTATGGAGATTCCGCGTGCTCGGATTACCGATTTTATTGATTTAGATTGAGAAACCTTTGAGGAATCAAGCTGCTTCCGGGACTTCGTGATTAGCGAGGAGATCTGGAGTTGTAGTTTCAGGATCTTACAAGTTAAATTAGGATCCTTACGAGTGAATCATTGACTTCGGATTGTTCAAGTGTTTAGGCTACTCGATAGTGATTTCCAGAACATACCTTTAGATCAAGCTAGAAGCAGAAACAGAATCTGATTGTTTCTAGACATTTGATAAGGATGCAGAGTAGGGCTGTACAGCTGGAAGAAGGAAAAGAAAATGGAGTCTCTGTTAGAACAGGGAATTATAAGGCATTTCCGCCGAAACTGCTTCTTGTGCTTGGGCTATTTCTCGCTTTCGCTGTTACTGTCTTCATCATTAGCGTGTCTACGATCAAGTATGTTGGTATACAAAGTGTGGTCACCACAGTCACTTCGAGCTTTGTGCCGTGCCGCTTGGAGGAACCGAGTGGTTTGGATCGATGGGTACAGCCTCCTGCGGTTCTGATGCATAACATGACCGACGAAGAGCTCCTTTGGCGTGCTTCTTTCTGGCCTCTGAGAAAAGAATATCCGTTTAAAAGGGTTCCCAAGATTGCGTTCATGTTCTTGACCAAAGGCCCCTTGCCGCTCGCTTTGCTTTGGGAGAGGTTTCTCAAGGGTCACAAGGGGCTTTACTCGGTTTACATTCATCCGCACCCTTCTTTTACAGCCAAGTTCCCAGCTAACTCTGTTTTCCACCGGAGGCAGATACCGAGTCAGGTCTGCTTCTTTTATCCCTCTCTCTCTGTTACATTTAGTATGAGAACAAAAAATTAAGCTTTTGAATCAAACTTGGTTTCTTTAGAATGCTTTTTCACCATACAGTCATTCTTGTATACTACTGTATGTAGCCATTCTTCTTGAAGTAGACTTACCAATTCTATAACGTCTAAGAAAATGTTAAACTTGGTTTCTTTAGTAGCCTTTTGTTCTAGCAGATATCAGTTGTAAGCTAAATTGGATATTGCTTACTTGATTTGGTTGTAATGTGGACATCGACATCATCGAGCAGGTTGCAGAATGGGGGAGAATGACCATGTGCGATGCGGAGAAGCGGCTTCTCGCCAACGCGCTGCTCGATATCTCCAACGAATGGTTTGTTCTAGTCTCGGAGTCATGCATTCCACTCTTCAACTTCACAACAATCTACAGCTACTTGAGCCGATCAAAACACAGCTTCATGGGTGCTTTTGATGACCCTGGACCGTTTGGGCGCGGCCGCTACAACCAGAACATGGACCCTGAAGTTCCCATCACCAAGTGGCGGAAAGGCTCTCAGTGGTTTGAGATTGACCGGGACCTCGCAGCTACCATTGTCAAAGACACATTGTATTACCCAAAATTCAAAGAGTTTTGTAGGCCTGCTTGCTACGTGGACGAGCATTATTTCCCGACGATGCTGACGATTGAGAAACCAGCGGTTTTGGCTAACCGGAGCTTAACGTGGGTGGACTGGTCTAGGGGCGGGCCACACCCTGCCACGTTTGGGCGATCGGACATTACAGAGCAGTTCTTTGGAAAGATCTTTGATGGAAGAAACTGCACTTACAATGGTCGCAACACTTCCATGTGCTATCTCTTTGCGAGGAAGTTTGCTCCGAGTGCTTTGGAGCCACTGCTCCACATTGCTCACAAGATTCTGGGGTTTTGAGTTAGTTTAAGTACCTGAACCTCCTGAAATCAGATAGAGATCATGATATAAATTCTGTGAGACATTTTACGCCAATATTATTTTATTTAGTTTGGTTTGATTTAGATTCGGAAGGAATGAGATAATGTGGCACAACATGATCCAGTCATATATAGTATTTGGTTAATAAAATGGCACAACATGATCCAGTCATATAGTGTTTGGTTAACTTTATTTTCGAAAAGTTTGAATACAACCATGTTTATTCGAATCACAGTTTTTTTTCCTGTGTGATTTTTGGGATTATTGGCAGGCTTAATTCCTTTAAGCTGTGTCTAAACAGTGTTTATGTGTTAACATGGCACAATTTCATCTACTGAATTATTGTGTGATCTAATTAAACAACATATGTTAATTATAAAGTCTGAATTCTGATTCTCGTGTCGCACTCATTTTATTCGATTCTAAGAAGTTAGAAAAACGAGCAAAACTTTCTCAAAGTGGATATATTCATCTAGTGTTGGTAAATTTGCTTACCGACCAAAGTTTTGGCGTTGAACGTGAGAAGACATAACTAAATGACAATGTGAACGAAACATAGACAGGTGGTGAAACACTTTTACACCTATCCGAAGCTTCTCGAATCCCTCAAGAGCCTGCCAACGTCTACCACCTGTCTTTTTTTTCCTTAAAGAAATTCAATAAAGTTATTCTTTTATGGGGAAATTCCATTAAAGTGTTTCAAAAGGTTTCATTTTTCCAATTTTGGACAGGTGTTATTCTTTAATGAGGTAAAGACTAGTAATTTGTTATAAGAATCATTAAGTTTGGCATTAATCTCCAAATCATGACAAATTAATCACTGATTATCATTATGGCTTACAGTATTTCCAACGCTTCCAATTTTCTTATGTTTATACTACTATCAAATAGTACTATCATTTTCATTTTTAATGTTTCCGCCAGAATAATAACCCATCGAAATCTTTGACAACAACATATGGTTTGGTTAGCAAACAAGAAGAGCAGAATATATCCACCAAGTTTTCAGATTCCCTCAAAAGTAATTAAAAAAAAAAAAGCAACACATTGCTTCGAGAAATTAAGGACTGCCTTTTGCTCCACACATGTCGACGTATTCTAAAAGCTCTTTAGCATTTAGCCGTTAACACGACCCATGTGCGAGGTGGTCTCCACTTCTCAACAAATACAAGTCTGCGCATCTTGGCCGTTTCCTTCACGGAACCGCGTGACTAGAAGGAAAAAAATAGACAGCTCATCATATTCTTCACGCGCCAAAACAACAATCTCACCGACCGTTGCGCCTATCTTGGCTGGCGAGTTAGATGCACGCGCCTCGGTGAGCGTTCTGAAAAACGGCGTGTGGGTTGGAGAATAAATATCTTTGGAACGGCGCCGTAACGGAGAGATGACCTGTCGAGATCCCAGTGAACACGCGGAAGAATATCAACCGTCGATGATCTTGATTTGCGGGACCCGCAGGTGGACCAGCTGTATTTTTGCATGATTCCTTAAGCTGGAAAATACGGTCAGCTAAACCAGCTGAACCGGGCAGCTCCGCGTTTGCCCGTCCTCTTTATATACGCACCATCGCATTGATTCTCATTACTGCCAATTTGAGAAAACCCTTGAGCTCACCAAGTTCGAATCAAACAAAAACCCTAGCCCCTCTTTTGTCAATCTCTCTCCACATCTCTGAAATGGCGATCTCTAAGGCTACCATTGTTGCTCTCGTCGCGGTGATTGTCTCCGTGTTCGCCACCGTCGCTTCTGCTCAGTCTGAGGCTCCGGCGCCAAGCCCAACTTCTGGATCTGGTGCGATCTCACCGTCCGTCGTCTCAGCTGGTGTTGCAGCCGTCGCGGCTCTTGTTTTCGGCTCTGCTCTTCGGATCTAAGTCTTTTTGATGGCGATTCGTACAGAGATTGTTTTGAAGGTTTTTTAATCGGGTATAGCATTCATGATATTCGTGTGTATTCCGAAGCTATAGATCTCTCTATCTCTTTGGCTCTTCTTTTTCTACCTACCTTCATATCTTTATGAGGATATATATCTTTAGAGTATTGTGGTTTGTGCTTTCTAGACGATTTTTAGTATGATGTTTCTTTTTGATATGATATGATTCTATTCTATTTATTTATGGATGTCTCTCAGATTTCGCTTCTCGTTCTATCTTAAATCATGCTTCTCCGTACTACATGAGCTCGTTTTATATATCGGATCACTATCCAACGCGTTTAAAATCGAATAATTCATCCCAATTCCGACTGAAATTTCGATTGTAATCGAACTATAGATTGTAAACTGAATCTTAATCTGAACTGAACTCGTACCATTACCAACCTGGTGAAAATTAATTTTTGTATCGAAGTAAATCCAAAAACTGAAAAGCAGAATACGAAACCAGATGATCGATATTTGAGTGGTTCAATATTGCGACTCCAACTACATCTCTGGCTTTTCTTGAGTATAATTTTGAATTCCATATAGAGTTTTGAGTCTTTCAGAGTTCAATCAGTAAATTAAAGCTACAAGTCCCCATTTCTCTTTATTTGCTCAAAGCACTTGTGACACTCATTTCCAAATTTAGTGTAGGACCTTGGACGTTGTTTCGGAAATTGTGGTCGACTTGCAAGAAAACTTATTGCGTGTAAAACAATTTAAGAATGATGAAACCCAAAAATAAGAGCTTTGAGCTTTCGTTTCAATTAGAAAGAAAATGAGGTAAGAAGTAGCTCCCGAAGGTGATTCAGTTTCTTCTATCACGAGTTTATTTTCAATTTAGAAGATTTGTGGCTTCATAAACGTGTTTGTCACCAACAGCGAGGAACAGTACAACTGCTATTAACGGAGTCAAAGTTTCGTTAATGGAAACCAATTTTGGTCAAAACTGAGAAAAATAGTTGGAAATTTATTTGATGAAAGTGAAAGTTTGAGGACTTTGACTTGGGCAGAAATTAAAAGTTCAAGCTTTTTTCAGACGGTGAAGAATAATCAATTGCTGATTAGTATCGAAACAATTTAGCATTTAGATATAATGAATGATAAAAGGATGTGTAAACGTGTTGTGTAATATGTGATTCGGTGTAGTTAAGTAGGATATTCATATTTCATAGGCGCATAGTTTAACAATTCCTTCAGAAGTACCTTCCCCGTTAGATCTTGGTTATTTGCGTAATTACTTCCGTTTATGCATCATAACCAAAAAAGACTCTCTAAAAGCATCTCCAATCTATTGCTATTTTTTCCTCTACTTTTAGATGAAAAAACAGAGGTCTCATTTTTGTTCTCCAATCCATCTCTATTTTAGAGGAAAAAATAGGTTCCTCTACATTTTCCTCTAAAATAGAAATATTCCTTTAAAATAGAGGTGGATTGGAGAGAAATCTACCTCTATTTTAGAGTTCTTCTATTTTAGAGGAAAAAATAACAAAATGAATTAGAGATGGTCTAAGCAATTTTCCACACCGGGCCACCCAAATTCTGCAAACCTGGCTCGGTCCAGTCCATCTCAACTTATCGGATCTTGAAGGCAATAATTACAATTTTAATGCAACCATTCTATGTTCACATGATTCCCGTTTGGTTTTGAGGTTTTAACATATTTGTCTAATGATTGGTTCCTTTATTTTGTAGGCCACCTGTTATTATTTTCTACCTTGAGAAGTAAAGAAAACCTTTAATCAACCAAAAAAAGAGAGTTGGTGTTTTTGATATCTATCATTTTTTGATCGCTCAACTAATCAATGCCAAGTTCAAGAAAAACAAATAAGTAAAAAAATCAAACGAGGTGGATTATACAACAATGCGACATGCAATGCAAAAAGGGTCACATGAATATGGTTTTAGAGTTTATACACAAGAAACCCGTTAACGCATGTTTGCAAATTTGGATGATTAAGACACTGCATGTTTCCATATTGATCAGAAAAAATATTAGTATATATTTTGTTTTGACTTTTTAATTCTGAAGTGATATTTACTATTTTAAGCTAACACGAAATATTCGTAAAAAGAAAACCTAAGACGAATTTTTTGGTTTAGAATCTTATTTATGCTTGTAAAGTACGGTAACAAAAACTACACAAGTACACAACGAGGGTATACAAAACTTTGCTCCGGAGAAGATTGAATCGCCATGAAAAGGGTTATGAAGGAGATAATCAGGAACAAGCAAGAAAAACGACACAAAGGCAATGCAAAGTACTCAGTTTCGATTCCTGTAGATCTCATCATAGAGATCCTCGCGAAGCTGCCGCTTAAACCCTTAGCCAAACTCATCTGCGTCTCGAAACTCTGGCTTTCCATAATCCGCAGCAAAGACTTCACCGACTTTTTCTTGACTCGATCTCAGAACCGTCCGTATTTTCTCCTCACGTTCCACCACGAAGACCACCGAATCTTCCTCTCCGTCTCTCAGGATGCTCCGTCCTCTGGTCATCAGATTCAAAGCACATCGATTAAAACTCCGGATCGAGAGTTTGCTATTACTCCACCGGTACGCGGCTTGATCTGCTGCCGAATCGATTCCAGTGTGGTGATTTCGAATCCCGGCACGGGCCAGTACGTGAGTTTGCCCAAAGTCAAAACTAGGAGAAGACACATATCAAGCTTTTTTGGATACGATCATGTCAAAGACGAGTACAAAGTCTTGTCCATGACTGTGTTACAAGTTGGCTACACACGTGGGCCAGTTGTGAGCGAAGAGCATCAAGTTTTCACGTTAGGGAAAGCTCAGAACAAGACGAAGACATCATCATGGAGAATGATCAACTGTAATGTTCCACACTGTCCCGCAGGAACCAAAGGGGTGTGCCTGAATGGTGCTGTATACTATGGAGCTTGGTCAAACAGCCGAAGAAAAGGATCTCTGATAGTTAGATTCGATGTGAGGTCGGAAGAGTTTAGTCATGTCAGTTTACCTGATCGTGTGGAAATCAAACGTCACCTTCAGTCTGAAGTGGTGAGCTACGAGAGGAAGATAGCCTTGCTGATTCAATTATTTAAAGGTAAAGTTGAACTGTGGGTTTTGGAGGATGTGGGGAAAGAAGAATGGTCAAGGATCTTTGTCGTGGTTCCTTCTTGGGAGGATTTAGTTAAGGAAGATCCCTTTGTCACTTGCAGGGGTGTCCTTAGCTCCGGCGAGTTCATATTCACATCACATCCACGGACATACCCGTTATATTATATCAGTTACGATCCCAAGCAAAACATTGCCACAAGAGTTGAGGTTGGAAGATTTGGAGATCGTTCCAGTTCTATGACAGTCTTCTTGGATTATGCAGAGTGTCCTGTATACTTCTGCAATGGACGTTTCATCTGTTGATGGCAACTAGCGAATGGGTTTTGTTTTAGTCCTTACTGGACTTTGATCTAATGCAATGGTTTTTGGTTGATTTAAAGTAATGATTTAGTTTTGGTTGTATTTGGTGGGTGAATCATAAATTTATAAATTGTTCTACACATATATTTCTTTCATGGTTGATTCTACAAAGGTTTTGTTCCTTGTCAACAAAGATTCTCTTGCTTATACTTCAATTTGGTATAGTAATTAAGGAAGATAATTTCTGTAAACAATTTGCTATTAGCTCTTTCTCTTAACTAATAAAAACTCTTGAGCAAGTTGGTAAGCATATATGAGAAATAGAAAAAGAGTTATACTAGTAGAATCTATTTGGTGGGGTTTATATGAAAAAATACTAAGAAAAAATAAAAGGGTTGATTTGACATAAGCATAAAACATCAGGGGTTCATATGCAAATTACCAATAAAGAAAAGGGAGAAAGGAAGAAAAAGAACCCTGGAGGAGGAAGCGAGGGTTTTGTAGGTTTCACATTTTTGGCTCAAACTCCGCCAATCTCTGTAAAACATCCAAACAAACAGATTTGGATAATTCAAAGCTTTAGATCGAATCCTTCGTGCGGAGAAATGCAATCGATTCGTGGCAGTACAAGGTTGCTTCAGAGGCAACGTTTCGCAGTCTCGAACAATCTTCGTTTCACTTCGTCTTCTGCAAGCTGGGCTGATAATGAATCGAGGAGGCTCGGGTTTGATTCTTTCAGTTCTACCGGAGCTTTTGATTCTGCATCTACGTACCTCATCAGCTCGTTTACAAAGGCGTTTTCTTCCTCTTCCGTAGTACCTGTAAGCCACTTTCGTTTTTAGCTAAATCGTGGTTTATGTATTGTTCTCGGATTGTAGAAATGCAGAGGATAATTAGTTGCCAATAGAGATTTTGATTCCAGATTGGGTTGAAATTGCAACTAGTGTAAACACAAAAAGAGAAGCTTTGCTCTTGGGTTGGTCTTGTTGATTACTGGTGGCTAGTTTCCTAGCCATAGATTTGACTGATTCCGTCTCCTGCATTCAAATTTAGCGCAGACTCTTTATGTTGGGGCTTTTGATCGCTATGGTAATCACAGAATAGAAAATAATGATACTTATGCTTATCATCTTCTTAAGCCCCTCTTGTGTGATAGCAAGGGTTGTGTAGATATAGATGAAGCAGTTTCGTGCTGTTGTTATTTCTTTTCGGCTTTGGCACAGTTTTATGCTTTCACTCACAAAATGTTCTGACTTTTTTGTGGATGTTTTGTGTCACATTGATATCTAGACTCTGAATTAGCATGGTGATTGTGAAATGTTTGGCAGAAACAAAACTTTGCGTATTCATCGAGGTGCTTTTCCACCATTGGAGATATAGTTCAGTCTAGTCCCAAAGGGTTCCCTGGGTCCGCTTCTGATGTGCCTCAGAGAATCAAGTTCAAGCGGCTTGATAAAACCGCCAAGCACATAATGCAGGTACAACTCCAACTTTTCAGTTTTCACAATTGGTCACTGGATAAAATAAAACAATGTCATGTTTACAAAACTCTGAATCTTTTTGCAGATTGTAGACAAGGAAGCAGTTGAGGAAGTGAGAACTCTTAGAGAGATACCAGATATAAGGCCCGGTTACATTGTCCAGCTTAAAGTGGTAAATACTAGTATTGAAGTTGGCCTAGATTGTATTTTCTTTTGTTTTTCTTCCAAGGTGAAACCTTTCAATAGGATTTTCAATTGACGTGGTTAGATTTCGCTTGGTTTGAACAGGAAGTGCCAGAGAACAAGAGGCGTGTTTCCATCGTAAAAGGAATTGTAATAGCAAAGCGTAATGCTGGTCTTAACTCGACGTTTAGGATTAGAAGGCTTGTGGCTGGAGTGGGAGTCGAATCCATGTTCCCTTTGTAAGTCTTTTAACCTTTTGAGCTTAAAAGGCAAAGACGGGTTTACATTATTAGAGGGATCCAAAACTGATATGTGAGTGGTGGTGTTTGGTGACAGGTATTCCCCAAACCTGAGGGAGATTAAGGTGTTGGACAAGAAGAAAGTAAGAAGAGCCAAACTTTACTACCTCAGGGACAAGATGAATGCTCTCAAGAAGCATTAGCACCTTCATTATAATAATAATATGCACTCCAAATTCTCTTAAAACCAAGTCTTGAGGGTTTTTCAGTGACGATTTGGCCTAAAATCACAACATATTACTGTGTAATGTAATGATGGAACTATTTTTTCAACTCTACTTGTTCCAATAATTTGGTTAGTTTCATACTTTCATTATTGAGTAATCATCTCCAGCTTCGTAATAACTTCGTTAAACCAAAATCATAAACAAATGTTGAGGTTCGAACTGTTGCTGCACCATGGGCTTATGGAGCAACATACTAATATATTTGCTTATTTATTAAATTAATAAAATGATAATATACATGGGTTTAATAATTAGGGAAAAAGTTTCGGACCCGACCCGACCCGACTTGATTGCGCCCCCGTTTTTTTTTATCTGCTCTCTTTCTCGCTCTCTCTCGATTAGTTTCTGCAAAGCAAAGCTTCTTCGACTCTTCGTCTGGATTCGTTTCTAATTGTAAGTGTTTCTCTTATTCCTTTTCGAAAGTTTTAAAAGAGATTGATAAACCGTATTGCTCGAAGTTTCTGGGTTTTAGATTCGAAATCGAAGTTTATTGTAATCAGTTAGGTAGCAAAATCTAGTTATGGAATCGTTGCATCAAGTAGAAATCATTCGGGTTAATTGGATAGCAAAGTATCTGTTTCATATATAAAGTCGAAATACGATGCTATTATTATCTTCTTGTTGGTGGTATTAGCTAAAGCTATTGAATTGATACTGAATTGTTTGTTAATCGTTTTGATTTTTCCAAAAAAATTCAGTGATAAAGCGAAGTTAGTGAAACTGAAGGCGACTTTCAACCTCTGGGATCGTGCTTTCATTTTTGTACGCATCAAAAAATGCCAAAGAAGAAGAGTTCTTCCTTGAAGAAGCCATCAGAAGAAGTAGAGAAGAAACCTGCAGTAGAGGAAACGAAACCAGTTCCAAAACCTGGTAAATTGGGGATAGAGATCGATGAGATCTTTGGTGGGAGAAAGAAGAAGAAGCCAGAAGTGGAAGAGATAGCTGAGACCAAAGAAGAGATAGCAAAGAAGAAGAGAAAGATGAAGAGGAAGAGGAATGAGCCTGGCGGGTTCAACAACAACAACCCGCAACTAACCCGACCCAGGAAGAGAACCGACGACGGTTTACCAATCTTCACCGAAGATGAACTTCGTGTCAACAAGCCCAATGCCGGTGATACTCCTCTTTGTCCCTTTGACTGCGATTGTTGCTTCTAGATCTTTGTTTCATACCAGTTTTGAAGTAGATTTGACTCTTGTCTGGTGATAATGGATGAATGATCTCAGTTAACCAGAGAGAGTTTTTGTTCTTGTCATTGTTGGTTTATGTTTTGATGAGAAAAAAAGATAAACTTTTACTTTCTATATGACATAGTTCATGGTGCTTTTTTTTGGTTTGAAGTAATAATATATCACATAGAAACACAAGCACAAACGAAGATACTGATATCTGCTGTTAATTAAGTTTATATCTGAAAGTAGAACTAGAAACGTAATATAGTAAGGGTTACAGCGCATTGACCTTGTAATTATAAATGAATTCTCAAAACCCCCTAAGTGTCACGAATAGGTGTCATCATCTAAGCTTAATCAGTAGTATCGAGGAACTCAAATCGATTTGATGGTTTGCTCTCAGCTTCATGGGCAGGTACTCTGTGTTTGCCTCTTAGCTTCAGAGCCGTTAGAGATGATTGCAAAGTGGCCTCTGATGTTTGCTGCATTCTGCCTTTGGACGAAACTTCATCGTTTTGAGAAGATTCAGTTGACGCTCTATTAATATCTTTCTTCTTGTTGTTCTTCCTTTTCTTCTTGTTCTTCTTCTCATCTTCCTTCTCCTTCTCTTTCTCATTCTCCTCTTCAGTCTCCTTCTTATTCTTAGTCTTACCCTGAAGCTCCATCGAAGCCGTATCTGTCTCTGAGCCTGAAACAACCAACAAGATGAAGAATATATAAGATTGTGAAGAAGTAACATTAGATACAGTGTGCACTGGAGAAGAAGAGGAATGAAGAAGAAAGTTAACCTCCTTTTAAGTAGATGGAGCTGTAATGGACACCTGCCAGATAGCTCAAGTGAATGACTCTCTCGAACTTTTGAGAGTTGGGAAGAATCTCCACGGAAGGTGATTCTTTGTTTGATGTAATGAGTACTATTTTCACCTCAAACTGCGCAAGATAATATATTGGTTCATTGAGCTGAGAGGAGAAGAACACAAAGTTTACAAGAGGCAAGAGAGTGTATAATTTAAGGTACCGTATCTGCGGCTGCCTGTAAGGTGATTCTATCGCCCCACACGCCGTTCTTGGACATGTTCTTTACATAATCGGAGTAGTCCTTGGGAACATTCTCTGCTCTTTTTTTACTCGAGTCCATTTCAACAAATCCTTTGTAAGTTTTTGGACAAGTTTTAAGCTGAGGAAATAACATGAGATGTTAACAAATCCAAAACAAAAACAATCTATCTGCTTAGTTGAAAAAGGTTTAAGATTTGAGGATGATAAATACCTGTTTTACTACTCTTTCTCTAACTTTTTCATGAAGATCCGGGTTTTGGAACAGTTGATCGGCTAAAGAGCTGAACTGTAACACAATTAAGAAGAATCTTCAGGATACGATCAAACAATCATGGAAGTTGATAACGAGTATTAAGAGATTTAGAAACATGTGTACCTGGCAATTTCCATCACTTTTTATCTTGGTCTCGGAGAAACCTTCCCATTCTAATCTGAAAATTCCGGGGAAACAAAATTATATATACAGATAGTTAAGAACAATCGGATAAATAATAACTCGACAAGTTCAAGAAAAAAAAGATTCGATCATTACATAGCCTGAAGTCTGTTTTTGTGATCGGTAGACATTGAGGTTTGATTGTTACCAAAGCTGCGTTGCGGCGTGCAATATCTCCTTTTCTCTCTCTCTCTCTCTCTCTCTCTCTCGATGAAAAACTCTCTCACAGTATAATCTCCTTCGGAACAAAGGTTTCCCTTCTAAAGATTTTATATTATGAAAAATTGGTAGAGGGGAGTGATTGCTTGAACATAGATATTTCCTTTTTCTGATTAAGGAAAGTTATTCTCGTCCTAATCTCCTGACAAAAACAAGGTCCGTTCATCCTTGTGATTAGGGTTGTTGTGGGCCTAATGCTTGACGGGCCTGTTCATCCTTGTCATTAGGGTTATTGTGGGCCTAATGCTTAACGGGCCTATTAGTTCGTTTGACTCGTGAAGAGTGCAATTACTTGAAAGCCACAAGAGTGCACAATAACGACCAACACTGTTCAAATCACTCAACGTATTAAGCTTTTCTAAGATACACACTCCATGTTTAAGTTACACACAGACTTATATATAAAACAGTAAATATATATTAATTCAACAATTGCAAGAATCTAGCTGATAACTGGTAGATATAACAAAAGAACTCAAACAACAGCAGCATCTTAGGTTTATTAAGTTTCCACGACAAACTTGGAAGAAACACACTCCTTTACATGGCATCTCCACCACAAAGAAACATGCAATGAAACGTCCACATTTTATTTGGTAAAAATTGTCTGAAGGAAACTCCCTTTCACATAGGAAGAAGGATGATTTTTTTTAGAGCATCACTTGTTCCACCAATGCAAGAAATCCTTGCGCCTGTTGATTTTCTTCTGAAGCTGGAGGAGTCCATAGAGCAAAGCCTCTGCGGTTGGAGGGCACCCAGGGACGTAAATGTCGACCGGCACAATTCTGTCACAGCCTCGAACCACTGAGTAGGAGTAGTGATAGTATCCACCTCCATTCGCACAGCTTCCCATTGATATCACCCACCTTGGCTCCGGCATTTGGTCATAAACCCTGTCATTGGAAGAAGGATAGACAATAACACAAGCCTTAATTCATCTGAGTTGATCCACATAGATCCAAGACTGATTTTGTGAGTAATTTGAAGAGAGTGTTCTGAACATATCTCTAGATACTAGTTTGATTACTAATAATAATTCACTCAATATCAGAACTAATCATCTCTCAAATGCATCAAAAATTTGCTTGTCTCAGTGGTTGATGTTTTGAAAACCCGTGCTTTCTTGTGGCCATTAGATTGACTTGGATTAATTTCCTATCTCTACTGTCTGGGCCTAAAGAGATCATTAGTATAAGCTCAGCTACCTACCAAAAACCATAGACATACATATTTTAACCACATGATTCTCATCTAAAGAAGATAAGCTCTGCAGTTGAACGAAAATCTTATTACGAGTCTTAGATATCAATTTCCAATAACAACACACCTCACAATAAAATGGACATCGGGTCTCATACACAAACAAGCAAAGCCATCAAGCAAGATCTAAACAGTCAGCATAAGGAGCAACGGATTAGGTAATACAGAACATATTAAGAATGAAACAATCTCCAACCTCTAATTAGTAAGACCAAGTTTGATATATCCAACCATGAAACGACACAGACACATGATTCCCTCATAAACACCAAGCTAGATAATATGAAATCACTATCTCCCCCACAAAAGACAAGCACGGAGGTTATACGAAAAGAGATATCACTCATGCATAGTATACCTACTCTACATTCCTAAATGCTAGATTTCTCCCAAGTTCAAATTTCAACCAAATATTACAAAAATCTGCGCTAGACAATGAATTGGAAACGGTATCGCTTCCCAGGTCAATCCTATATTCACACAGAAGCTCTCAATTTGACACAGACCTAGCAAAACAAGCACAATACATGAACCCTAAATCGCCGGAAAAGAGAATTCCAACAAAAATCCCTAATTACAATCTCCTGAAAACCTAATTCTAGGCGCCTATCAACAAGCAGAACACAGCAAACGAAGAAAATGAACAAATCTTCCCACGAAACAAATCAAGAGGAAACTATATCCGAGATACCCAGGATATAAATCAGCCGTTTCAGTCCATAGGAAAGGGGGAGGGAAATAGAGAGGCGTACTTGCGAAGAGCCGGAGCCATCTTGTTAGTAAGCGTCCCGGCGACAATCATACAATCGGACTGGCGAGGACTAGGCCTGAAGATGATACCGAATCGGTCGAGATCGTAGCGAGCAGCACCGGTATGCATCATTTCGACGGCGCAGCAGGCGAGGCCGAAGGTCATGGGCCAGATCGATCCCCTACGAGCCCAGTTCATGAGATCATCAACCTTGGAGATCACGAACTCCGCCGCCTTGGAGAGACCCGGCGGAGGAGCGGAGGTCGAGGGAGGACCTGGTCTGGTGTAGGAAGTCGGTGACGTCGAGGGGGAAAGGGCGGGGAGGGATGTGTGAAGGTGAGAGACCGCGGCGACGGCGCGTTGAGATTGGAGGAGGAGAGGGAGGCGCGTGGCGGTGTTGCGCGTAATCATGGCCATTGATTCTCTCTCTGTCTCTCTGAGTTTTTTTCTTTCGTCGTGGAGTTGTGATAACCAGGCGACTCTACCATTTACTAAAAACAGGTGAAGAAGTAATTTATATATGAATGGTATTTATCATTTTTTCACCTTATTTTCTTACTTTTTACAGTAATTTGAACATCCATTTTATACGAACTAATTAGGACCATTATACAGTATTAATATTTATCCATTGCCAAAATCTAAAAATCCTCTCCTCGTTTAAGTGCTTAACGATACAAAATTTATAAATTAAGTGTGTTAAAGTTATAAAACCAACAAAAAAGAACAAATTATCTTTTGAAGTGAACCCAATTTGAAATTGTTAAATACAGTATTCACATTTAGACTTGGGATTCCCTCTCTTTATTCGCCCCTTTGCTTTGAATTTGATAGGGTTTCTGTTTCCCTAAACTTCCCGAATTCAAATTCCTCTCCGTTCTTCTCTGTCACCGGAAAACGGAAAAATGCAACCTCCGATCTGTAACCCTAGCCCTCAGAGCCACCTTGGATTTCTCAAAACGCTTCTCATAGACTCGATCAAGCAGTTCTTAGTGCAGTATCGGAGCGGACGAACCCATTTCTCCGATTTCGACTCCATCTTCTTTCGCCTTCTTCACGATCTTCCCGAGCCACCTCTTGAAATCGTCTGGTTCTACTCCGCCATCAGGTTCTACTCCTCGGAACTGGGCTTTCAAGGCGTTTCCGTTAGGTTAACTGGGAGCTTCTTCCAGTTGCTAGCTTCTTTGTCTGACTCATTTTCCGGCGCAAAGAGGGTAGCTCTGTTATCTCCTATCGTTTACCAGCTGAGTCGTTTAGCTAATGTTAGTAGGAGAGACGCTTCGAGCTTGTTAGAAGGGATTGTAAGCTACATTAGCATGTACTGCGTCGAGGAACCAGGAGATGAAGATGATTTGTTAATGGTCTCAGGGCTAAGTTTTGCTGATTTGAGTCGAGTCTGGGTTGTGGATGGAGTGGAAGAGAATCGAAGAGTAGAGGATTGTTTGGAGATCTTCATGCCATTTGTTAGCGAACGATTGCGTAAAGAGATGGATTCTGAGTCCTGTCGCGTCGGTTTCTTAGCTGGAGTTGTAGCTTCTCAGGTTTGCTTGCTCAGTTTATGCTTGAGATTTGATTCGGAGTTAAGTAGATCCGAGGTAGAAAAAGATCTGCGAGAATCTGTGCTTCAGATGATTTCTGGGTTCCACAGTTGCTACTTCTTTGGTGAGTGTCTTATCTTTTGTTTGGAGATTTCTTGTAATTTCCACTTCTTAGCATAGTATTTACAGGGAAACCAATATTTGATAAAGTGTTCTCCTTCTTTATTTCCAGATATCTCAATTGGTTTGGTTTTCAGTCATGTGATGTTTTCTTGGTCTTGTTGCAGATGTCATTCTCAAGATGCTGCTGCTTGAGCCATATCTGCGTCTAACTCCACTACTGGTTGGTTCTTTAGCTAAACGTTGTTTAGTGTTCTCTCTCTGAGCGACATGAAAGTTTTAAATTAGTGTTCTTCATTTATCAAATGTGTAGACTGCATGAGCATGATCTGCGTTTATACAATTAGATGCATAAGAAATGCTGTAGTTGCTTCACTGAACCACATTGTATGTAACATAGAATTGAGATTATTTTTTTTTTTAATGGGGAAGCTTTTAACCTTTCAGGGTCCGGAAGATGAAGCTGTTTTAACAGAAATCATAACGGAAGCTGTGATTGAATCAGTGGAGAAGCTATTCCTAAACCCTGGAAATGGCACTCCACAAAGAAGTTCACACTTGAAGAACGTTGCTATTACCTGGTTATTTCTTTTTGACAAGGCTTCTCTTAGGTATGCCTATAGTTATTGGCTATAAAAGTGATTGCTTCAGTTACTTGATTGCATTTCTTAATACTCCAAATATTGACACAGGAGAAATAAAGATCAAGAGGAAACCAGCAGGTACATGAACATGTTCTCCAACTCACGTGTTCCTTATCACTTGATCAATTGGGTAATCAGTCAAGGTGAAGTGATTAGAGATGCAGACACGCTGATAAACTCTACGCCCGCGTCATTCATTGGTAAATTGCTTCCTTTCTCTCTAAAATGTTGGTCACGTTGACTTTATTCCCGAGTGATTTGTTCCACGGGACATTCCCATCTGTTCTTTGGAGCTCTTGTGTTTCTCTTGACTTAACCCATTGTACAAAATCTGATCTGCAGAATGGCTCGTATCCCTTGAAGAGCAAGGACTTGGGGTTTTCGACTGTGACCATTCTAAAAGCTATGCCAAAACAGTGATTCGCAGGTCAAGACCAGATCTCAATCTCGAAGCTCACATTGCTGGTGATCAAGATGCAGACATGGCTGATGATCACATTGTCTCATCTATCCCAGTTCTCAGCAGCAGCACAAGAAAGCGTAAAGACGGGAGGCGTAATAAGGAGGGAAAAACGAAAGTGAAGCTCTTCAAACATAGACACAACAACAACCTTCAAGAGAACTCCAAATTTCAACCTTTTCTCTTCTCAGATAGTTTGGTGAATGGGACTGAGGTTGAAGTTTCAGATATGGAGCTATGAGTTCCGAACCACTTGTCATAAATAAAATCGGCTTAATATGAAACCCATATATATGGTAGAGATGTAAGAATGCTGCTGAAGTAATTGTTGTTTAGAGATTATAACAAGTTCATATCGTAAAAGTATAAACTCTTTAAAGTCTTTAAGATTAGTGGCGTCTTTGATTCCTCCTCCATCTCCAGCATTAAATAGGATGTTTGGGCTTAAATGATATTTGACTGATGGAATTTAGCAAGATGTACCAAAGTAGAGGATCTTTAAGAAAATAAAGAGAAATAAGTGTGAATCAGAGTTTCTTTTCATTCGTGGGTTTTGTTGTTACACCATTGCTCTGTTCATTTTAATGTTAATGGGCCTCCGTGTGTCTTTTTATGACTTCTTTCTTTTTGTTGCTATTTCACCTCAACCATCATCATATGCTTCAAATTTCAAAGACGATGTAGCTTTTTGGTTGTGAGAAAAGAATTAGAGTCACTCTTTTTGTACACGTTTAAAAATTGTCTTATCACAGGAATGTTCTAAAATTATTTTATTGTTGGGTTCAAATCGAACTAAAGTACGAATGATTCTAATTTCATTTACTTTATACTTGAAGAAATGGAAGTTTCTACAGATGGACACGCAGTTAATATTGGCAACAACAACTTCCATGTAAGCCAAGAGCCATGATGTAATGAATTGGATTAAAAGCAAAGAAATGTGACTAGATAATGTAAGAAACAAAACTAATGTAACTTTTAAATATGGATACTGTTTTTATATGCTTTCTTGGGGTTACATACATTACACCATTTCACTACAAAATAGTAAGGCTTCTTTCTGCGTGTGTGGACGTATTTAATACATAAATATTGTCGGCGAAGATTCGTGTATAAGGCCATATGATATGAGAATATCTATTAGATTGATGAGTGATGGTGGCGAGATGGAGACAGCAACTTTATAAATTATTATTTATACTTAACCAAAGGGTAAGCTAAGCTTAAAAGATGAGTAATGGCGTCACACGTGCCCTCATTTACTCAGATATTAAGGAAACAGTTACTGTTATCACTTAATTGATCAAACAACCACTGCATGGTTTCAGTTAAAAAATAATACTACAGCTAGTCTTAAATGAAATTGGAAGTCTCCTCGCTGTTTTAAACCTTATATTATCATAGGCAAGGAAACTACCTGGAATTTTATAAAGAATTTAAAATACGCAGTTTGTAATCATAATGTGACTGTGACCGATAGATCGAATTGCAAGATTCAAATAAATATGCGATTTTTACACTAGATTCATAAGTTGGCTTTTAACAAAATTCAAATCAGTATATCAAAACACCATGTTCACTGTTCAGTTGAGAATGGTCTTATAACTATAGGGGTCATTGCATCATTAGAGAAAAAGAATTGCGAGATTCAAGAGGCATACATATTAAAATGGTATCCTAAATGTAAAGATTAAGAAACGTGGTTGGTGGTTTAATCATTATAATATTTCCATGAAAAAACATAAGATAAAAAAGGAACTACATATAAAAATCAAAAGCTGGTGATAAGAATGTAATGGTACTAATCTGTAATTATTACTCAGAACAAAATAATATATATATGTGTACATTTATTCGATGACTAGTGAGCTTTTCCTTTGGACTCCATCTCCCTTTTGTCTCTAGATATTAAATTAAACAGGCTTGTAGATGCGACTAAGTTGTTGCATTGCATTCAATCATATGTAATGTGAAAATATATGAAATGTGTGATTAGAATATTCCAACGAGTTTGTCATTATACAACCACTCAAGTTAATACACGTTTGATGATTTAGTGAACTTTAACTACCATGATTAAAATAAATTAGAACGTAATTAAGCAATTAATATCCCACATTCCCACCTGTCCGAAAAAAAAAAAACTCAACCAAATAAAGCTGGTTTACGTTTTTACATATTTAAAAGCTCCCTTGCACCAAAAAAAAAAAGCTGGAAACCCCATAAATTCTAGATTTTAAGTATTTCTGACAATTAAAAACTGATATCAATGTCTTTGTTTGTTTCTATTTTTATGTCATGGTCAATATAATTATGATTCTCAGACAGCATATAATAAAGAATAAAAAAATAAGTTTAATAGTTTTGGCCGGATTTATAATTAAGCAAAAGGGACTTATGGTTTTACGCTCTTGTTGGATGCCAATGACACATACCAACTCGACAGGAAAACGACATGTGTGTTCTCACTCTCCATGCAATGGGTCCCGTTTTTCACTATACAAAACCACACGGTGTTCATGTTTTAAAACGGGAGAAGACTGAACAAAAAAGGCAAGACGACAAAATAAGTTACAAATCCAACGGCTAAGGATTCATTCTCCTGTCTCCAGCATTCAGCGTGTCCCCCGTCTAAACCAATTGGTCATAAAGTCAACAGGACGCGGACTTTTTTTCTCAAAAAATATAATTCTTTACTTTGGCCTCCCTACTATTATATGTATCACTAATCTCCCTGTAATTATATTCATTTTTAGAACACAAATCTTCTTAATGAAATTTTGAAGAGAGAAAAATATTGTTTTCTAGTTTCTACTCTCCTTCCTATATATTTTAAGTAGAAATTTTGTTTTTCTCAATTTAATTTCTGGCTTGAAAATAAAAAATGAATTTAATTTAAACAATTATTTCTACATGGACACGAGTATATATATTTTTTAAATTATGAATTTGAAGTACATTCCTAGGTTTTGTTTGAATCAAATTTTTTATATATAAATAACAGAAAATACAAAATGAAATGGCGTTATATAAAAATTAGGAAACTTTTATACAGAAAAGAAAAAGAAAAGCAAAGTAAAAAAAAACAGTGGAAAATGTAGGGTGTGCCGACACGTTTTGGGTTATAGATAAGACGAGTATAAAGAACGTGGCGTCAATTTGAATGATTAAGAAAATACAGGGGTTGAGAATGTAATGGTTTAGAAAAATAAAAAACTGTCGGTTCCGTAACCAAGGTTAAGTTAGATCATGGTATCTAGTTAAGCCTTGTGATTATTTTTGCAGGTCCTACATTAAACCCGAGTCGACCGTCGGTGACTCAGTACGGGTTGCGTATCGAGTTTTCCTGGTTTATTTTTATTTTAGTCATAAGTCTTCTATTTATAAACAGATAAAAACGAAGATAGCCATCGTTTTGTGAGAGAAGAGAGAGAGAGAGAGAGAAAACGCCATGAACAGATAATACTCTGCTTTTTTTTGGAAATATACAGTAGAGAGAGAGAGAGAGAGAAAGAAAGAGATGGCGGATTCGAGCGATTCTGTCTCCATTGATATGGAGGCATTGTCTCTTGGAGGACAGGTAAATTATCTTACGAATTTCTGTATTAAAAGGATAAAAAAGTTTTAAGGATTTTGTTTAGTTACTGAGAATTTACGGGAGGAACACGATATGAGAAATAATACTTTATTGATTTTGCTTTTGCTTTCTGCATTCTTCGAGCTGCTTTATTCCTGAAAATTAGTGTTATCATTATTTATCTGGAATCTGTTCTATATTCTTCTTCTTTTTTTCCTGCTGTTGTTTTGATTATGATAAGTGGTTTTAGCAATTTTGAGGAAACGTTTGTACTAAAACAATGCTGGGAAATTTTCATGTTGCTAAATTTTTGTATAGCTTTGGAGCTGAAATTCGAATAATGCTTGGTGTCGGTGATTTATCCAAAACTACGAAATGTGTTGTCGATTAGGAAACTGATTCGTCTCTTCTGCTTTATGCTTGATTTTTTTTTCGGGTTTTTTTTCTTTTGGGATTTTCAGTGTCTTCCCCAATTCATGGCTCAAATTGACAAATTAGTTTGGAAAAAGGTTTATTTGATCCAACTCTTTCGATTTCTCACATTCGTTTCCTCATAACATTGCGAAAATTCTATAATGAAGTTTTTGGTTCTTCTGTTGATAGTTAAACTTTAATGATCCACTTTGTTTGACCAGTTCTAATCTGCGTATATGATTATATTGGGAAACTTTGGTCCTTTATTTATTTATTTGGTGTCTAATCAATTTATATTACTCATTAGGGAAATGGAAGTTAATAGGTGTGGTCCTTGATCTATGCATGTTCTTACTTTTTCATTTAATTCATAGAGTAATTGGTTACTGAATTAAATTCTACTTTTGTTGTTGTTGATAGGAACACCTTGTGGAGACTACGTATGGCCCTGTATGTGTTGCCGTTTGTGGAGATCCAGATAAACCGGCGCTGGTCACATATCCTGACGTAGCTCTAAATTGTAAGCAGATCATTTAGATCATCTTTTGAGTTGATGTATGTTTATAAAAGGAAATGCTTCTTTTGAGTTGGTGCTTTTTTGTATGTAATATGTTGCGTTCGTCTTGTGCAGATATGTTCTGTTTTCAAGGATTATTGTTTTGTCCAGAAGCCAGTTCCTTGTTGCTCCACAACTTTTGCATTTATCACATCAGTCCTATTGGCCATGAGGTTGGTAGCTGAAGTCTCATATTTTTGCAAAATTTTGCATGTTTTTGGGGTATTTTTGCAAAAAGTCTGCTTATTGCATTCCCTTGATAATGCAATTCATATCCCTTATTACATCGATTTCTTCAAGAGTCATTGCAGTTGGGAGCTCCATTGATTAGTGTTGATGCTCCTTTGCTCTCAGCTGATGACTTAGCAGACCAGATAGTCGAGGTTCTTAACTTTTTCGGGTAAGAATTCATCTCACACACAAGTTTTATTTTCGATATTCATCTCATTAAGCTGCTTATTGGTTTTCGTGACCTTTCTTTTCTTATTTAGTCTCGGTGCAGTAATGTGTATGGGTGTCACAGCAGGAGCCTACGTTCTGACCTTATTTGCTGTAAGTAATTGTGATCTACAGTGACGATGCCTCTTTTACACTTATGATTCAACTTGATTGTAAAAAATTTGATTTTGCTTGAAACTTAATTAATGCAGATGAAGTACAGGCAGAGAGTTCTGGGGTTAATACTTGTCTCTCCACTGTGCCAAGCGCCTTCTTGGTCAGAATGGTTGTGCAATAAGGTTTTTTTTTCCTTCACAAAGATCTCTTATTTGGTTTCAATGGTCAAGGTCATGATTATATAATTCTCATATCAGGCATTCCTTAACCTATGCAGGTTATGTCTAATTTACTGTATTACTATGGCATGTGTGGGGTGGTTAAGGAATTGTTACTAAAACGGTACTTCAGCAAGGTATAGTCGCAACCCCCATGTTACACGTAATCATATTTTGACAATTATTATGATTTCAAAGGTTTCTTGTGAATAGTGTAGCGATGTACATACTCTTTTGCGTAACTATAGTCTATAAAGGCATTATACAAATGACAAGTTTTTGACATGTGTTATCATAGGAGGTTCGTGGTAATGCTCAAGTTCCAGAATCGGATATTGTTCAAGAGTGCAGAAGAGTTAGTGAAATCTTATCCTTCTCTCTCTTGATGCTTTGACATTTTTTGGAAGTGGACCTTATATGTTGTGTTCTCCACTATCCAGTTACTTTGTGAGCGGCAGAGTACAAATGTATGGAGATTCCTTGAGGCAATGAACGGGTAAATTTTCGTTGCTCTCTGTTTTCATTTCGAGTTGTGATTTGCTCACATTCTTAAGCTGAAAAAATGGTATCTGTATATTGGTTTTGGACTAAACAGGAGAGTGGATCTTAGCGAAGGGTTGAGGAAATTGCAATGCAGAACTTTAATATTCATTGGTGAAAATTCTGCGTACCACTCGGAGGCCGTTCACATGACCACGAAACTAGACAGACGATACGGCGCATTAGTCGAGGTACGATTATAAAACCCTCTTTCCTTTGGCACAAACTCCATACTGTATAATTCAGTTTTGTTCTGGTTTTAAGATATTTTATTAATCACAGGTGCAGGGAAGTGGGTCGTTGGTGACAGAAGAGCAGCCACAGGCGATGGTAATACCAATGGAATACTTTTTGATGGGATATGGATTGTATCGTCCCACACAGAGCGTAAGCCCGAGAAGTCCTTTGAGCCCAACACGAATCTCTCCCGAGCTTCTCTCCCCGGAAAACATGGGTCTGAAGCTTAAGCCTATTAAGACACGACTCGCCCTATAGCCCTGCCCTCCTCTGCTGCAAACGTTATTTTTACATATACATAATACGCCACATAAAATCGCCATTGTTGGAGTTTGAGCTGCTCTTCTGTTATGATTTGAGCTGTAGATATAGGCAGAGATATTGATCATCTATATATATAGAGAGAGAGGGAGAGAGGAAGAAAAGGGGGAATGGGGGAAGTGATTGATATACATGGTAGAAAGAATACAGATGTCATGTTTTTGATTCTTTAAAGTTGTATTCGATGGGTTTTTGTGGTAGCTGTCCTTTGTTCTTGTCTGTAGTCTGTATATCCGGTTGAATAATTATTTAAGGAAAATCCCCGTAATATTTTATATCAACTCCCGTTCAATCTTAAGATTTACGCCCTCGATTCTGTGTGAAAGCAAACATTTTACATTTTTTTTTTGTGGACTCACACGATGATCATGACATCATTCTTTAGATGCGCAAAATGTCATGATCAACGATGTTTGGATGGATAAGCACGAGCTCGAGGTCCATTCTTGAGGTGCAAGAAACAGGATACTCTTTGCAGATCCCTATTCAAAACATTAAGCAAGGTGAGATTTATTCTCTTTGACTTTAGAGAAACGATAAAGAGATTGGAAAATATATGATTACAACAGAAAATTTCCAATTTCTTGGATCCTGATAGAAAGATTGCTTTGATTTTTTTTTTTTAATAATTATTACAGATTACACAATGAAGGAAAGTGAAAAAGAAACAATACTAATTACAAGGGAAAAACAAATGAGTTGTGTGAAAAGGACAGGGGTTAGTGAATTCCACAGGACGCAAACATTGTTAGGGTTAAAATCTTTTTCTTCTTCTCCTCCACATAAAGAGTTTTGCATTTTTTGGGGGTCAAAATTGGTGTGTGTAACAAAACTTCAACTGAGACGAAACATTGTGGTTTTAGGATTTGTGGGACTGGCGTGACATTAGAACCATCCGTTGTTTACCACTTTCTGATTTAACAATTTCTCCTTTCACACCCATCTGTTCAAAACCAAAACCAAAACCTCAGCCATTAGTTATTACAGAAACGAAGAAAGAACCTCGAGACCAACCAAAGACCAAACCAACTTACCTCGGTAGAACTGTCTGGAGAAAACCACCTTAACAGTACTCCAAGATGCACAACCGCTGGTATCAGTTTGAAAACCAGAGGTGTTGTAACCTGCCCAAACCAAACCAAACCAGCTCAGCTACTTGAACACATTATTAGAGAGGAGGCAAGCGAAATGATCTGATCATACCAGGCTTAGAGCGGTTGTCCCGAGGAGAAGCAAGTAGAGTTTCCCCTGACAATGTTTCAAAAATTTAAGCTTCTTTCTTCAAATACCTTATAATCTTGAAACCCTATCCAACGAGAAGCAGTTGCGTTACTTACCTCAATCAGGTGAAGATTGGAGGCACGGCTAAGTAGTACAAAGGCAAACTCCCCTATCTGAGCCAGAGATATTCCAACCTGCGTCAATTTAACTAGGGATGGTGAGGCAGAGAGTACACGTAAGCGCAAACATGATCGTAAGTAGAATTTGAGGCGGAAACTTTATACCAGGAGAGCTGTCTTGTTGTTGTATCCAAATCCCTTGACAACTGTTGTGATTATAGTTGTCTTTATGATAATTACCAATATCACAGAGGCTAACAGTATATCCACATGGGTCCACAGAAAATGGACATTAACCAACATCCCAATACTGGCTAGGAAAAGAGCAGCAAATAGATTACGGATGGGTTCGATCTGCAGCAAAATAGAAAGCATCTGAGTTAGACTATGAACTCTTTAAGGGATTAAGATCGAATACTTGTCAACTGATGGATTACTTCCTGGCCATAACAATCCACCAGTAAGAACCCAAACTATGATCAAACCCTCTCTCTATTACATCGGAGAGTACTAAGAACAGTTGGGGGAGGAGAAAAAGAGACTTGAGTAAATGGGACTATTTCAGCTTTAATTAACATAAACACGGATATCAGGAAAGCCTTATTGGTAATACGTTGTCAAAACTTACTTGCTCCAATGTATGTTCAGCGAGATCTGTAGTTGATATCATGACCCCGGCGGCAAAAGAACCCAGTTCAAGACTTAACCCCAGCTTATCACTACACTGAAAACATAAAATGCCAGTCAAACAAACAAGTCGACAGAACAAGTTTCATATACCAACGAATAGGCGAAGAAATGCGCAAATAAGAATCTTGATGGACACAATTGTAAGATGGGTATTTATAAAAAAGAACATGAGGAAGAGAAAGGCCAAGTAGGACTCACCCAGGCTACAAGTAGACAAAAGGCAACAGCGGCTAGCTGATAGAGTTCATTTGTCTGATCAATGAAGAAACTAATTAGGCTAATCTACAAACTCGAATTCATTGGACCAGAAGATAGGGAATATAATGTACCTGTGAGGATAAGCTGACCATTAGCTTCAGTAACCAAGGAATACATGTCCGTGATAATATCGTCAAAACAGCCAAAAACGAAAGCAACAGAAGCGCCCTAAATAAAAGTCAGAAAAGAAATGATCAACATTGATTCTTTAGAATACGCCTTAGGAGCAATATACTGTAACTCTATCAGTCTTTCCTTACACTTTTGCCATCGACAACACTCCCTCAACAATGCCAGAATTTCCCCCAAGAACTGGAAGCAAAGCAAACAGCAAACCCACAGCACAATCCTAGAAACAGATGCTAAAATCAAAACTCCAAATCATCTGAAAAGGAATTCTACAATAAAAGGTCAAGGTTTGACTGCCATATAAACAATACGTCTACATGGTCTAGAAACAAAAATGAACATCACATGATGTAAAGAACTAACAAATACCTGAAGAATAAGGATTCCAATCGTAACTTGGCCATGAAGAGAATTAGTTGAGTTTTTTTCCATGAGAAACTTCAGCACCTAAAATTTCAACGCGGAAACACATAATGAACACAAAACCAACTTTTGTAACAAGAAAGCCTGCTAATGGAAATGGTTTGATCAGAATTATTGAGTTCACTGAAATTACCACCGCCGTTGATGACATGGACAAAAATGCTCCTACAAATACCCCCTCTGAATGTTTACCACCACATAACTGCAAACAGAATCAATTGAAAACATGTCACAGACAAGATTTAGGGTGTATACTCATGTTCAAAGACACGACACTTTAAACTAGATGTTACTTATAGAATATACGAGACGGCAGGATCCAACTGTCCACCAGTTTAAAAAAAGAGAGAAAAATTTCCAGAGCCACTAGAAAAAAAAAGACGCACCGACACTGTGATTCCGCACAAGAACATGAAAAGAAGAATTTGAAGGAGGCCTCCCAGAACAGCAACTGATCGAACAACTCGAAGCTACATTGTAAGAGTTCGCAATGTTAACATTTCGTTATTTCAAATCAACACTAAGCAAATCAAAGACGTTGATCTCACCTTAGCAGTGGAGAACTCTAGACCCAATGCAAAGAGCAGAAATACCACACCAAACTGGGCGACTGTTTCAACCTACATAAATAATCATGTCAAAATGAAAGCGCAAAAAACATCAGAAGAAAATAGTTCCTATGCGAATGCTGACCTGACTAAACATTTGAGACCTTAAAAGGAACTTGTCAACCAAATTAATTGGGACTGAACGATTCAAATCTTTTGAGGTCAAACACATATCATACCTGGACCATCTCACTGATGAAGTTCAATCCCCCAGGCCCGATGATAGATCCTGCGAGCAAATATCCAGTTATCACCTGCATAAGAACATAATGATTCACAACAATCAGAAGACCGAGACATCATACTGAAACCTAAAACTTATAATGACATAGACTAAGAGTAGCACGAAAATCAGACCGGTTGTCCAGCACAAGCAAAGGCGATACCACCGCAAGTAGCAGATACAATGACAACCACCAGGTCTGATATGAGCCTGCATGCCATAAGAAGCACAAGTAAGAGATGACTAATTCAGAATTTAGAGTCTGTTTTTCAAAGAATCACGTTGAAAAGAGATTACTTAAAACCAAGAATCTTGCCTCAAGTCAAGCTGCAATACTGGATACTTGGACTTGAAATTGGAAATGATGAAGACATTGTCCTGAAACAACACCAATGTAAGAACTAATACAATAAATCCCAAACTCAGGCTTCCTGTGCGAAAACTTACTTTTCGATCAATCAGAGTCGGAGTGTCCTCAGCTCTGTTATCATTGTCCAAGTTGAAAACATCATGGAGTTGAAACCGCCTAAAGAAATCAAACAACGCTTAATATAGGTCTTCAATTCTAGAACATAATAGAATGCCACATAAGGAATTGAAAATAGTGTACTGTACTTGTCCTCTTTTGTCTCATTTTTCTTTGTTGTCTTTACTCTGGCTACAGTTTCCAGAACAGCCTGATTCCCACCACAAGGTACAACACAACCACGCTTCAGTCAGATACTCATATGATGCAACCGGTGAGAGAAATGATCGAATCTAAAGCAAGCCTTTACTATAAAAGCACATATATAATTTTTTTACATACCTGCTGTCCAGCTACACTGTTGTTGAAGCTTCCAGGATCGGCCACTGCCATCAATATAAGCACAAAATAAGATAACAACAAAGTTTCGCCACTAAAAGCAAAAGCCTAAAAAGACAATCACTATCCATTTCAGGAAACCAATCATTTAAAAAAAAATCACTTTATGAAGTTATTCTCGATCCAGAAGACCAGGGAAAACCGAAAAGGAAAGACGAATGTGGGATCGTGATCAATCTAAGTTCCGAATCGTCCATGGATCACGGATCCAATTCGGGATCTAACTCGTGAGTTGGATCAAATCATCAAACACGAGTGAAAAGAACAGTGAAGCAGAATTTTCAGAAAATAAAGCATGAAAATGGATAGCTAGAGGAATTTCAGTTTCCATGGCCATTTCAACTTCTTAAAATTCTCCAGATAGAGAGAAAGAGACACTACCTTCGTTCTGGTCGCTTTCGTTGAACTCCTTCTCGAGAGCGCGATCGATGATGTCGGCGAAGCTGCCTTCCTTGGGCTTAGCAAGAGAAGAATCGTTCAGAGATGCGACGGAGGAATTGGCGGCGGTTTCGTCTAACAGATCCGAATCAGAGAGAGCACGGGGAGACGCGAGGGAGAAACAGAGGAAGAGCGAGAGTAAGAGGAGAGCGAGTTGAAAGGAGAGCAGGGACCTTCTTCTTCCTCCTCCTCCTTCTCCTTCCACCATGGCAGAACTGAATCTGGATTAAACCGGTATGGCGCACGGTAAGCAGAAACCGGTACCGGTTTAAAAACCGTCGCGGGTGGTTAAGGTCGATGCAGAGAGAGAGAAGAATCTGAGTAGTAGTGAGAGATGTGAGGGAGAGAGTGAGAAGAGCGGGGGAAAGAGAGAGTGCAATGGTCAACAAACTAGTCCATACATATACACAGATGGGATTACTGTATATCTGCTTTTTTTTTATTTAATTAATAATGAAAATCGGATGTTGTGTTGTTTCTTTGGATTATACAACTGCTGGAGCATGTGGGAGATGAATTAATGATGGGGTTCATTGGCTACACACATTTAATTATTTGATTGCGATTACGACAAAACATCATCTTCAACTTTTTTTTGGGAAATCGGCTAAGATGTCCACGCCATCTCTCTTTTAAAGATTTTTACTTTGTAAATGTTCGGATTTACCGATCGGGTTTAGTATTTGACCTGAAAAATATTTCAAAAAAGAAGAAGAACAAAATACTAAATATATACACTTTACTTTCGAGGGGATCATCATATATATTATTCCACTCTCTCCCACAATCTCTCCGCACCTTTTAACAGACAATAACAATGGCGGACAAACCAAGCAGAGCACTTGTATTTTACGGAGACGGCTTGGCTCGATTCATCGACCCATCAGCTACCCACATCCATTCTCTCGCTTCCGTCGCTAGCTGTGGCTTCTTGACCCTTCCCCATGCACCTCCTGGTCCCTCCCGAACCTCTCTTTTTTCAATTCAATTGCCTTATTTTCCTTACAATTTCGGTCTTTAATCGCTAGATTCACCCGTTTATTGCCGATTATTGATCGTAATTTGAACCGGGTCAGACCTGAGATTCGTTTGAATTTGTCAGCCACTTGAATCCTTTGGGTTATATGAAGAAAATTTCCAAAGTGTATTTGATTTCGATGCTCCCTTTAAATTAAAACTCTCAAAGCAGCTCACTTTAGTTTTTCTCTGGCCAGTGTCATGTTTGTTGAAGAGGAAATGTTGATTAAAATGGGTTTTTTTTTATTCTCTATATACGCAGTTTCTTACGATTTGCAAATCACGTTTGTATTTTGCTACTTGATATCTAATCTGATGCTATTCTATGTCCAGAAACGGAGAAGGAAAGGATTGTTCGTGAATTCGCCCATTTGCTGGATGCATCAGATGCTTATACCATAGCTGTGAGATACTTACTTCACTCTTTAAAATAACAATTTTGATACAATCTTAGTTAGGTGGTTTAAGGACAGATCTCATCAACAATATGAGACTGTAACTGATACATTGACAGTAGAGGTTAACAATTCATGGTCTTTGTTTATTCTGTAACAGAGTGGGCTAAAAGGAGCTAAGGGAAGTGAAAACGAAATCTCAACTTTGGCTGAAAGGTTTGCATTTTCCTCTATTTTTGTAACTCTTTTCGATCATCAATAGCCGGTAGTGGCTGAAATCTCAACATTGATGTCACTGACACAAATGTTATGGTTCAGGTTCATGGGACTCAAGGCTGCTTTAGTGACGGACAATTCTACTCTGGCTTCTTTTGGAAAACTGATTGGCTCAGATGTATTACCACTTAGTGAAATATGCCAAAAGAGTGGTTCCTTTTTTTCGGACGCCACAGCATCTCAGCTACTACGGCTGCTTGGATTTGAAGGAGGAAAGTGCTCGGATGTGAGCCTATATGACTCGGTTTTCGTGCATATAGGGGCTGATGAACATAAAGACTTGGGAGTTATCGACTCTTTGGTTGGTAGTGTTATGAGAATGGCTCAACCAGGTTCAGAGATTGCATCGCGCTTGCATCTGTCTGTCGTTCTTAGCTATGGTTCTGTCACAGACAAGGATGTCTCAGTTTTTCCGGTCAAGAATCCACAAGAAGGCGTTAACCCGGCATTTGCAGGACTTGTCCCGCGTCAGAGCTACACCATGCGAGGTGAAAAGACACGTGATGATGTTCGGTAAGAGATTCAGTTTTCTTTTATGAAAACCAAATGAATTTGATTGAAAACTTTTCTCAAGTTTATCAATTAGTTCTTGACTGGTTTGGTCAATTATTGCAACCTTACAGGGACTACTGTCCTATGTTGGTAGCTCAGTGGCAGCATGCTGTGACCAGGAAAGACTTAGTTGATACATTATCATTTGAAGCTCTCAAAAAGGTATGGTTTCTATCTATTGCAAGTTCCGCTTTAATATTAATACCGCATGGCTTGTCTCAAGTGTTATCATGTTTTCATTGCAGCTCTGTGGAAATCTTGTTATACCGGCTGATCGGTTCATCCACGAAGTAGCTTTCAAACTCTGGAAAGCTCCAAAATATGGAGCTTAAACACACAAAACACGATATTTTATTGTAAGTTGGGATGACTTACACATGCTCTTTCCGCTGTTGGTGTTGAATGTTGATTGTGGATTGATCTCAAATTTGCTAATTTTTACATAAAGGGAAGAAACAAAAGCTGTTTTCTTTTTTTCTTCTAAATTCGCATCTTGATGTCAGTTTCATACACACACAAAGAGAGATTTAACATATTTGATCTTTTGCTATGTATTGGGGATGGAAAGTAATATAAGATTATGTATCCTCCTCTTAAACCGGGTGATAGTTGGTACCGCCGATCCAAGTGACTTTTAATTCGTCCTGATAAAGCCTCTGGCCTTGATTGTCTCTTGTGATCTTCCTTAGATAAAGCCCATCTCTCTTAACCGCCCAAATGCACTCTTCCTCCTCCGGGTTATCGCATTCCCACCTGAATTTTCTCTCACCGGCGAAAACCGTTGTAGTCTGACCAAAAGGCGAGCCAAAAGCGGTGAAGAAGGTGCACTGAAAGTTTGTGTAGAGGAATGGTAATTTGATATATATTGGCGTGAAGGACCAGCTTTTGGATTCCCCCGGTCTTAGGCTATGCTTCCCCAATTCGTTATTAGACGACCAACATTGAACCGCGAGGTGTCGGTCTCGTCCCGGGTATCTCGCGATCTCGTTTCTCACCTCAAACCGGGCTGCTGATGTGCTGGATGCCATGAGAAGGCACCACGTCAATGCGGTCGCTAATCGGAGCCTGGATCCCATCTTCAACACGAACCCCTATGCTCTCGTTAACAGTTCTGTTTTTAATTTTTTTTTTTTTGTTTTACAAATTTTGCTTTTTGGGATTTATATAAACGAGAGTGGTTTGTTTTACAGCAACAAAAAAACGCGGGAGCTGTTTTAGACGTTTTATGTTTGATGAGCTTTCTTTTCCCTTTTTCGTTATTTTGCTTTCGTGACAAGTCTTTAAAAAAAAATAACAAACTTCTGGTACGTTTTAAGTTTCTTCAAAATAATTATACATTTCGCCGTAGGTTTGTAATTTGAGGATTTCTGTTGCATTTTGTAATGGTATTATTAATCCAGGTTTTGATTGATATTTGCTTCCTTCTCTTGGTTTTTTCAGATTATTTGGTTTATGATGATTGATGAAGTATATAAACTAAAACACAAAACCAAATACTATTCTTTATATTACTGATTGTAAACAGTTTTGATTTTGATTCGGATTCAAATTTATAACAAAGGGCTTTTATCTGTATTTTTTTCTTGGTGTTCTGATCGGTCCAGCCGAGATCGTCTTCGTTCGACCAGCACCACACGGCAACCTTTGCTTTCCGGTTAGGGAGACCGGAGATCTCGTTCTTGAGCTCCACGCGTCCTGCCGTCGCTGGAACCGGTAATAACGCGGTCATAGCCACTGTCGCTAGGACAATGCACCACCCGGGGATGCTCTTCATTCCGATTCCTTGATCTGCCTCTCTGTTTTTTTCTTTCGCTTTAATGATTTTTTATTTAAGAAAAAGAAAGGATTCGAATAAGCTTTTAGGGTTAAAGGTAACAAATCGGACGTGTGAGGATGAAATAGATTCGAATAATGGAGAAACACTGTTAAGATTCATTTCTTCCAAATTTCTATAAGACAGGACTCGTTTTCTCTATTTTTGATAAGAAGTAAATCAAAAGAACGTAGATTCTCGAAACTGAAGATGGAGATGGACATAAAAACCGAAACTGAAACGGTAATAATTTGTTACATACATCTTCTAAATCAAACATAAAACCAAATTTAATGCAACCGAACCAAAAACAAAATCCATTACAAAATAAATCAAACATACATAATATAGCAAGAACTCTTTATCTCTTACTTACTCGAGTGCCTTCATGTTTCAACAAACCAAAAGTGTATAAAATACACATCTCTCTCGACGTACCCCACCACCTACTAGCAATAGCATATATATAATCACTTATACAAACGCTTGAATGATTACATTGATGTAATCTAAGGATCTCTCAAATCCGAATCAACATGGTGCTTTCTACGGCGCAAAGCTTTCAGTTGATGCGGTGACCAAGGCTTCCACGGCTCAACAAGCTTCTCGACGGGCCTCGACAATTCAAAAAACCTTCCAAACGGAGAATACAACTCGTAACCAATGAAATAAATCCCATCAGGCCTAATCGCGTATTGGCATATTTGCCCGTCGCATAGAATCGCCGTTGTGGACAACGTCTTGATCTGAATATTTGCTGTCCCTAGCCTCGACCGGAACTCACAGTTGTGGATCACCACGCCGTTACCGAACTGAGGAACTTCGAAACTCCAATGAAACTCGGACGATGGAACCGATTTGTGCCACCCGATGTCTTTCTTCGATGATCGGCAGTGGTAGAAAACCGGCGGGTTTTTGAAGTTGTGCATTTCGTTTTTTATGAGCAAGGTAAAATCAACGTCTCCTGTCTCACTCTCAGCTGAGTTTCCGGTTAGAATGATCACTTGGGAGACAAGACACCATATAATTAGGGTTCTCATTTCTCAGCCGTTTCATTCATGTTTAGATCGTCTCTCCTCTCGGAGGGGTTGATATAAAGTTATACGAAAGAGAGTAGATTTTATTGATAAGGTTGGACAATAATAGAAGAGGCGTGATTATGGTATATATCATAAGCTAAATTTATTGCGTTTGTTACAATTCTAATATTGTGTGTTTGACACAGCTGTTCATATCATCACTTTATTAATTTTTGGCTATCGGATTCACTCACCCAAAAAAATCCTTCCAGAAGCAGCTAATATATATATATTCTTAGATTAATAATTTGTAAATGTGGAAAATAATTTGGTAGAATCAAATAGGTGAAGTACATGAGTATAATAATCACACAGAATTAAAACGGTTTAATCATGAATCATGATATGAGGTGAAAAAATCAATTTCTTGGTGGATGTTCTGCAGGCAAGCAAAGATAGTATCGGAGCTAGAGATTCGAAACCTAGTAAAGAGTTTGGATTCATCAAGATTGTTGGATTCATGGTTTGAGTGCGAAATATACGAGAATGTACAGATAAAGATATATTTACTATCAGAAACTGTGTGTATATGTGCTGAGATGAAGAGACTTCACGGAACATCTGAAGAAGGTTCCCCGCAGAAAGCTTCTGGTTCGAACGTTCTTGCGGTTTCATCATTGTACGCTCCAGCGATTGGCATCGAGGATCTGTCCCTTGGATCCTTATACGTTCTATAAGACGATGCGATTGGAGAATTGCCTAGGTTTACGACAAGAATGAGCGATAATCCGAGAATAACTAGCGTGTTTTTCAATCTGGCAAGGACTGGTTTTACCTGAAACCACACGCACACAAAAGAAACATTTAATAGATATCATTACAGAACACAAAAACTTCAGCAATCCCTGGACCGTGAAAAACAGAATCCATGGATTTGTATGATCATAGGTTACCGAGAAAGATCCAAGAAGACGGTCTCGCGCCAAGACTTCAGGTGTTTTCACCCATACCTGTTTTGAAGAATCCATAATTGAAGTTAAGAATTAACAATCACAAATGTTTTCTTCTACAGAGCTTAACCAATATATATATATATATATATATATATAGAGAGAGAGAGAGAGAGAGAGACGAATCGTAAACCTGGCCATCATACCACCCAGTTTCTTCATCTGCAAAGAGCGAAGAAGAGAAAGATTGAAAAACAAAAAGGAGCAAAACGTTAGAGCTAGATTCATCTTAACAAACAATGAAGAACCCTATCGCATCCAAATCGTTAATCACTGATTTTATAGGTCGCTTTGTAAAACAGAGGATGAGTTAAATACGCCTTCACAAGAAACAAAATTCGATTACAGGAAATCCAATTTGATTTCGAATAGTCAGAATCATGTTCGTCGCTTAAGTTTTATAGAATCGGAAGAGTTTAGAAATAGGGAAAAGTAACCATACACTCGACGGTGGCGCTTAGAAGACGATTCCCGACATAAGCCCAACCCAGATACATCCTAACGACAGCAAGCGTGACGACGAAGATGCCGCTAGAGCTGGCGGCGAGTATCCGCTTGACGGGTTCGTATTCGGGTCCGACGGATCCGAACCAGGAAACGGGCAACCCGACGAAAAACGCGAAAGAAGCGCCGGTGACGAAGAGGCTAGAAGAGTACTCCACTAGGTCTCCTGAAGCCCAAGAGAAAGGAAACGAGGAGGAGAGAGACTGATACTCGTTGATTGGCTGTTGCTCCGGCGGAACGGGGCAATCAGCCTCCGGCAAAGGCGGTGGAGGTTGAGGCTCGGAGTTTCCGGCGCCGAATTTAAGAAGAGAAGGAGAAGACGGTAAGGGTATTTTGGGAAATAAATTGTGGTGTAGGAATCGACGGTGACGAGACGGCGGTTTAAGGGACGATGAGATCGGAGTGAAATGGCGGAGCACAGTAGCAGCCATCGCAGCTTCGGGGTCCCTTTTTTTTTTTTTTTTTTTCCCAATTTCAATTTTTTGTATCTACACTTCAAACAAACAAAAAAAACAGTTCATTTCATTTTTTTAAAAAAATAAAATTTATATTTATTAAAATAAAATTTCCCATAAATGATCATCTGACGGTACAAGTCCGGTGATCGGACAAAAGTCACGGCGACATTGAAATGCATTTCATTTCACGTTCAGCTCCTTCAAGGCTTCAACGTACAAACTGTTAAAACTTTCAGGAGTCATAGCTTATAGCTACTACTAGTGTGTGGGTGTTATATATAGAGCCTGTCTGGGATCGACTTCCACTAGCAAATGTTAAGAATTTGAACGATCCTACGGAAAGAGCCGGTTCAACTATGGTTTCTTGTTTTTTTTCTTTCCAGAAAACTCTCCAATTTAATTGACTTAATTTCACTTGGTTTTTTTTTTTTTTTATGTGACACATGTTTACGCATTGATTGTTCTCTGTCTCCAGACTCTAAATCAAATTGAGATTAGCCATGCCTGGTCTTTGGATAAAGTGTTACAAACTCTCTACGCATATATATATAATTGCATTCACTGGTGTAGTTATAGTCTAACAGAAGATATCATACTGTATATAATTGCATTCGATAAATCTGTAAAATATGACAAACACACCAGCATAAGAAGCACAGAAACCGCAAACCAAACCACAACGTAAGAAACGTGCACACATATTATTCGTGTATATATATAGAGACGGCACGCATTCGAAGCTAAAGTGAGGTCAATGAGCAGGTCCGTATGGGGGCGGCGGAGGAGGAGAATTTAGACCTGGAACTGTGCGCTTACATCTCCTGTAGTATCCGCAGCTCGAACCCGGAGGACGACGAATAGGAATGCGACTTCCGACCGTCTTTTGACCAGGTTGGTAAGACTTGGATGAATTAGTACTCACTGCACCACCCAACACGCATTACGTTATTACAGGATTTTAAACACCACTAAATAAAACCTAATTATTAACGTAAATTAGTAATGACTTGCGAACACGTAAACACCAAAAGACTCACTAAGTTTCCGGACTTCCATTTGTGCGCCAAAGGCTTTATCGATACGCGGAAACACAAGAAGAAGAAGGAGAAAGAGAAGCATGGAAGAGACCATCGAACATGTCATCTTTATCTTCCCTCTTGCTTATTTACTCATGTTTCTGTGTTTATGTAGAATAGGAAGATGGAAATAAAAGACATGGTGGAGAATAAAAGCCAAAGAAGAAGAAAATTAGCGGAGAGTAGAGTTAAAGTTATCGACGACTTGGTTCTTACTTTCACTTATTGGTCTTCAAGTTTTAGTAAGTTTTCTGTGAAAAGTCTCTCGCTCGCCATGTTTTGGTCAAGTGCATTTGCATTGTTTTGATGTCACTCCGCTATAAATAACTAACGCGTGTCGAAATCAATATCAAATACGAAATATCGCGAGTATTATATACTTTATAATTTCATATGTAAAATAATTAAATTTTAAATAAATAATGTGAAATTAAGAAGAAAAATACACAAACAAGAAAGTCAAGTTTTTATATGCATCTCTTGGTATTTTGTTTTGAACTTTTTATTGTAATTTTACAAGAATTAGCAGCAACAATCCCCACATGTTTTTACATTTACCAGATTTTGGGGAAAATCCCAAACCAAAAAGAAAACAGAACTCCACAGGGTCGTTGTATTCTCTTCATCTCCCTTTTCTTCTTTTTTTGTTTTGTTCATTTACCTAATTTTGTCGTTACAAGTAGCAATAATAATAATAGTAGTCATAGTTACAAAGGGGTTTCATAGGGCTTTCTTTTTGTTGTTGTTGAGCTCCCACTTCGATTGAACTCCACAAGCTTTTCCCTAACCCGACAATCGTGTTCTTTCCTCTCATCATCTGACCGTAATGAAAAAAACGCAAAATAGAAAGAAAAAAATTGGCAAATCCCCACCAAACTGGCTCTTTGAACCAGACCAGGTGGAGCAACAGCTTCTGTCTACATATCTTACATCAAACTTTCACTTGTGTTGCCTCTGTTGCTTATGTTTAGACCCTGAAGCCGCTTCAGACTTCGCATCAGTTGTGTAAACGACGGCCGTAAGTGCGGTTCCCTACAATCCAATTCACAACACCTTAGCTTAGTCTACCCAAATGCGTCAGATAACAAATTATGATTCCAGTTAAACCCAAACGCTGACCCACTTGATCGATTTTTACACATTTCTACAGTTGGCACTACGGTGAACATAGGGGTTCGGAGTGATCTTGGATTCATATTACCATACAGATACTGCCTAGATTTTAAGGGTTTCTGAGTAAAGAAATGGACTTACGTTTGCCAACAATCCCGGATTATCTGTGCAACCGTTGGATCAATATCATCTGGAATTTCAAGCCGGCGATTCTGGAATCCCACAGCTCCAACAACTTGCATCGGATTTAAACCTTTCCAGGGGATGCGTGAAGTAGCTAATTCCCACAATATCACACCAAAGCTGTACACGTCACATCTACACAAGCACACCAATCAATACCTTTGTACTGACATGTATAAGTTTCTCTCACAGCGTTAAATTTCACTCACTTCTCATTAGCTGGTTCATTCCTCAACACTTCTGGAGCCATCCACTCGGGCTGCACAGCCATTATCAGGACATTTTTATCAAGAAAGTTGCTCTGTTTATTTTTCCCAAAGACAAAACTAAGGAATGTTTATATCTGAGTTAAAACTGACCGTTCCTGCAGTTGATTTTGAGGACAAATACGTGTGATGTTTCATGCGTGACAATCCAAAATCGCAAACCTTCACAACCCAATTTTTATCAACAAGCAGGTTTGGAGATTTTAAATCCCTATGTACAACAGTCGGGTGGCTGGTGTGCAAGTAATTCATCCCCTTTGCCTGCAATACCATCAGAGAGAGAACGTGTGTCAGATGAATCTTGGCAATATAGCAGGAACTTCTACTGCTTTCTGTTTAACCAGTTCAACTCATGTATACCACATCAAGTGCCATCCGCATTCGTCTCTTCTCATCAAGCTGATGATTTGGTCGGTGGAGTAATCTATACAAACTCCCCCTGCATAGTATCATGAAGTTCTAAATCATTGAGTAGAGAGAAAAAAAACAATTAATAAGAGAGAACATCATGGTTGGAAAAGGATCACTTCATGTATAATTAGGGTCTAGAAATAAACAAGCAGACCAAGTGAGGATATGACGATCAACCTGGGAAGGAACTCTGTCAAAATGGAGAAATTTGGGGGCCGAGTAACTGCTCCCATGAAAAGAACAACGTTTGGATGCCGCAACCTCAACATTATTTCGATCTATCGGAACAAAATAAAAAGACTCATAAGTGTGATTAAACGGTTGCGTGTAATTGTACAGAAATGTGTCTATGATTTGATTTGGAGTTACTTCAGATTTGAACTGTGTCAATGCATCACCAGAGAAATCTTGGTCCAAAAACTTCTTAACAGCCACTTCCTGAAAGGAAAGGAAAGGAAAAACCCAATCAGCCCAGGATATTCAGTAAACTATAGCAAGCCTCTTCGTTGGAAGGAAATGAGTGAGTTTTAGTGCAAGGATCAGTGGATTAAGACTCATAAACATAACTCACAGTTCCATTCCACTCAGCACGGTAAACTTCTCCATATGACCCTGCACCAGAAACAGCGCAGAGAAGGAGGACATTAGATCGTGTAATTTGGGATAATAAGGGGCTTGTCTAATTTATCTAACTGAAGATGGTGGATGTTTAGATTTTATCTACAAGCATAAGGCTAGATAACTTTTTATCTAGCTTCATAAAAAGTCTCTCACGGATAACACTTTAGTTCATTATAAAGTTTGCCAGCTTCTAGGGAATATAGTATTTGATAGGCCAAACCTTACCAATACCAATCCGCTCCCCAATCTGAAGATCTTCCCACATAATTTCCCATTTTGCAGCCTCGCCGAGAAATGGATTAATTCCTTGGTCATGACTCTCACAAACAGAAGGCTCCCCATCAGCAGTGCCAATCTCCATCTTTTCCGATGAAGAAACTTTACCCATATTATCTACATCAAAGTTTCTCTTCATTGAAAAATCGACCTCCAGTGGTTGTTGATAAGTCTCAGCTGTTGGAAGTGAGAGAGATTCACCAATTCGTTGTCAAAGTTGCTGAAGTGCACAAACAGTAACCAGAGAAGATAATGATATACGGCAGACATTAATTAGCAGGTTATCCCTTACCTGAGGTACAAAGAGCTGACTGTTGCAGTGCTGTGGGGTTCCTTTCAGATTCTCTCAGGTGTTCAGCTAACGAATCTACGACCTATTCAGTGCGGATGTAAATAAATAAAGACCTTAAGAATCTTAAGATAACTTATGTGGGAAATAATAAGCTTGTGATCCATCAGTGGAAGATGTGTATACTAAGATTACCTTTTCTGGGTAGGATGGAACACCAGAACTGCTACTTTCTTGGCGGAATTCTTCAAGCATATTCTTCTCCCTCAAGTTCTGTGGGTTGACATCCATAAACAAATCTGGGGGAGGTGATGCACCACTTTCTAACAAGACGGCATGTAATTTCTGCGCAAATTCAGGGTTTTTTGCTGCACTTATGACATACTTTGAGACATTCTTAACTTTCACTTTCTGTGCACATGTCGGTTTCCCAGAAAATGGTGGCAAGTTTTCACCAGATATCTGCTGTGAATGCATTAGCTTTCCAAAATCATGCTCAAACCTCTCCGTCTGATGTTTTTCAACAGCAGATCTGTCACTGTTTTCTTCATGGTTTCCTGTGAACAAGTTTGCCATCATACCAGATCTGGAATCTATTTCCCCCAAAACTGAAAATGCTGAAGTTGCAATTTCTTTCTCGAGTACAGGGGATGGATGTTGCAATGTGTCCAGATCATCAGGAAATACTCTTGTATCGGTGCAAGAAACGGGAAGGTAACTGCTTGGAACCTCAGCAGGGATCAGAGCACCCGGAGCACCCATCAAGTCAATAATGTATTCACTGCATGTGAAGAACGAATTAGGACTCTGCAACAAAATCACTACCATCACATACAAACTAGGCCGAATATCAGGAATCTAGAATCAGTACATTAGGCAGCTAATTACAGCAGTCAAAGAATACCTTTTGTCATCTAGTTTAATCAAGTTCACAGCCCCATCATCAGTTCCAGTGTAGTAGCTGCCTTTTACCAGCATACATGGGAGATTAATCCTATCAGCAAGTACCTAGAAACGGGAAGAGGGTAGTAGTTAGCTTCACCTATATCTTCTAGCAGCGACCAACAAGGTAAACAAGAGGCCCAAGACCAAAGCTAGAAACAAGTAGAATCTTTTTGTTATAACCTTGAAAAGCAGCGCCCTGTGACGTGCAAGACCAACATTAACTCGTCCAAGTGGAAGAATAGTAGTGTTCAAAGAATTCCTAAGTTCATAGCTTCGTAGCATCCACCTTCTCAATGCTTCATCGGCATTTTCAACGGGGCCACCCATTTGCTCTACAACTATATTTGCAATTTTCTGAGTTAAATCACTTGACACCTGACCACGAGCAAAGTCAGGACATTCCAGAGACAACGCAGATGCTCTCCTCTCTAGCTCTTGCAGTTCAGGATCAATCATCCGGTTCACCAAAATGACCTCATAATCGACATTGTCTGAAATGGAGATGGCTTGAAGATCCACGAGAAGTGGCATCTTCCCCTGTGAAAGAGAATTGGATGTGATCCCATACACATCGTAGAAACCATCTCTGACTTTCTGGTCATAGTTAATGACCTTATGTCCCTACAAGAAAAAGAAACAACAGCATGATCAGCTAAAGTCCCCCATTGTCAGAATCAAGGAAGAAACCATCCACATTGAATTTTTTACCCACCCAAAAATGAAAAACTATACAATCAGGATTCAGGAATACTCGCAAACAAGAGAACATCGGAATTAATGGCAGTGATCAATCACAGGAAAACCCTAATTCCTCTAAACCCCTGCTTATTGAACGATCCAGAGGAATCAGAAAAGGCAATATAAGCAAATGGTTAGGATACAGTGTATACCCAGTAGCGGAGCGAGAGAAAGTCAACGGCGGACTCTGCGTCGGTGACCGGAGCCGAAACCCCAAGGCTAATCCTTTTAGCGGCATCAAGCTGAGCTGTATCTGCATTCTCTCGCGGATCAGGATCAGACACACTGATCGCCATAGCTAGCTGGACTTGGTACTCCTCCTCCATCAAATTGAAATCGACACCATCCACAGCCGCCAGATCACGGCCTGCAGGCTCAAATGTTTCCAGTCTCGGCATTGTCGCGGAGGCGTTACCAAAACCGGACGAAGAGACCGAAGAAGTCGAAGCCGGGCTAGGGCTAGAGCTAGGAATAGGGGTAGGATCGATCATCGGTCTAGTCGTTTCATCTAACCTGTGATGGTCTCCAAATCCGCCGCCGACGCCACTACTCCCGCCGATGTGGAGCTTCCGCAGAAGATGCTTCATCTTCGACATCGATCGTCAACGACGAACTGATCTCTCTTTCTCTCTCTAGGAATCTCCAGTTTATCTCTCTAGAAAATGAAGCTTCCTTTCACTAGTTTTTTTTTTTCTCGTCGATATTTTTTCTTGAAAAAAATAATTGGAAATAATATTGTCAAAAGATATTTAATTGGAAATATTATATTAGAGAAACAACAAATGCGTCCCCTCGCAAACGTCCGATAAAAAAAACACAAACAAATACTTTCATATTGTATGATGTTTTGAGTTTTTTATTTTGTTTCACAAGATTTTCTATATTATATTTAATATATTTATATTTCCAAAATAATTTTTTAAGTTAAAAAGTATAAAAAATTAATATTAAATTAATAAATAAACAAAAAATATTTTAAAAAGTAAATAATCATTGTTTTTTTAATATATATGAAATATCTAAAACATCATACATTTTGGAATGGAAGAAATAACAAATACCGACTTCTTTCTACAGTTTAACAATAAAATAGATGGATATAATGCTCTTTTTCCAATTAAATATCTTTTGACAATATTATTTCCAATTATATTTTTACAGCTTAACTTGCGCCGACATCTTCGAAAGTAGATTCGATTAACATGCGCACTCTTCTTCATCAAGCCACCTCCACTTGGTAAAATATAGCTTTGACTATTTTACTCCAACTCAAACTATTAAAATCACAATTATCCGATATGACTAAACAAATTTCACAATTATCCGAAATTTGACCCTAAATTTCCTGTAAATAAGAAACGTTAGACGCTAAGTGATGTCATTAGAAAGTTAAACACATATTTTTTGTTTTCAGTTATTGAATTTTATTTTAAACATATTTTGCCCAAAAAATAGAAGAAAAAAAAGAGCAATTTGTTGAAATGGTAAATTTATGTGTAAGAGTAGTAAATAAACCAGAGAAAGAAGAAAAAGGAAAGAGAGGAGAAAATTACAATTATTCTGCAGTTAAACTGTTTTATAAGGCTATCATGTCTTCTTCTCTGTATACCAAGTTCTTTAAACTAATAAGAAAACAACATTTGACATATATAGGAAGAAAAACTTCCATTAAGCTTTACAAAGCATCCTCCCACTAAATGAGCAAGCAAAAGTCTTCACCATTCTTTTGTCACCAAGCAGGAATTTGTAACCCGTAAGCAGGCTCCTATTACGCAAGGTTCTGCCTTAAAAAGCTTACAACTTTCTTGGCGAAAGACTTCACCTTTCGAAAGGATCTCCTGCGTCTGCAGGATACTCAGGTGCAGCTACAGCTGCATCAATCTTCTCCTTCAGATTGAATTTCTTGGCGATCATCGGCCTCACATCTTCGGCTCCGATTAAGCTTTCAAGGAATGGGAGCAAGTGAAGGAGTTCTTTATCTGAAGGGTCGTTGAACCAGCTCTCTATCGGCACACCATTCTCCACTTGAAACCCAAAAGCCTACAAAATATAGTACAAACAAAAGCAGAACTCAAACTAAGAACTTCTACTGAATTCACTCATATCATCTTTCTGCTAAAGGGTATTATAAGTCGTGTGCATCTAACGATCGGCTTTAGTTGAAAGCATAAGAACTGAGAATCCAATATGTATGTTTGTGCTCGTTGTGTAAAAGGATGATAAGAATATAGTACCTGTGGGGAGTTATCGACGATGATAACACGAGATAAATCACGCCCAAGGACAGACAAATCCTTTAGGTAGTTACCGTCAAAGAAGACACACGAGTCACGGTACACTCTGTGGCGAAAGAGTTTCCTCTTAGGGTCAAGCACGTTCAGAAGTTGCTCGGCGTAAATACTTTGGCTAGCTGTAAATATAATGATCTCAAAAAGACGGGACACTCTCTCCATAAACTCTTTGAGGTGAGGACGGCACCGCACATACACCATATGCTCTTCTTCGTTAAAATGTACAGGGAATGTGAAATCCACCTCATCACACGGTTCTAGAGTAGAGTGCACAAGAGTTTCTGTGCCAAAACAAAAAAATAAACATATACAGTATGTTATAGAGATAACAGAATAGTAAAAAACAAACTCTTTTAATGGAGCATCAAGTACTTGAACACTAAATCACGCATTTGGGTTTTATTTCAGCGGAAACGAACAAAAAGATTTGAACTTTTTAAGATCCAAATCTTCTGCCACATGTTGTCTATGGTTACATCACATCTACATACAATACTGGTGACAAAGATAAAAGATTTGTGAAAAGAGGCAATATAATTAACCAAACGAAACAAGTGAAAAGTAGAGTTACCATCGAGATCTAGGACTAGAGAAATAGGAGGGCAGCTTCGGGTCTGTTTAGGAAGCAAGACGGGCCTGAAAGTTGGGACAACAGAGGACAGGTTCGGCAAGTTCTTGATAAACAGGTAAGGATCAAACTCATCGAGTTCTTCGTCCTCTTCATCCTCCATGCATACCGAGGTTATAAGGGAATCTTGGCCACGCTCTTCGACACACTCCAGCTTTGAGCTCTTCATCGCTAGATAAATGGCAGAAACTGAATCCAAGTTACAATTTGTATCTACGGGACTTGTATCTAGAGCAAGCAATCGATCATAAGGGTTCTGTGCATCCAAATCTCGAGAAGCAGCGGAGACTGAGTCATCGTCTTCCATTAAAACCCTATTAACATCAACTAGTAACTGTATAAGTAAGCGTACGTTAACCGAACTCATAGCCAAATGCGATTAATCCACAAAAGCACCCATTTTTTCACATTCATGCTCAAGAACTACACATCTACAATTAGAGTTCACCTCGGAAAACCAATTTAAACCAATCTACAATTAAAAGTTCTCAAAAAAATCCAAACTTTAGATAGTGAATTCGCTTTTACCTTGTAGGAACTCTCTTAGCTACCGACAAAACCCGAGACGGCCCGGAGCTAAATCAGATCCCGAGTCCGTCAAATTGCAAAAGCTAACTCAAACACAGACAAGGATAATCTGGAGAGAAGAGAAACAGATCTTGGGTTAGAAAAGGAGCAAGCCCTAGCTGATTCACGAGTAGGGACCAAATGAAGAGCGCCGAGATTTAAAAATATCTGATAGGTAAAACTTTGGAGCCCAAAAGAAAGCAAATTCGAAATCTCCCCCTCTCGCGGAAAGTGACAGAAATCAATATTTTTATCTATAGAACCGAACCGGAAACGAAAACCCACGAAATCGAGAGAATTCAGAAATGTCTAGGGATTTTTCTTAGAAAACAAAAAAGAGGGGGAAAAAACAGCAAGCGTATTAGAAAAATAAAGAGACAGTTTAATTTCTGTTGAAAAAACAAAGCTTTTTGACTGAAAAAAAAAGACGATTAAATCTATCTTTTCCGCTTTCTCCGCAAAAATTATCGGCAACGAAGCAAAAGACTGGAGATTTTTCCAACGAAGCGCCCACACCCAGATTCTATCCCAGAAAATTCGAGCTGGAAATTAAGAGCTGAGGAAAAAGAAACAGAGAGTGGGGAAAATAAAAAGACCTAAAGACAGTAAACTGGTCGGAAAAGTACCTCCGATCAAAAGGATTTCTTCTTTCTTCGCCTTCTCTCTCTCTCTCTCTCTCTCTCTTCGAAATATAAAGAGTAAAAATTTCCTGGAAATGAATGAGAGAATCGACTATACTCTATTACCGTATACATAGGAGAAATTGCAATTATAAGCCCTCAAACTTTTATAAATATTTACTTAGTACCACAGCAGTTTTTAATTTTAATACATAACCCATCCACTTCGAGAGTAGGCCGGGAAATAATGACGTCATCGCCGCTTAGAGAAGAACAACGTCCAAAAAGGTTAAGTCTCATTTTCAATTAAAAACAATAAACTTTCTTGGCTTACAATTACAAATTGGAGCTCTGCATACGTTGTAGGGTAATAATTGTTAAAATAAAAATGTATCGAAGACTCAGAGTATTCCCTATCTTTTAAATAAAGGAATTTTTTAAAAGTTTTACAAGATTATTTTTGTTGATTAGAATTGATGTTACAAGTTTAGTTTGTCAGTATAATTTCCGTTTAGTTCTATATATAGGATGATCTACTTGTAGTTAGTTTTGGATTACCGTAGGATAGTGGAATTTTGCTGCATGTCATAATTGTACAGATTTATTACTAAACACGTAAAGATATGGACTAACGACGTGGGTCTGGTGAGTAAACTCACAGTATATACATTGAGAGAGATTGTAAAGGTAAAAGAAACACAAGGGGCTAGATTGCAAAATTAAACACCGAAAGACGTAAAACGACGACGTTGATGGTCCTCGTCAACTGCGACAGCAATAGAAATTTGATCGTCGTCAAATCCGTCAGATTCAAAACGAAAAAAAAAACTGAAAAAGAGATTCCGCCGCACGTTGTTCAAATCGAAAATTCGAAAAAGAAAGCGACACGCAATAAATCTTACCTTTTTTTGTTTCTTAATCAGGAAGATTAATCAGACCCACAAAGAGAGACAGAGAAAGAGAGAGTTATATGAACAATTTCGTAAACAAAAGCTTGGACCTTTTACAATTCTTTTGATGGTGTGGTTGACGAATCAACAGATCGGAAGATGGAAAAGGAAAAGAATTTTGGTGGGATCGTTCCTCTGTTGGCTTATCCTAATGTTCATCACTCCCAAAGTTCCTCTCGATTCCTTCCGCCATCATGTCTTCGCCGATAAACGCAATTTCATGGGTATCACACTCCTAATCTATTATCTCTGTCTTTGTCTCTGCATGTGTGTCATAACGACAGGTGTTTTGTGTTGGTTTGATGAACAGGAGTGCCAAATACATTGAATGTGATGACCAACTTTCCCTTTCTTATTATTGGGGTGCTTGGTTTCGTTCTTTGCATTGGAGGAAGCTTCTTCAACATAAGGTTCTCCTCTCTTCTCTTTCTAAATTTCGAGTTTTGATTAGTGAAAAGCATATGAGTTTTCGATTTGCTTATGATAGCTCAATTATGTATATGTATATGCAGCTTGAAAGGTGAGATTTGGGGATGGACACTGTTCTACGCAGGCATTGCAAGCTTGGCCTTTGGTTCTGCTTATTATCATCTCAAACCTGATGACAACAGAATCGTCTGGGACACTTTGCCTGTTCGTACTCCCATCACTTTACAAAGAACCTTCTTTTTAGCTTAAGGAATGAAGTTTTAGATGAATCTTCTATTCAAGTTATGCACAGCTGTTTCTTGATTAATGACTGTAATTGTAGGTACTGATTAAGTACATTGTGAACAACAACTCAAAGAATCTTATTTAACTCTCTAGCTATGGAAAGAAAGCTTAAAATGAGCCTTTGTGTTTGCTGATTCTATGAATCGCGTTTGCTTCTACAAGCAGATTGTGAAACAAAAATGTTTAATTAGAATCTTCTTATGAAAAGAAGCTCAGATGAATCCTCTTTAGAGATTCCAGCTGGAACGTTGTGGTTTTTCGCTTTATATGGTTGGTTATGAGTAGCTGTTTCTTGATTTGATGACGGTAAATTGCAGATATTGATAGCGTATTCGTCGCTTTTCTCTAGTTTTTTGGTTGAGAGAGCGGGGGAGAAAGTGGGTCTGAGCTGCCTCGTCTTGCTTCTATTCATATCAGTTCTGAGTGTTGCTTACGCCAGGTAACATCAAGATCATTACTGCCTACTTAGTATATATATATATATATATATATATATGAAATTTTCATGATTTAAGGCAGGTTCGGATTGAGATTATATGTGTCTTAGTTGAATGGCAGAGTGTTTAATGATCTCCGATTATGCATGACGTTCCAGTTGATTCCGTGCCTGGCGATTCCGGTCATGGCGGTTTTGTTACCTCCCAAATATACTCACTCTAGATTCTGGCTCTGGGCAACAGGTTTCTTTCTCTTTTTTTGAACTCAAGAAACCACTTTTGCGTTTGTCTTGTTTAGAATCTAATCTCCTCTGATTTCTGATAACTATGAATGCAGCGGCATACGCTGTTGCGAAGATCGAAGGACTTGCAGACAGCAAAATATACAATGCGAATCGATATATCATCAGTGGGCATTCACTGGGACATTTGTGTTCAGCATTGGCTACGCTTTTACTTACCGTTATGCTTTTGTATAGAGGCCTTGTGTTTCAGAGGTAACCTGTTTTTTAACTGTCTCTTTCTTTGATTTTGTTTTTACGTTCCTTAAACCCTGAGACATTTCTTGATTCTTCTTTTTGTGTGTGATGAAACCAAAACAGATTAGGTGATCTCAAAGGCCATCCTTAACATCCATTAATGACTCCTCTCAAGTTTTTTTTGGGTAATTCGGATGCTTGTGTATTCGTTCTTGCACTACAGATTTTGTTGGGTTACTACTAAATAGGTTTTTGACCCATTATCACACTTACACCTGAGTTTTGTTTTCTTACCTGACATCATTTGAAACGGCTTTGGCATAGATCTGGCTTTAATTTTAATTTTAATATTAATTTCAAGTCTTTTGTGTTTGGACGATGTGATGGACTAATTAAATAGAACCAAACAAAAAAAAAGGCAACAATTTTTTGAATTGAGCCCTTTTTCTTATTCATTCATATGATGGATCACTTTATTGAGGACTTCGGATGAAACAGAAAAATATGAGAATCTAACACAGTAATAGCATTACAGTACTGATTCTGAATAATGATGAATGGAAAATCTCAGCAGTTCATAGTCCTTCGAAGAAACGCAAATGGTCTTCGAATGTCTCAGCGTGCCTGATCTTAGTGATTAGGCCATCTTCTTCAACCTGCAAAAACAAAACACAAATCCATCAATTTTCCCCCCAAATAGAATGCTCTCAGATGGTTAAAATAATCATGAAAATTTCTCTCAGGATCTTGATTCTGCTGTGATTGGTACCCACCCAGTATTCCGGAGGACGCATCTTGAGGTTGTAAGTGGAAGCCATGCTCATACAGTACGCACCCGCATCATGAACCACCAGACCAGCTCCCTGTAAGAAAATTAGGATTAATTCACGAGATTTCACATTACTTGAGCTTTCAAAACAGAATCAGATCCTTATCGCACCTTCGGAGGAGTGGGAAGCTCTCTGTCTTTGCCCAAGAAATCAGCAGATTCACAAACAGGACCCACTACGTCGAATTTGGAAACCTCTGCTTCAGGTGTTGTAGGAGAGACCAACTCAATGTGCTTTTGTTTAAAGAAACAAGAACAAGAGGATGTTTAGCTATAACTCAAAAGGAGGAAATTTCTAACAAACATAATAAAACATTTGTTTCACCTGATAGGCATCATAAAGACTGGGACGGATCAGCTCGGCCATACTTCCATCGATCACTATGAAGTTTTTAGTTCCATTTGTCTTCACACCGGTTACATGGTTGACGAAACAGCACGTGTTTGCAATCAACGACCTCCCTGGCTCGATTATTAGATTCAGGTCTCGTGAAAGAACTAGCTCTCTTACCTGGAACACACATCAAGGATTGTAAAGATTCTACCAATTTCAGACTTTTGGTATCAGGTGAAGGAACGAGTTCTTGAGATGTTGTTCTTACGGTGTTGATGAGATCCATGGGTGTAGGAAGCACAGCGCCGGCGTGGTAATAATCTATCCCTAAACCACCGCCGATGTTCAAGTAACTAACTTCAAAACCTTGACGCCGGATTTCATCAATGTATTCCACCATGAGAACCGCTGCATCTCTGAATATATCCACCTGGAATAAACAAAACGTAGACGAATATGTAGAGATCAAGATTCTAGATTTTAGAGACGGAGCAAAAGCAAGAGCAATCCATATTCATCTGATTAGATCAGAACACAGCTTAAAAGCAAGAATATAAAGTACTATAATCGGAGTTACCTTCGTGATGGTGGAGCCTAAATGGCAATGAGCTCCAACAAGCTTAAGCTCATTGGGATGTGCCTTCACCTCGTCCAGAAACCACTGAAGCTTCTCGTTCCTGATACCAAACTTTGAGTTCTTGTTCCCGGTAGCTACATAAGGATGCACCTGAAAGATGTAACAAAAAGAAAACGATCACTCGTATTTAAACTGTCTCAAAGTATTATATCAAAAAAAAGAAAAAAACAGGAGATAACCATACCTGAGGATCGACATCAGGATTGATACGCAGCAAAACATTGACCTGCTTGCCAGAAATTCTTGAAGCTTCCACAATGTTATCCAAGTCGAACTCACTATCAACATTTACGAAAACTCCTTCTTGAGCAGCTAGAACTAAATCTTCCAACAGCTTCCCATTTCCATTGAAAATGCACCTATTCATTTCATACAAGAACAGATTAGTCAAACAACTATCACAGATTTAGACCAAATCAAACAGTTTATATCAATCCTCTAGTACTCTACTCTGTCTCCATCAACAAGTGAAAAACAATGTTCTGATTTTATACTATGGGATAAAGTCAACTCCTGATTCCAGATATACTCATCTCTCTCCAAATTGGCATTTGATTGTTCGAATCAAGCTAGATAGATTTAGAGAAATGGGGTAAAAAAGCAAAATGTATTTACTTGGTAGGATCGAAACCAGCACGAAGGGCAAGCCTGAGCTCATTTCCACTGACGAGCACAGCACCACAGCCCAAACTCCTCAAATGCTCCAAAATCTTGAGGTTGTTATTGGCTTTAATGGCGTAGCCAATGACGGATCTCACACCTTCCAATGCCTCTTTGTACGCCTCGACGTTCCTTGTAATCTGCGGTTTGCTGTACAAGTAAAAGGGTCTTCTCTCGACGCTCTCCATGATATCCTCAACCTTAGTTCCCTCGCAATAGAGGAACCCATCCGATGATTTCTTGAAGCAGTGCTTGAACGACGGCGCCGATTCACTCGCCAGCGTCTGCACTGAGTTCTGTGATACGGCGGATTTAACGGAGAGGCGTTTAAGTGGCTTGAGGGTGGACTTGAGAGACAGAATCGGGATTCTGATGAGCGAGGATTGGTTCAATTGGTATTGGTTTAGGGTTCCGCGTACGGATGAAGGTTGGCAGAGAAACTGAGTAGCTGTCGCCATGGCTGGACGATTGTGAGGGTGCGGAGTGCGACTGTACAGTGGCACTGCAATTAGGGTTTCTTTAAGAGTCAAAGAAGGTACAACTTGAAGAAGTTGCACGTGCGAAATGGTTTAGCTTTTGTCGGGTCCGGTCTGGATATACAACCAATTAAATTGAACCGGTTTCTAACCAGTAAATTGGACGATACAAATGGAACAAGTTGTTTAAGAAAGAACCAACGGGACGAAGATGTAATTATGGTTTTTAGGAATTATATGGAATTTTTCTGTGTGCAAATAGGAGAGTTGGCGAAATAAATTTAGGGCAATTTCCATAATTACACTGAAAATAAGTTTTAGGATAAATATAATAGGGAATTTAAAATTTTTCCATCTCTAACATTTTTCATTTGAGTTTTCCGATTTTACCTTTTAGGAAAGTCTTTCTAAAAGTTTTTTTTCTGTTAATATTTCGTGATTTTTTAGGAAGGTCTTCCAAATTTTAGAATTTAACATCGTTTCATATAGTTTTGGGAAGCTTTTCTAAATTTTTTAAAATTTCTTGAATTGTAGAATAGCTTCCTGAATTGTGGAAGGGTTTCCTGAATTGTGGAAAAGTTTCTTGAATTTAAGTTGTGGAATAGCTTCCTGAATTGTGGAAGGGTTTCCTGAATTGTGGAAAAGTTTCTTGAATTTAAGTTGTATAAATTAACCAAAATAATAATCAGTTATACGATTTACGAAGGTATTCTTAAATATATGCAATAACTTACTTAATTTATACATTTTAGGATAGTCTTTCTAAAACTTTAGAATATTTCCCTAAATTTACGTTCATCTCCTTTTCACCTCTGCGACATCCAAACATAATTCCCGCCGATTTCTTTTTTTTGCACCATTGTTGCTATTTTAGCTCGAGTTTCTTGAGTTTTTCACTAAATTATATTAGATATGTTTATCATTATATGATTTTGAGCTTTAAATCCTCAAACCTCTTTCCCATCAAAAAAATCCAAAAGATCTAAGAGATTCACAATCACAAATCACAATCAAATGAGCAGAGTTATCCTAAACAAAACAAATAATTCGAATTTCAGATCAGTCTTGGTCATTGATACATTTGTTTGTATATTATTTTTTTTCTCTTTTTATTAGCTAATGTTTTGTCTAACTAAGATTAATATGGTACAAAATATTATGAATAGAAATTTTTTAAAGTGTTAGTACTTAGTGTATATGTGGAATAAAAACTTTGATTAAATGCATATGAGAGAATTTCTCATAAATTTATCCTCTTAAAAACCATATTAAAAAAAAACTATATTAAAAAAAAAAATCTCTTAGGGAAAAAGAAAGCCTAGATGAAAGCCCAAATATTTTACGGCCTTTATAACTTCATGGGCCGAACTTCCGTGTCACTTCACTTCTTTCGTTATTTGATTTTGTTACTATAATTTATATCTATGACTGACTGATGATCCATCTATATGATCACTGGCTACGTAATTATATGTATGATGTTCGCGTGATATTTGGTTGGATGGTTGATAAGTGACAGTGTAGCTTCTGGTAAAAGGTTACTATTAAAAAACGACATTAGTCACATTACCATATAAGTATGTTACTGGATGTATCCGTTAGACTTTACGGGTAGTAGTTGGTAAAAGGGTCAAATATTCGAGAGAAACAAAGTATACTTTGAGTAACTGAAATAATTTATTACGCTAATCTTGGGAACTGAGAGCTCGGAAACAAAGGATTAACATAATTGAAAACAGAGCAAGCAGCATTGCCGAGGAGGCGATGAAATAATTATTGACTTGGGGTTTACTCTCTCTGAAGTTAAAAGGTGTTTTTCTTAAGGTTACATATAAATATAATCGCCATTCGGATCATATTACTCCGATATCTATACTACACTAGCTTAATATTTTTCTCTTTTCTCTTTTAAACATGCACTGACTTAAATTCAAACTTATTCAATTGAGTGCACTTTTTTATCTAAGAAAAATAAATAAATGTAAAATGAACTGCTACCACTATTTGTCGGTGGATTATTTGTTTTGGTATTTTGAATTTTTCCATTACATCTATACTGTTACCACTACTATTTGCCCCTTTTCCTCATTTTATAAGAGGATACGTTATTTCCCCAAAATTATCCCATATTTACAATTATCCAAATGTTACTCTTCAATCTATTCCGAGTTACAAAAACTTGGAAATCTGGAGTCAAAACAAGCTTAAAAATGAACTTTGATTGGTTGTGCAGGTTTAAGTCTAACTCCAATATAATTAAAGTATATCAGGTTTTTAAAATTTTAGGTAATATATATATAGAATGATTCTTTATATATATTTTGAGCTGGCTCTTATTGTTTATAATTAAAAAATTGGTTATAGTATTTATAACTGATAAGATTGGTTATACAAATCTGATAGTTAAATGTTAAACATGAATAACACTAAATATTTAATGGACAAGATTTGATATATGAATAACACGTCAAATTAGTTTCACATGCACTCAAACTTTTTCAAGTTTAACACCAATTGTGAAAATCTATTAAACATGAATTACACAAAACCTTAATTGGTTAATTTTATATTTTTTCAATAACATTGGATTTCAACCTCATTTTTTTTTGAAAAGTTTGTAAATTCAAAATCAATTAAATCAGATTTTCAGTTATTTTAATGAAGATATTGTAATTACAAAAAAAACTAATAACATCAGATTTTAATAAAATATATAAAATGAATCAATAAGATAAGAATGAATTGTGCTTAGATTTAATAACTCTGTAGATAATATTATAATAAATTGCTTGTGTAATTCTGTAAGTAGTAATTTATTAAATTGTTTAATTACCCAATGAAGATTCCACAGATTTGGCATGGAAGTCGTGAACATTCACAAATCACAGACAATCTAAAGAAAAAAACTGAAAACCAGAAACAATAACTACTATCTTTTAAAAAGAAAGAAATTTTTCTGTAGTTAATGATAAAAATATTATAAAAGTTAAAATCTATTATGATTTCAGAACAAAAAACCCTCTCAATCTCTCAATCCTTCTCACTAGCTCTCTCTTTCTGTGTGCTCAGATCCGACCAGAGGAGAAAGAATCGGAGAAGAAAATGTCTGAGCGAGTCCACCCATCTTACAGACAAGCACGCACCACCAAGAAAGGCTCAGCAGGTGGTGCCGAAGCATCTGCTCCGGTTAATGTCAGCGGTGGCCAAACAACCACCAAAAAAGGCTCAGCAGGTGATGTCAGCGGTAGCCAGACAACCAGCGGGGCTCGACGCCACTACCGTCCGCCTAACCCTCATACGGCTGACGATTCAAAGCCCAACCCTCCTCCGGCTAACGGCCCAAAGCCCAACCCTCCCCTGGCTACCGGCCCACCGCCTACCAGTAAACGTCGGTCAAACTGGCAGAGAATTTGCTGCTGTTGCTGTTTCTGGTCGATTCTGATCATCGTTCTCGTGGCCGCAATCGGCGCCACTTCCGTGTACCTGATCAACCATCCGCGTCCGCCGTCGTTCTCCGTCCCGTCGCTTCGAATCGGCTGCGTTAACCTAACCACCGCCTCGGATTCCTCCCTCTACCACCTCTCATCTTTCTTCAACTTCACTTTGCTCTCGGAGAATCCCAACAAGCACCTCACGTTCTCCTACAGCCCCTTCGCCGTCACCATCCTATCCGAGAACTCCGGCGGGATGCTCGCGACCGGAACCGTACCGGCCTTCTTCAGCGACAACGGGAACAAGACGACGTTTCGCGGCGTGATCGCAACGTCTTCGCCGGCGCGTGAGCTTGGCCCGGAAGAAGCTCGGAATCTGAATACAGACCTGACGCGGCCACGCGTGGGATTGGAGATACAAATGCGAACGGACGTGACAATGCAAATGGGGAAGCTGAGGAGTGAAGGAGTAGAGATCAAAGTGAAATGCCAAGGATTCGAAGGAACATTGCCCAAAGGTCAAACTCCAACCGTAGCAATCTCCAAGGATACTAAGTGTAAGTCTGAGCTTAGCGTGAAGCTCTGGAAATGGTGAAGCAGAGGTCTGATCAAAATTTAACAATTGAAATTTCCGGGTCATTTTTATGATATCTTTTTCTTTCTGTATTTGTAACAACACTTTTGGAATGAACCAAAAGGAGAATTCTCAGTTTTTTAGTTAATAAAATTGCAGAGAAGAGTCAGAGAGATAAGATATTGTCGTTAATTCGGGGGCTTCTAAAACTAATAGTGAGCATTAAAGTAAGATCATAACATACAAACATTAACAAAACCTTAAAATTGCAAAAAGAAAGAGACAATATTGAAGAATACAGTGGAAAATATGTGTTAAATGTTAGATGTTGAACGTCTATCTGCTGTTCTGTTCTCACACAATATCACCATTTAAGAGAACGTGCATGGTCTCTCTTTTACTTTTTTGGTTCCCTGATGTAATAATACACAATATACAATATACATTATAATTAGAAAAATATACGATATAATTAAAAAAAAATTCGCCATATTAATCGAAGGTGGGGATATATTTTCGATTAGTGCATATATAATTTATCTAGCAGCTGCATGTTATGTAAACAATATAGACTCCATTCTTGAATGGTATGTAGTTTGGTATAAAGCATCACATTTCTACATTGCCAACAGGATCTCCCAGAAGATAAGTTTACGGGCCATGCATGTTGTTCCGAAAATGTACAAATGGTTCATGTTAGGTAGATTATGAAGAAGTCATCGTTACAACTTCGAGCCCGAAATAAGAGGAAAATGTCGGTGTGTCAAAAATGAGAAAAAAAGAACTGGATCAAGGGATAAGTTGTGCTATGCAAACCGGTAAGGAGGGACCTACAGGGAAATAAATTTTAATTAGGAAATTAAAAATGTATAAGCAGTGCGGCTAAAACAACGCATGATAAATAAACTTTGTTATTAGATTCACTAAATGCATACTCATTTTTGTATATCCAAATAATTAAAAATAGCTGAAAAGCACTGTTTGTTGTGAATTTTAGCCATTACGATATTGTGCCCAACAAGAATGTAGTAATTGTTTGTTTCTACTTACATAGGCTTTCTGAAAATTAAAATGAGAAGAAAAAAGATTTGTGTAGTTTTTTTTTTTTTTTGGTAAGGGGATGGAGACAATTGTCCCCATCAGATTATTATTTTAGCAATTTAATTATACACTCTCACATTACGAGTTCGTGTAGTTCCAGTTACATCTTCTTCCAAAATCAAAGCAACATCAGCTGGTACATAATCGAAAGGATGAAATCCAAGTGGTAACGAGAAGGCATAGTTAGCCAATCCGTCTGCTAGACGATTGGCTTCCCTATAGACGTGTGAAATGGGGACTAACCAGTCCCTTGATAGAAAGCCGTAGCACAAATGTACTAGGAAGGAGAGAGGGTGAGCGTCACTTATCCCTTTCCGTAAGAACCCAACAACAATTTCCGAATCCACCTCAATCTCCATTCTTTGAACTCGGCGATCCCATGCAATATAGAGTCCATAATAGACCCCCCATAGCTCCGCCAGAGGTGCTGAGCATATCCCAATGTTAAGCGCAAATCCTCCACACCATTGCCCATTCTCATCACGCAGCACTCCTCCTGTAGTAGCTAGTCTCGGGTTCTCGTGTGATGCCCCGTCTGTATTCAGTTTCCACCAGCCACCACTCGGTGGAGACCACGCAATTAGTCTCTCCACTCTGTCACTGTTAGTATGTGATCCTGTAATGTGGGACTGTGCGATGGTTACCTCTTTCGCTTGGTCTTTAATGAACTGCACCCGGTCTCGACACTTAGCTATCGTCCCAAAGACGTTTCCACACCCCCATTTCCAGCCCCACCAAGCCGCCATTGCAAAAGTCGTGGACCATGGGTTTCCTCCCACATCCGAAGCATCTCCCAAGTTCTCATGTATCCATTCCAAAAGTGTTTTTATAAAGAAATCTCCTCTCTTTCTCACGGGAATAATTCTACTCCATACCCCCATCATAGCCGGACAATCGCGTAATATATGGAGTATTGACTCCTCACCCCCTCGGCAAACTTGGCAAACCCCTGTGGTGCTTAGGTGGCGTCTCAGTCGTTCCATATTCGTCATGAGGACCTGATTTACCACGAGCCACAGGAACACCTTCACTCTCTCAGGTGCTATTATTTGCCAGACACTCTGGAATAGAGCTTTCATGTTTTGTCGAGGGCTGTTGTCTTGAGTGAGCAACGCATAAGCGGATTTGACAGTGAATTCACCATTCTGAGCAGAGCTCCATGACATTCTATCCCTGGCGCCTGTAATATCATCAACAACCATTGAAGTCAGCTGCAACCTGGTGTTTCCGGAGATATATGGCGTGATATATGCTTCCCTCCACCCCATTCCATTTTGCCAACAGTCCCATACCGTACTATCTAACAGCTCATCTGGAATCTCTGCTTCAGCTATTTCAACCAACGGGTACGGAGTCAACTATTTATCTTTCCAGAACTTGATGGTTCGCCCATTCCCCACGACCCAACTCAATCCCGGGATTACCACATCTCGCATTCCCATTACTATGCTTCTCCATGTTGATGAGCCATACCTTTTGGTCGTAGTCCATGAAACATCTTTGACATCGCAGACTTTATACTTGCTTCTCAAGACCCTTGACCAGAGACTCTTATCATCGTGTATCAACCACCAACTCAGCTTTGCCAAAAGAGCCTTTTTCATCTCTCTCGATAGTCGAATCCCTAGGCCCTCCTCACTCTTCGGTTGGCATATTTTTTTCCAGGCAACAAGATGTTGCTTCCTCTGCTTTGTGTTGTCTCCCCACAAGAAATCCCTCGATATCTTATCCAGACTCTTCAAAGTTGACTGCGGGAGTGAAATGGAGCTCATCGTGTGTACTGGGATAGAGGAGAAGACTGCTTTCGTGAGTGTGATACGTCCTGCAAAACTCAGCATATGACTCTTCCAACCCGCAAGCCTTGCTGATAATTTCCCCAATATCTCCCTAAAGGTGTCTTTGTTGATGTGTTTCTGGAGCACGGGCATTCCCAGATACTTCCCCAAATCCTGCGTTGATCCAATACCACTCTCCTCACTTATTTGCTTCCCTAGCTCACGACTTACATTTGCTGAGAAGTATAGTTTTTTAGATATATCAAATGTTTTTATAGGAAAAGTTGGTGTATTTGTAATGGTTAACTTTAATAACTTAACGAAATTGATAGAAAATTTATGTTTGAAACAGAAGAAAAAACAAGGCCCAAATCGAACCAATTCAATCAAAATGTCCAATGAAATTTGAAGCCCAATACATCTCCCAATCTTTTTCACCTTTCTTCTCTTCTGGTTTCCGACATCATTTTTGCTTCGCTGGGCAGCGAAGAACAGAAAAACAAAAGAGACGAATATATTCCGCCGTAGAAATCAAATTCTCTCGCTATCACACTAGCTTCAACTTTGCTACACAAAAAAAAAAATCGTTTTCGCTTTTCGAAAGAGAAGAAGTTGGGAATATTATCTATGGCGGAGAAGCTCGAGCCCGCGAAGGTTTTGTACTGTGGAGTTTGCTCTCTTCCAGCGGAATACTGCGAGTTCGGTCCCGATTTTGGGAGATGTAAGCCATGGCTGATTGAAAACGCACCGGATCTCTATCCCGATCTTCTCAAAGGTACCAAAATAGATCAAACCCTAATTTTAATCCGCGGAACTTGTTTGATTTAGGTTGTGTTAGCTTTAGTGTTTGTTAGTGATACCTCAATTGAAACCCCGTCTAAAAGATTTACCCTTTGAATTTTAATTTTCGATTCTTGGAATGGCTTAGAAATTCACACAATCAAGAGATGAAGCTCTTTGTATCTACTTGATTCATATGTTTAGGATAAGTATGGGTCTGTTTGGTTTGGTGATAATATGCATTCGATAAGCACGTCTTAAAAAGATATTAGTGAGTACTAGTCATTGTGTATGATCGATTCTATAACACTGGATTGTAAATGCCAACGTGTAGAGATTTCGATTCTTGCGTACCCGTTTGCGCTACTGTTCCACTAATTATAACAGTGATCTTCTCTGATTTGAGAACTTTCTGAAATTTGGTTTTAACATTGATTTCATCTTCAGAAGCTAATGAGAAAGGGGCAGATAAAGTTTCCGACCAACTCCAGTCGGTGGGAATCTCCTCTGGTGGCGCTGATGGGGCACAATCTTCAGCTCAAACTGGTATGTGCGTGTCCACAGAGATTTGCTTACTTTCTCAACTGGGCTGTGAAATGTACTTAGTACATGTAGTTCAATGCTTACTCGTATATGTTAATCTGTAGTGTTTTCTTCTCTCTCCATTGCTGGAGAAACATTTCTAGATCTTACTAACTGATGTTGATGCCTACGCGGAAAGAATTCAACTATTTTGTTAGTTTTCTCTGATCACTGGATTTTCGAATATATAGGAGGGACGTCCAAGAAGGAGGAAGTGAAGCGCCTTCCTGGGGGAAAATTAAAAAAGAAAGTAAGTACTTTTGTGTAACCATCCTAATGTCTTTCTCGAATGTTTAACACATTACCAAGTTTCCAATGGAAATGTAAAAAACAATTAGACATGCTTGGACATTCCCTCATTTCAATGGATTTACAATATTAGCGTTTTACCTTTTTGATTTCCTTTGTCTTTCATGCGAATCTGTTTGTCCGGTTGTCTAATTTTCTAATTCTTACGGATCCTAATTAGGAGAGACAGGAAGTCATTATTGAAAAGGTTGTGCGCAACAAGCGCAAGTGTATCACCATTGTGAAAGGACTAGAACTGTTTGGTGAGTTGTTTGAATCTTTGGTGGTGAGATATCTTAGTATTCTTATTGGCCGGAACAAACCTCATTCTCTTGACCCTTAATTTTTTTTTGCATCAGGGATAAAACTCAGTGACGCTTCTAAAAAGCTTGGGAAGAAGTTTGCCACTGGAGCATCAGTTGTCAAGGTATGTAGAAGATGGATTGCAAAATCAAATGTGAATAATAGGTTATATATGCTTAGTGATATTTGGGTTTTGGTCTAGCTGATCTAGTGACCAATGGTAACATATATAGGTCTGTTGTGAGCAGTATTGTTTTTGACACCTCACCGCATTCAGAACCCTTCTGTTTATTTCATCTTATGCTTAGGTTTGTCTATGTTTCTGCGTTTCAGGGACCAACTGAAAAGGAGCAAATTGATGTTCAAGGAGATATAATCTATGACATCGTTGAATTCATTACAGACACTTGGCCAGACGTAACATAACTTATCCTTCTTCTTATTACCTCTTTTGTTCTTTCTTTTTCTCTGCATCCACTCGTATGAATAACTTGTGCTAAAAACTCTTGGCTGCTGCATTGTCTGTTTCCAGGTACCTGAAAGATCCATTTTCTTCATTGAAGATGGGAAGAAGGTTCAGGCTGGTTGATGGATCACACCTCTGTCCTGGGTTTTTTGGCATGGCAGGTTCATGTAGACGAGCTAGTTTCTGAGTCTCCTCCCATGTGTTTGGAGGGAAATTCGCATCCCGATAATAACTTTCAACATAACGTATAGTTGGATTATCATACTATTTTCTTTTTTTATGGGTTGCGATCATTCCAGACAGGTTTCTCCAAACATCTCTGTTTTTTTGGTGGGTCTTAATATTTAAATGAGCCTTTGATATAATGAATGCTTTCTTGATTCTTGACCCATTTTCAGCTTTCACCATCTCTGATTTATATGATATGGTGGATATTAAAAAACCATTTTATCTTCAAACAAAAAGAACCTGGGTCATAACAATCTAGATATGCAATCTGATAATCAAACCAGCCCCTACAAACAAATTTTACCTTTCTAATCGATTCGTACCTGGCAAAAACATTTTATCAACCATGAGAACATTTTGATATCGTATTGAACAAAGTTAAATCCGCGAAGTAATCGGAACAACTGATCTAATGGGGTCTCGGTTATTTGTACTGATATAACCTGAATCATCATCATCTATCTTGGGATCCAATTTGAAGAATGATAAAACAGTAGAAGCAAGCTGGTGCTGGTGAGAAGTGAACTCATGATCAGCCCCTTCAACAAAACGCAGTGTATGATTCTTTATGTATTTGGCGAATTCGGATGCTTCTGTTTCAGGCACGATCTTATCAGCTGACCCATGAACTGTTAAGACCCTGAACTTTTAAGAGAATCATTAGTTTCTCTATCAGACTGAAACACAAAAAAGACAGATCCTTAAGTATAGAGTTATGATGATAATGAGAATGATTGTAGAATTTACCTGCAGTTTTCAGGAATTGAGAGACATGCTTCATGAGGACTGGTTGTGAGACGGTCCATTAGACTCTCTTCGGTTACCCGATACTGGAACTTTCCTGCAAAGAGAAAAGGGCAAAGAGTTTTCGCTAACAGTAACGGTAAATGCCCAAACACCATGTTTCTTTGGCTGTAACAATCACAAAGCCTGAAAGATTTACCCTTTCTGTTCCTAACATCGATGAACCCATTCTCTTTGATTCTCTTGAAGTAGTCCTTACCAAGCCTCCCTTCTATTCCTCCCTCTAGAAAAAACCGTCCTGAGATATTCACAACAGTCTGCACATCCTTGTACTTTGCTGCATACAAAAGCACCACATTTCCACCTGACAACCACAAGACTGCAAATTAACTTTTCTTGAAATCAAACAAACATGAAATCCACTTTAGTTTTTTACGTTTTCAGACCTTTACTATGTCCGATTATCGCAGAGATCTCACGGTTTTCCCCACGCAAGTGTTGGAGAACAGAACGTAGATCTTCAGCTTCACGGCGGTAGTTACCATATTGAAATGATCCTTCACTTTCCCTGAAGCCTCCCCCAGAAACATGAGTAAGCAACAAACACTTTCACCATTTTGAGTTATGCGTTTAAAATATAGTAAAATGGATTCACCCGTTGCCAGCGAAATCAAACCGGAAAGAGCTGATCATGGCTCTTTCAAAGACATTGGCAATTGTCACCATGGGAACCCGATCCTAGAAGGTTATATGATATTAGAGGAAATCAATACAAATCAATTATCTCATGGAATCTGAAACGGAAACGAGAGGTAGTTGCAAATGATGAAGAAGACTGATGAGAGAATGCTACAAAAAAAAAAAAAAAAAAAAAAAGCAAACCTTTGACGATTGGAATCCATGGCAGATGACAACAGTCTCTGTTGAGCCCGTATCATGCAAAACTCCCACGAGTTTCTCACCATGACTGTTCTCAACTACAACTCTTCGTTGTTGAATCTCTGCGCAGAATTTCAGAATTTAAAGTTCGATCACCAACAATGTTCAAGCAGCTATATATATCCCATAGGAACAAAGCTTGTTTGGAGTTTTCCATGATCTAATCAGAAATGACCCCAAAATCAAATTGCAGAGAACGTAAAACCCAAAATGATAAGCGAACGTCAGAATCAATTTCCCAATCGGATAGGTCAAAGCGTATGAATCAAATCATAATGGTACAATTCAGGGTTTTCCCACTGCGTTGAGGGGTTCATAGATCGAGAAAGGAGATAGAAGTTACCCGAGTTGTCGATTCGTTCATCTCTAGAATGGCTACGGCGAGTCTCCGACATCGTCTCGCGGAGGAGAAACCTGGAAGCTTAAGGTTTCGTTATGGCTCTTGTGGCGTGGCCGGTGTCCGTGACCGTACAATCAGAAGAAGATCCCCGGCCAACTGTAAAAGTTGTATTTACGATGAAGAAAATATTAACAAAAAGTACCTATATGTTTTCACAACTCCTAATATTGTACCATTGTTTTATAAATAGTTTACAAAAAGTACCATATATTTTAACTCTAATTAATAAGAGACAAAACAGTAAAAATGTTTTTCGCACAGAAAATATTAAACTACTACAGTATCTTCAGTGCATTATAAAATGCTTTCTCCTTGTGTCAATCTCAAATTTTGAGGCCAAATGATTGATTATCCATAGGAGAATTCTTTTGAAACATAAACTATAAAACGATCGACCAAGTTGATTAAAAATATATTAATTACGCCTCCTGAAGTTTTCTCAATCATAGAAATGACAAGTAATGAATATTCCCAAGAGCTTTCACTGCAAAGCCTATATAATAATCACAATAGATTAACAAAGACCAAGGACCGAAAAGCCTACATAATAATCACAATATATTAAATATCGTAATTAACTTATATCAAGGGTTTCTTCCACGATACTTCGAGCTCAAGACAAAATAAGTTGTTGTTGTCAATGTCAACGCTAATGGCATTATAACTAGAATCAAGCTCTGTGCCGACTCTATAATCATTTTCTTGGCAGGATCCCAAAGAGTACTTATAAACAGCCTCACATAATTAAGACACATCATTTTCGGATCAATTAGTCCCGTTACGGAGTAAGATCATCAATGGCTGAAGATGGAAACGTCCAGAATCTTCTTCAAAACGACGTGCTTAACCGGACTTCCTTCCATTTCCAACCTCAGAGAAACTGGCTCAACGGTTCTAATTCTTTTTTTTTTTTTCCCTCCTACAGTACGATTTGTGCATTACATTATACTCTGGAAAATGTTTTTTTCCTGAACATAAAGGTTACTAACTGTGGTCTTTTTTAATTTCGTGTTTCAAATCCTTTGGATGCATCTTGGAATATGAAGATCCAAACGGTAAGTAAACCTATATAAAATTGTAACTTGTGATACAAGGAACCCCCAAAGGTTTTTACATGATGACAAAACTTATGGTACATCATATGTTTTCTCAGCGCCAATGTATTACAAAGGATTCTACCATTTGTTCTACCAGCACAACCCTTTGGCTCCTATATTCAATGGCAGAGTCATATGGGGACACTCTGTGTCACAAGATATGGTCAACTGGGTCCAACTCGAACCAGCCCTTCTTCCTTTTGAGCCCTTTGACATAAACGGCTGCTGGTCTGGATCCGCCACGATCCTCCCTGATGGCAAACCTGTGATTCTCTACACCGGACGCAACGAGCCTGACAGACGTCAGGTTACAGTTCTTGCCGAACCTAAGGACGTTTCCGACCCTTTGCTTCGTGAGTGGGTGAAGCCAAAGTACAATCCTGTGATGGTTGCGCCAGATAACGTCTCCAACTATTGCTTCCGTGACCCTACGACCGCATGGCAAGGGAAAGATGGGATATGGAGAGTTCTCATAGGAGCTAAGGAGACGGATACTCAAAGAGGAATAGCGATTTTGTACCACAGCAAAGATTTTGAACAATGGACAAGGTATCCGGTTCCTTTACTTACATCACAAGTCACCGAAATGTTGGAATGCGTTGATTTTTTCCCGGTTTCACTAACGGGCAAAGAAGGTGTAGAGAATTCGGTGAACAATGCTAGTGTGAGGCATGTCTTGAAAGTCAGTTTTGAGGAAAGAGTCGGAGGCAAAGACTGTTATGTTATCGGTACATATTCTTCCGAGACTGAAGAGTTTTTGGCGGATTCAGAGTTCACTAACACAAATGCGGATTTGAGATATGATCATGGAATGTTTTACGCCTCGAAGGCCTTTTTCGATAGCGCTAAGAATCGGAGGATCAACTGGGGATGGGCTGTAGAGACTGATAGCGAGGAAGGTGTTATTCAGAAAGGATGGGCTGGCCTAATGGTATATATATAATATATAGTTTATAGGCTTAAAGTACTTCTATAGATTTATTTTTGGTTCAGTCTCTTCCCAGGGAAATGTGGCTGGACACAAGTGGAAAGAGGCTGATACAATGGCCAATCAAAGAAATCAACAATCTCCGGACCAGACATGTTACTTTTGATACAAGGCACCTCGCAAGCGGAGCGGAATTTGAAATCACAGGCATTACTGCTGCACAAGTAAGTTTTCGCTTAGGGTTTTCTAAGGAATCTCATTATATCTTATTGGTTTGTGTTTTTTAATCTATTTCTGAATGTAAGGATTTGAAAATCTTTAGAAAGTTTAGTGACTTAAAGAAAATTACTATATTAGAAAATTCATCCTATTCAAAATAACAAGAACATTTTCAAAATATGTTAAAAACCCAAAATGTAATCGAATCTTTACTGAATAACCCGAGTAGAAGTAGTAGAAAGAAATCACTAAATGAATAAAATTTTGACAAAGATTTAGAATATACCGGAAAATACTGATTGGATTTTTCGATCAATTACACACAAACTACTAAACCATTCCATCAATATTTACACAAATACACAATAATGTCTCAAGAATCAATCGGCTAGTATTTTTAATTTGTTCTAACAGCTTCTTATCTTTCTCTTGTTGTTGTTAAAGGCCGACGTTGAAGTGACATTTGAGTTGCCTGTTCTGGAAGATAATCCCCTGATACTGGTTTCTGACAAGGTTGATGATAAGGATTTGTTCGACCGTGGCAACTTGGATGGATGTGTTTACGGGCCTTTTGGGTTGCTAGCATTGGTCAGCAATGATTTATCCGAACAAACCGCAATCTTCTTCAAAATTATTCGTCGCGGAAACGGACATTCGGTTATAATGGGCAGCGATGAGAAGAAGTAAGACTTCAATTTCAATAAATATAAATCAAGAAACTAATTAAATGTTTCTTTCTCTTGTGTAAAGCTGACGTTTTATTTTAACTAATGGTAATGTAGGTCTTCGCTGAGAGACAACGTACAAAAATTTACGCATGGAACAGACCTAGACATTGATCCAAGACATGAGAAGATCTCATTAAGATGCTTGGTGAGTTGGATTTGGCCTTTTTTGGCTATGTAATTTGTTTTATTTTCACCCTACTTATCTATTTATCTAAAATAATTAAATCCTTGAATAACACCTTTTTTTTTTCTTTTTTCTTTTTTGGTTTGATAGATCGATCACTCGATTATAGAGAGCTACGGAGCAGGAGGAAGAAATGTGATAACCTCTAGAGTTTATCCTAGATTGGCGATTAATGAAGCAGCTAAGCTTTATGTGTTCAATGGTGGAACAAATGGTGTAACCATGTCGTCTCTGGATGCTTGGAGCATGAGAAATGCTGATATCAATACCAACGCAATTTAGTTAAAGATTTTTTTTTGTTAAAGATATTTAGTTAAAGATTTTATGCGTCCGTCTTTTGTATTCAAGTTATTGGTGTGCTTATTACTTTATTATCATTCCCTTGTGTTAAATCATTGTAAGTCTTCTCATGTTTCAGAATGATATTTCTCTAATTAATTTGCACGAATTATTTTCTTCAAGATACATATGAACATCATGTTTAGAAGCATATTTTATTTTTTCTCTTCTTCTACCATCATTTTTGTGTGTAAACAATAGGACTACGTGCCATAAGTCCCAAGGTGTATAGCATCATATAATTATCCTACATGGACAAAGTTTTTTTTTATAAAGTCGATAGAACTAGATTAAAATTTAATAAGCTAATAAAAGAAAAAAAATCGAATTTAAAATTTAAAGTATCAGATTTTAAAATACCAATATCCGTTCATTCAAAAATCTACGTATAATATTGCTTATATTCAAATATGTCGCTCGCGCCAGGAACCGAACATATCCTACACAACTAAAATTTTGATAATAAATCAAACCCAACTAAGGGGTAATTAGGGGGTAAAATGGTTGTGTAAAATTTTTAACCGTAGATAATTTAGTCACAGCCACAGTCGTTCCGCTCTTAATCTCGAACGCTGTACTCTCATTGGTGTTTTCAATGACTTAAGGCTTAAGCCTGTATTTAAAAAAGGCGCTGTCTCATTCTTTTAATATAAATTTCGAATGCTTGTATGATTGAAGGGAGACTTTTTAATACATAAACAAAGACCATCGACCAAGTTGATTAAAAATAATACTAACCCGGCCTGCTGAAGTTTCCTCAATAATAAAAAGGGAACCGTAATAGAAATGACAATTAATGAATAATCGAAAGACTGACCTTAACATTGTTACAAAGACCAATGACTAAAAAGTCTAATAATCTTAATAAATTAAACATACATAATTAACCATTATCTTGAGAGTTTCTTCCACGATACTTCGAGCTTAAGACAAAATAAGAAGACGTTGTCAATGTCAACGCTAATGGCATTATAAGTAAGATGAAGTTTCATGGCGACTCTACAATCATTTTCTTGGCAAGATCTCAATATATATTACTTATAAATAGCCCACACATATTTTACAAAAGACATTACTTTCACAAACCCCCAGAATCAGTTCCCGTTACGGAGTAAGATCCTCAATGGCTGACCATGGAAACTTCCAGAATCTTCTTCAAAACGACGTGCTTAATCGAACTTCCTTCCATTTCCAACCTCAGAGAAATTGGATCAACGGTTCTATTTCTTTCTTTTTCCTCTTATTTGTATTCATCAATCATATTGGTAAAGATCTCTAGTACTGTTAGTTCATAAACCAATCCACGGCTAATTTATACTTAATACAATTGATCATTGAATATGGGTCTTATTATTTTTCTACAATACGATGTGCATTACGTTCAAATGAGAAACTATTAGTTTCGATAGCTATTTGTGAAGTAACAATTTTGATAATCTTTCGGAATGTTTTGTAACAGCAAAAATAGTTACTATGGTTAGATATAGGTTTGACATCATGGTTATTAATTGTAAACCAAATACATAAACAAATTAAATAATATATATACTTCATTTGAAACTTTCATATCTGATATGTAGTTGTTTTTTTTGGAACATGAAGCTTAAAATTTTGAATTCTTAAACATAACTAGTGGATCGATACCCATTTTATTGTTGTTGTTAAAACTAGTTCACATTTTAGTCATTATTATCTATAATTAACCGTCATCTTATGTTTATGCCACTTCTGGTACTTGGATGCATCTTGGAAACTCTGAAGATCCAAACGGTAAATAGTAACCCTACAAACTCTTAACTTGTGATTCAAGGAATCCCCTAAAAGTTTGAACATGATGAAATATTTATGTTGTAAATGTTTTTTTCCAGCGCCAATGTATTACAAAGGATTCTACCATATGTTCTACCAGCACAACCCTTTGGCTCCCGTATTCAGTGACATAATGATATGGGGACACTCTGTTTCACAAGATATGGTCAACTGGATCCAACTCGAACCAGCCCTTTTCCCTACTGAGTCCTTTGACAGAAACAGCTGCTGGTCAGGATCCGCCACGATCCTTCCTGATGGCAAACCCGTAATTCTGTACACCGGACTCGATGAGCCCAACAGGCATCAGGTTACAGTTCTCGCCGAACCTAAGGATGTTTCCGACCCTTTGCTTCGTGAGTGGGTGAAGCCAAAGAACAACCCTGTGATGGTTCCGCCGAATGACGTCCCTTTCGACTGCTTCCGTGACCCTACGACCGGGTGGCAAGGGCAAGATGGGAAATGGAGAGTTCTCGTAGGAGCTAAGGAAAGAGATTCCGAAAGAGGAATGGCGATTTTATACCACAGTGATGATTTTGTCGAATGGATAAGGCATCCGGTTCCTTTACTTGCGTCACAAATCACCGGAATGTGGGAGTGCCCTGATTTTTTCCCGGTTTCACTAACGGGTAAAGAAGGTGTAGAGAATTCGGTGAACAACGCTAGTGTGAAGCATGTCTTGAAATCGAGTTTTGGAGGCCATGATTGCTATGTTATTGGTACTTACTCTTCCGAGACTGAAGACTTTTCCGCGGATTCAGAGTTCACCAACACAAGTGCGGATTTGAGATATGATCATGGAACGTTTTACGCCTCGAAGGCCTTCTTCGATAGCGTTAAGAGTCGGAGGATCAACTGGGGATGGGTCATAGAGACTGATAGCGTGGAAGATGATATTCAGAAAGGATGGGCCGGCCTTCTGGTAAATATATAGATATTATAAAGTTTATAGATTTAAAAGTAGTCAAGAAAATTTGATGAATTGGATTGTTTTTGGGTTTAGTCTCTTCCCAGGGAAATGTGGCTGGACACAAGTGGAAAGAGGCTGATTCAATGGCCAATCGAAGAAATCAACAATCTCCGGACCAGACATGTTACCTTTGATAGAAGGCACCTCGAAAGCCGATCGAATTTTGAAATCACAGGCATTACTGCTGCACAAGTGAGTTTTGGCATATATTATTGGTTAATTTGTCTATTTTATTTTATTTCTGGCATTTATGTAGAATTTGAAAATATTTATAAAGTTATAAACTAAATACTGTATGTGACATATATTATTTTGATTTTTTTTTTTTTTTGACTACTTCTTATATTTCTCTTGTTGTTGTGAAAGGCCGACGTAGAAGTGACTTTTGATCTGCCTATTCTGGAAGAAAATCCCCAAATACTTGATTCTGACCATGTCGATGATGCGCTTTTGTTCGACCGTGACAGCTCGGTCCGATGCGTTTATGGGCCTTTTGGGCTGCTTGCATTGGCTACCGGTGATTTATCGGAACAAACCGCAATCTTTTTCAAAATTATTCGTCGTGGAAACGGATATTCGGTTATAATGGGAAGCGATGAGAAGAAGTAAGATTTCGACTATAATCTAAAACAAGAAACCCACTGTTTTTTTTTCTTATCTTCGGTAAATCTGACGTTTCATTTTAACAAATGGAAATGAAGGTCTTCGTTGAGAGACAACGTAAAGAAATCTAGCCATGGAACAATCTTAGACATTGATCCAAGACATGAGAAGATCTCATTAAGATGTTTGGTGAGTTGAATTCAGCCTTTTTAGAATGTCACTTTTCTTTTATTTTCGCTCTTATCTTAAGCAGTTTATTAACCCTTGAATAACACCTTTTTTTTTTCCTAGATCGATCACTCGATTATAGAGAGCTATGGAGCCGGAGGAAGAAATGTGATAACGTCTAGGGTTTATCCCAGATTGGCAATTAATGAAGCAGCTAAGCTTTACGTGTTCAATGATGGGACAAACGGTGTGACCATGTCGTCTCTGGAAGCTTGGAGCATGAGAAATGCCGAAATCAATTCAAACGCAATTTAATTAATTAATCCATTAATAATGGTAACTTGAATCATCTTTGGACTGCCCTAAAGATGTTTCGTGTCCTTTCTTGGACTGCCGTATTGTTTTAAGATTTATCCGTCTTTTGTATTCAAGTTATTGGTGTGTGTGTTTTTGTTATCATTTCCTTGGGTAAACTAGTCTTATCATGTTTTCAGAATGATATTTCTAAATTGAATTTGCATGAGTTTTTATTTTCTGAGTTTTTGGTACACAGTTACCCGGGCCCACCACGTATCACACTATCATAGAGTAAAATAGTCTATCTATAAAGATTATCAACTAAACAAAGGAAAGTTTTGATAAATACTCTAAAATTTTTAGAAATGGATTTTCGGATTCTTTTTTTCTTCATATGGACTTTAATCAGTGTCCCTTCGTATATAATTGTGGTGGAGATGTCTAAGTTTTTTTTCTCTAAAAAAAAGAGATATTTCCCCCGTTTCAGAAAATATGATGTTTTAGCTTGTTTACATAAATTAAAAAAGAATTACTTTTTAGTTATTAGTGCATTACTTTTTTCAATCATTACTTATTAACCAATAGTGATTTAAAAATTTGAATAATTTTAGTTACTTTTTTTAAAATCTACAAAAATATGTATTTAATACTTTAAAACATCAATCTTAATGGAACAAGTAAAAAATTTAAAACATCATACATTTAAGAACGGAGGGAGTAATTTGCAGACATTAATAATACACTTGTCTTTTCTGTATCCTTTAAACTGTGGCCATTGTAACTCACGTTCACTTATGTTGCCTTTAATCATTTCGCTTCTTTCGGTATCTCACTTTCTAATATTGTCGTTATCTATATAATGTTTGTGCATTACATCATTCAACCCTCATTAGTTATTGCTACTCTGCTTTTTCAATAATTAAACACATCAAACTAAATCATGGGGTATTCAAGTTGATGATACCTTTATTTTATTGTTCTTCCTATATGCATACTTTGAAGATGGTGATATGCCGCTGCTGCCGATAGAGCAACACAACTGCAACGATCGCATTTCCAAAAATACATAACACGACTGCATAATTATTTCCATTTTATACAACTATATTATTGTGTATGCTTAAGTGAAAGAAAAAAAAGAGAAAGAATACATACATGATAATAAACTCCAAAAAATTGTCGAGGTTTCATAAGAAAATAACTTTTTCCCCTAAAGGCTTACCAAGCCCCACCACTGAGGAGCTCCCAAACTGTGTGACTATATAATTTATGTGCGTGTGGGTAGCTAAAATCTAGGGGTAGATTTCTTCTTTTTGGTAGAGTATGTGAAATATGTTGTTCAACATAAAAGAAAAATGTTATTTGCAATATAGTATGATATACTTAACTAAATATTAACAAAGGTTATGTTTTGTCAACATTAAGAAGGGTCATTATTAGATCAATTTAAACCCCAAGCTAAAAATTAGCGCATAATCATCTTCGTAATGAAAAAATCTTCTCGTATGGGTGAATCATGTTACTGGACGAGACAATTCGAGTGCGGATTAACTTCTCTATGAAATATGCGAGTATAGTAGCTGACTAGTTGAGAGAGATAATTGTTAAGTTTCATGAATTTTATTTACAAATAGTTAATGAAATTACCAATAAATATGTGTAAGTTGTAAATCCTTCAGTCAAAAACATAAAATAATAGAGGTCGTCTCATGTATTGAAGAATCCGACGGCAGTGATTGTGCAATAATTGCAGTGACACCTACTTTTAGAGTCTGAAGATTCTTGGGGCAAAATCTCTTACGTTACATAAAAAAAAATAAGAAAAAATAAATCCATATTCTACAATACCTAAATTGTCCGGGAAAAGATAGTAGTCAGATTCCATGGTAATCAACGGATTCTGTATACATATAATAATATATAGATATTCATAACTTCGAGGTCATAATTTAATAAAGACCGGTCATCGATGACCCATGTACTAATTAATGACTCCTTTTCAGATTGCTTCCCCCAAATTAACCAAGAAAAATGGCCAATTCAGTACTTTTATCTCATTTACTTAATGATCGCTCAATATTTAAAACCTTTTTAATAAATAAAACTACTCACTCCGTTCTAAAAAATATGATGTTTTGGTTATCAATATATTATTTTTAACAATGATTACTTTTTAATAATTGTTAACCAATAAAAATTTAAGAATTTAAATTATTTAAGTTACTTTTCTTGAAATCTATAAAAAAATACATTTAATACTTTCATCATATTTTGTGAAATAAAGAAAAAAACTAAAACATCATCAACACTACCACTCAATACGGTAGTTAGAGTAGATAATAATATAAAAAATATATAATTTATGATGGAATAAATTATACACGTAATAATATAAAACCTAAACAACAGTAACCAAACTGGTGAAAGATGAAGTAGACAAAGGAAAAAATAAGACATTTTTGTGTTTCAGAAACAGATAGACTAGATCAGGAAATTTACAATGGTTTTCTTACAAGATTTTCTTTGAATAATAGTTATAAATTAAAAGAGGCTAGACAGAGAAAAATAGAAAATTGCAATTATGCCCATAAGGCTCCAACCTCAACGAGCCTAGGGATAAGATGACCACTAAGGTGAAGTGCGACAAGAGACTCGAACCCACCGACACAAGCTCCACCTATGAAGAGCACTGGAGCGGTTTGAACGGCGAGGCAGGCGATTTCTCCGTCGTCGATCTCGATCACAGTTGGGTGGACTCCAACGGTCGATAGAAGCTGCTTCATGACGTGGCACATGCAGCAGGAGGAAGATTTAGTGAATATGATGACTGGATGCTCCGATGTCAACCGTTCGATCTTCGACTCCGGCGTCTCCTCTTCATCAAATGATAGGCTCGTCGAGGCGGCCGAGGAGACCGGTGGTGATGGTGGAGGAGGAATCGTCAGGTCTAACGAAACGGCGTCGTTTGAACAGTTCCGTGAACCTCGCATCGTCTTCATTAGAGAGAGAGACAGAGAGGGACAGAGATAGAGAGAGAGTGGGAGTTTGGTTGATGTCAACGCGAAATGAGAACGACCATAAATGGAGAAATTGGATGTCACTGTAGTGACGTAACCATTAGGTAATTATTTATTTTATAATATTTTTTTGGTCACTCTTATTTTCTTGAGGTCAGCTTGGTCGCTTCTAAATTTGAAACTAAACTCTATGAAGCAAAGTTGAAAACAACTTATAGCTCCTAAGAGTGGACATTAGTTTTTTTTAGATGTTCGAATTTATTTAAAGCATTCCAAAAGAGAAGAAAAAAAAAATGAAAAACTGTATTGAGCTGAGCTAACAAGATTTTTTTACAAGTTTGTTAGTAAATACTAAAATATTGCAACTGCAAGCTTTCTAAAATAATACAGTCAAAGCAAGATTTTATATGTCTGATATTAAAATTCACATATATAATTTGATTACGACAACATATGTAAACATGTATATATGTATACTATGTAATATTGTATATAAGTTTTTTAACAAAAAAATAGTCTATAAGTAAGTTGATATAAAAGGACTAGAAGCCAAAAACGTGTTATTTTGAGTTTCCATGAAATCTGGCGTACGTGGTGGACGAGAGATTCGAAATATTTGTTGTATATAGCTTGGTATATACGCTATACGGCAGCATCATCGTCAGTCCTACGACTTCTTGCTGTTTATTGTTTTAATCCCATGACGTAAAATTTTTTTTTTATCATATGCTAATAAGGACAAAACACAGAAATTGAATATGATTCTCTGCTGGGAACAAAAAGTGGTTATTATATTTTTCTTATTCAAAATTTGGTTGGCTTGGCACGTTGTGCGAACGAGTTTATATGACCATTTCCATGTTTAATATTATCATTTGAATAATTGTTTGAACACAAACAAAAACTATTCGGTCGATAAACAAATTTAGCTGCCACCGATTAAGATTTCATTAATTGATGAGAACAATAATCAAGTCATTTGGCTACATGGCCATGATAAATTGATAACTGATGTATTTAGAAAACTAATGATGATTGGGTTTTTGGACGATTTGTCATTGTTAGTATGTGCATTTTTTCCCCATAATATGTTACATATATTTATTTATGAACTAAATGTTTGGACTTAATTTTATGTGATAATTTAAAGATATGTGTGATGCTTCAACGTTATGAAATGCATACTTATATATAACAAAATAGCATATTATAAATTACTTGTATTTATGCTATACATGCGATCATTTGAAGCTTTATCTGAAAAAATAGACGTACTGTATATATAAAATATATTTATATATAATGACAACAAACTATCAGCTCTATATATAATAGGTAACATATGAAAAAAGAATTGAAAAACCAATTTAGGCAGAAATTGAGACTGTTGAAAAAAAAAACAAAAAAAAATTAGACAGCACTATTTGATGACAATCGCATCATTGCTGTTTGCTAATTTTCGTTCGATTTTTTACCTAAAATTTACTCTGATATCAATACCTTACAAATTACAAGTACGTCAGCCCAACAGGCAACACCTATAATTTACCCGCATTTAATACAACAATAAAAGTCACATATGTCTTTGTCTACCTTACATGAAATGAAATACCGAATACGTATTTACGGTTGACAAAAATAGTTTATTAGTGTTGTTTACACTATGTTATCACACATTCAGTAGTATCAATTTTTCTCTCAATCATAATTTTTTCTATAAAAAATATAGGTTTGAGTATATGATAACAATTAGTTATTGGGTATTGTATGTAAGTGTGAAAATCGCATGTTGAGTGGGGACATAAATGGAGCGTGAAGCACACGTAGAGGAGGAAAAGTACGAATGAGAGAGTGGAAGAAGTAAAGGAGAAGGAAGTGGTCACATGGACATATATGATAAATAAATGATGCTGACGTCTTTTATTTGTTTTAACTCTGGGTAAACTGGAGCCACTTGACGTCATCAGAATCAGATCATCAGACCATGTCTCTGCTAACGTCGACAACGGTATCTTACCAAAATTTATTTATATATGATATTTATATAAATGACGATTGATGATCATCATACGTATAAACGTATCATAATTTATACGTATAAACGATTGGTGATATAATTTACGCACATATATATATATATATCGCAATTACTGAGAACCCAAAGGTGATTTACCTATGATATTTTATTTTACCGACTGATTTATAACGGTTATTATAATAAATTTTTTTGTTTGTTAAACAAGCTTAAGTTCAAAAAAAGAAATATTATCCCAAGTTCCGGCCATCTACTTAATCAGGGTGTTTTACACACACACATATATATACATATATGAGTTATTTTACTTTTAAAGATTTTACATTACAAGTTTACCATTCAATTGTATCTCAAGTTAAAATTCAGTTGGTGCACTTGATCTACAAACCCTTTAAGTGCATCCGGTGTCAGTCAAACTCATTAAAATCATGCAAGATTTGACAGTGAAATTGACGATTATGTTTAAACAAAAGGATTTAGTGATTATAAACGAAAGCAGATATAAAAACTCTTAAATTTTGGAGCTGTCTTTTTTCTTTTGGACGTCGGTAGCTATCTCTATTGTGACGACCGTTAATTGAGTATATAAAATAAATCCATTGCAGTTTCTTTACAAACTCAAAACAATTTTAATATAGTCAAAACGTTATTATTGGTGCGACTTTAACGAGGTTTGACATAAGTGACTAATTGCAATTGGCAATGAACAAATAAGATTATTCCCAAAGGATTTGAACCAACCAAATATGAATCTTAATATTCTATATTTTCAATGATGACTCATTGTAGTGGAAGATGCGCTAGTCAGATATTCTTTTTATATATATTTTTAGAGTTTTTAGAATTATATTTTAAAGAAAAATATAAAAAATCCTCAAAGTATCTATTTCATTCAAGAGTAATAATCTCAATCAAGAGTGATTTTGCTATTTGCATGCATTTTTATAACAAAAAGATTGCACATGAAGTAGCAGGTTTAAGGAAAAAGATAGAGACCAAGGCTTTAAACTTTTTCGTAAGACTAGACTTTATCTTGAAATTTGTAGTTAATTGTGTATATATATTAAATATTTCTATGTAAATAACTAAATGTACATGTTGTTCTTTTTTTTTCATCTGAAATTAACATGTTGTTCTCTATCGTTCTTTTCCCGATTTTTTTTTTTTTGTTTAGTAAGAGTCAGACATACATTATATAATATACTGCTGGCTGCTGCTCAACTTAAATCCTCTCGATCAGCCGAAATTTCTTCACTATCCTCTTTTTTTTTCCTACAAATTCTTCGCTTTCCTCCTCTTTTTTTTTGACTAAAACTTTACTCCTTTTTCTTGCTACTATTTTTGCTAAAACTTCTCCACTTGCAATTTTTTTTTATTATTTTAAATATAACTTTTTCTAACATCTACGATGTAAACAACTAAATTATTCGAAATTCATAGTAAGAAAGACGCATTAATGGTTCGACAGATCCAGATCATGACATCATGAGCCGTTTGTCCCCGTAATATTATGTTTTTCAACGAGTAAAAAAAACTGTCAATTTCTGATTGCGTCACGTTGGTGTTCTTCTTTTTTATTTTTCTTCTATCGTCTGCGTCACGTTGGTGTTATAGTTGAATTATTATGTCCAAGCACTAATTATCATGTTTCTTTCTAAAATACCGACCAGTGTTTGATTTTTTTTTGTTTTTTTTTGCCATTCCAAATTCCCAATACATATAAATACTACATGGTGGAGTATGATCCACGGGGTATGAAGTCAGAAAACATGTAGGAGTAGGGTCCTAAGAAAAGAAAAGAAAAGGTATACCATTGACAGTTAACAGCTTGGAATACCAGATTTTCAAAATGTAATTTATACTAACCATGTTAAGAACTTTACATCGATTAATGTAACAAATTTAACTCTACGAAATTTGCCTTTGTTTTTACATTTTTACGTGCCTTTTTTGTGTGCAAATTACATTTTTACGTGCCTAATATTTAGTTTTCCATAGAAAACTCACAGTATTTCATAATATTAGTAATTTTGTAAATTATAAACATAAATAATAACATAAAACTATATGTATTTCCCCGTTTACACTTCAATATATATTTATATATTAAGAAAATTTAACATTTTACGTCCTTAATTAAAGTTTCAATTGAAAAATAATGATCAGATATACAGTAAACGAAAATACAAAAGTTGTTGTTTTAAATAATCAATTTAGGATAGACATGAACTATCCCAAATTCCCAATCAATCCAACGTTTTCAGTCGGACCGGTAGTTTGACCTAATTTGGTATGGTGTTTTGTAAGACAAATAGTAAGACATTAGACGATTTGAGTTTGCGTTTATTGACGCATGCAGACGTATAACTCTGTTTACTTAGGGTTTTTCTTTTTGAGTGTAGACACTAAGACACTGTAGAGGAATGAAGACTATAAAAATAACATTTTATAATACCTCTCTTTGGTTTAATTCAGATTTCGCAATTCCATTGTGTGACAACATTGACCATGAACAAGTTTATTTGGTGTAGAACTCGATTGTATCGCTTGACCGCTTCGTCACCACGCGGGCTAGACTTCTTCTTAGCCATTGGTGCCATCTTATATATATGTGTATCAATGTTTTCCTACCTGGACTATAAGCACATAAAATGAATCAAAACTCTACTATCTATATAGTATTTAATAGACTCACAATCTGACAGTTAAAACAGTACATTTATGCAATCAAACCTCGAGAAAAAGGAAAGCATTTCTTAACCAAAAATTGGGTTAAAACTTAAAACGGCATCACAAACTCCTAAACCTCTATTATTAGCTATGTTAAGGATGAAATAGAGAAATTAGAAAAAATTGTTTGAAGTTAAGCAAATACCAGAAGATTGAATTTTATAACCTAATCATGTCACCAGAAACTAATTGTAACCTCGATATTGTTAGCTACAGTAACTATGAGATAGAGAAAATTAGTAAAATTGTTTTAAATTAAGAAAACACCAAAAGAGTAGTTGAGTTTTTACAACCTAACAACATCCGAAGAAGAAGTTAAACAAGTCGTTTCAAAACATAGTTGATTATTTTTAGACGGAACGGTGTTATAAATACAAGACATTCATTTTTGTAAAGCATTTTTCACCGAAACGAAAAACCGTGAGACATTGACTGATCTCTCGGGGATTTTTTTTCCCGTTTTTTCTCCTCTGGAAGGAAAAAAATGGGCTCTCAAGTCTCATGGTGGCTATTTTCGGTGATGAGTGTTGTGTTGATTCTCAACGTTGTGGAAGGAGGAGCCAATGAAGAGACTAAGGTATATGCATCACGGTTTGTTACTTATATAATTACGTAAAATTGGAAACAGAAAATCAATCGGGTAAAGGAAATGATTAATGTGCATTACATATACATATATAGGTCCATGTAGTGTACCTTGGTGATGTAGAGCATAATGATCCGGAGCTCGTAACGGCCTCGCATCACAGAATGTTAGAATCCTTACTCGGAAGGTACCAACAAACCCATATATTTAGACACGTGTGCAACAAAAATGCCGTTAAACACCATTAAATAATGGGATTTATGGAAATATGGTTACAGCAAAAAAGATGCGAGTGAGTCCATCGTTCATAGTTATCGGCATGGGTTCTCCGGCTTTGCAGCCCATCTTACGGATTCTCAAGCGAAAAAACTCGCAGGTGCCTACATATAAAGATGCATATTATAAATATACAAAACGATTTATCTAAGAGGTTAGGTTAATGAACTTTTTGAGTCCTCATGTCTATGTATAGAGCATCCGGATGTACTTCAAGTGCAACCCAATACTTACTATGAGTTGCAAACAACAAGGACATTTGATTACTTGGGGCTTTCTCAAAGCCTACCAACAGGACTCTCTCATGATTCCAAGATGGGTGAGGATGTCATCATCGGTATCTTGGACTCAGGTACGTATTATAATACTAAAGGTATATAAGATAGTTTTAATTACACGACTAATATATATATGTGTGTGTGTACGCGTCCGTACGTAGGCGTGTGGCCAGAGTCCCCGTCGTTTAGCGGCAAAGGGTTGGGGCCGATTCCGAAACGGTGGAAAGGGAAGTGTGAGGACGGTGAACAGTTCGACTCGAAGAAGCATTGCAACAACAAGCTCATAGGAGCGAGATATTACATGGACAACGTCTTCAAGAGAAACAAAACGGACAGCGGAGTACAGACCGACGAATACATGTCTGCGAGGGAAAAAATGCCTCATGGGAGCCACGTGGCCTCTATAGCGGCGGGCGCCTTCGTCCCAAATGTGAGTGAATCCGGGTTTGGAGAAGGCACGGTGAGAGGTGGGGCACCTAATGCTCGTCTTGCGGTCTACAAAATATGTTGGGAAAGAACAGATGGAGAATGCGCGATCGCGGACATAATAAAGGCCATAGACGATGCCATAGCGGATGGGGTGGACGTGATCTCGATCTCAATAGGAAGGCCGATCCCTGTATATTCTGAAGTCGACGCCTATAATCACTTCGCGTTTGGAGCGTTCCACGCGGTCTCAAAGGGCATTACAGTGCTCAGTGCAGGCGGAAACTACGGACCTGAGATGTACTCGGTCCAGAACATAGCTCCATGGCTCATAACAGTGGCTGCCACCACCCTTGACCGGTCGTATCCCGCACCTTTGACACTAGGCAACAACGTGACCTTAATGGTACGTAAAACAACAAAACAAACAAAAACTAGTGTATGTATAAGTCAACTACTACATGCGCATGCATGTGACATCCTCATCTATTACCATATGTAGGGACGAACCCCATCTTTGGACAGGGAGATGCACGCGGAACTCATGTATGTAAGGAGCGCAAAGGAAATAACGAGCGCAGCACGTGGAAAAGTGTTGCTAGCTTTTGTAGTTAAAGATGGAGATAAAAGTAGTGATTATACGGATAAGATTTTTGAGTTTCAAGCGAAGGGTATAATCCTGGCCAACACAAGAAAGGATGTTATCTCAACTTCCGCAGGAGTGCTGCTAATGGAAATCGACTATGAACATGGGACTCAAATGTTGAAGTACATACAGTCCACCAGGTAATTAAAATGTATACATGACGTTGAATGTGATTTCTCTTATTATTTATTTGCAAATTGTTTAGTAGTTTAAAGAGACTCGCTTTAATTACAGCTCGCCGACCATAAAAGTAAGCCCTTCACTCAAAATCACTGGACAAGTTGTGGCTACAAAGGTTGCTCAGTTCTCAGGCAGAGGACCCAACTCCGTATCTCCATATGTTCTCAAGGTAACAACAACTTGTTTTGTCTTTCTAATATAATAAGATAAATACCCAATTCTAACTATATTCCTTTTCTTGTGTTTTCATCTAACACTAACATTAAATTTTGCAGCCCGATATTGCAGCGCCAGGTGTATCCATACTGGCAGCTACTACCCCAGAAGCAATGGGCGCCGATACTGGATATCAGGCTAACTCCGGAACTTCAATGGCAACACCTGTCGTCGCCGGCGTGGTTGCCCTTCTCAAAGCTGTGCATCCTGACTGGTCTCCTGCCGCTATTAAATCAGCTCTCATCACTACAGGTATAACTAGGTTACATGTATTATAATACTATTATCTTGCATATCAAGTTATATATTTGAGTTAAAGACGATGATGTATAGAGTGAGATATAATGAATGACTCCTTCTTGGTTGGTTTAGCTTCCAAGACGGATCCCTACGGAGAACCAATCTTCGCAGAAGGGTTATCACGGAAAGTGGCTGATCCATTTGACTTTGGGGGAGGGTTGGTGAACCCGAACAAAGCAGCAGACCCTGGTCTTGTCTACGACGCAGGCCGAGAAGACTACTTGCATTTTCTATGTGCTTCTGATTATGACGAGAAATCCATCACCAAGTTATCTAGAGGAAATTACAAATGTCCGAATCCAAGGCCATCACTGCTCGATTTCAACCAGCCTTCCATCACCCTTCCATACCAAAAGGAAGATGTCACTATCACTAGAACCGTCACCAACGTTGGACCCGTCGACTCCGTCTATAAACTCGTCGTTGAGCCTCCTTTGGGTGTCAAGATCTCCGTCACACCCAACACCTTGGTCTTCAACTCCGCTGTGAAGAAACTCAGCTTCCAGGTCACTGTCTCCACAACGCACAAAGCCAATTCTATTTACTATTTTGGGAGCTTGACTTGGACTGATGGCTCTCGCAACGTCACTATCCCATTATCTGTGAGGACACAGATGCTCCCGCAATTCGACTATTGAGTTTGTATTAACTGTTTCCAATATCATGTCATCGTCTTATTAACTCAAAACGTCGAGTGTAATATTGATATAAGTTTCGCGTTGAAAAACACATAACAACACAATTCATTGCCACGACTTATTTTCTTCTGTTTTTCAAAAAGAGTTAACATAAACTATAACGAAAAACCAAAATTTTTTGAAGCTATTTGTGCTCACAGACAGGAAACAAGGAGGCCATTTAGAAGTAAAACCAAGCGGATACACAGAGAGAGAAAGATGATCACATAGCTCTCATCTCGGTGCAATTGTGGCTCTGATTAAACAGTAGAATAGTATGATATAATAACGTGAAAATCACTTTAATTTTATAATGTAATATAAATCGTTAACAAAGAAAACTATAACGCCTTGCCAAGATTCAAGGGTGAGCAAAAGCAAATAGACTTATTACAAGCTTGCACAAGTGATTCTTGGATCGTCATATGTAATATGGAGGATAGATAGGTTCAATAGTGGTGCTTGGATCGTCATATGTAGTCTGATCTCTTCTCTGAAAGTCACTTTGGGGACTCTCTGCTAAATTGGAAAAATGATTCTCGGCTGAACAAAGGCAGATAAACTTATGACAAGATTCTATAAGTTTGTCCTTTGCAAAACAATGTTGTTCACATTCTAAACAAAAACCAATTTTAGATTGAGGAGGTCCAAAGGTTAACCGATCGGCAGATGCACCTATACAAAAACAATTCCGAACAATGTAATTAGTATATTATTTAAAACTGTAAAATATTATTCATATTTATTTCAAGTAACCTAGAATAAACTTACATGATGAAACAATAATCAGAGAAATGAAAAACAAAACTGTTTTCATTTGTTTTTTAAATTTTTAATACTTTTCAATATATTTTTTTGTGTCTCTGAGTTGGGATTGTGAAGTCATTAAAAATTAGACAATGTCCTATTTATATGGTTTTTTATTTAAGTTACACAAGAGTCAATGTTCTGATCAACGTTTTGGTTATAAATTTGAAGTTAGGAAACATATCATATTAATTAATTTTTTAATGTGAATTAAAGAATAGGAGTTACAGTACTTTTTTTTTAATCAATTAGTTATTTTATGGGAATATTTCCGGTGAAGTAACTCTTATTTTTTTCATGAGAATATTCCGCTGCAATATGAATATGATGCTCTCTGAAAAAAGGGAAAAAGGTATGTTGGTTACATATGGTTACCCCTCAAAATGTTTTTTGTCTATTTGTTCCTTTTTCCTTTCTTCTCAAATTAAAATAATTTTACTAAACTTTTTGATCTTTTAAGACTATGAAATGTACATTTATTATTACAATTCCTAAAAGTTCCATTTTATAAATTTACTTTAATAATTTTTTAAATGACGGGACCAAAAGAGAGTTTATTTGTCTATAACCTTACTTTGTTGTAATAATAGATGGGCTTACATGAGCATTTGAGTCTTAACAGATATTGGGATAGTGACCTTGTTAGAGAGGTCCGCCCAGATCAAGCTCCAAAAAAAGCAAATGGAGTTAGTTCTGTGAGTAATAGAGACTGTGACAGTGAAACTTACAGTTGCTTGACAAAGCGGTTAAAGATCAGTATATTAGGTGTGTAATGTTGATATTGACTCCAAGAGGAAGCACGACAGTGAATTAAAAAAAATCTATTAACAATGGTAAACTGAATAAATATTATTTTTAGTGGCATTTTTTTTTATCATTACTATTATCAGATTTTTTTATTATTTATTTATAATTATTTATTTTATAAGAATAATATTTTTAATAGTTATGTTTTAAATTTTACAAAATAAATTTAAAACTCAAATTCTTTTTAGATATATATATATAGTAAAAATGTTAATTAAACATTTTTCCTTATATTTTGTTTATTTTTACTTAGTTTTTGCTTTTGTTTTGCTTATTTTTTACTTATTTTTGTGGATTTATACTATTTTTTTTAACTAAGTGCAATGTAACATATATATAAAATATTCATCAAAAATAGTAATTATAGATAACAATAGGGGCACCCAACTCTGATCTATAAATAATAATGGGTACATTTAGGGATGGGCACAAAAACCATAACCGAAAAAACTAAACCATACCGAACCGAAAAAAGTGATATGGTTTGGTTATGGTTAAACCTAAAAATCTATTTGGCTATTATTTTTTTATAGTTTTGGTTTAGGTTTGGTTTGGTTAAAAACCGTCAAACCAAAAGGTTTTTTCGGTTTTTAAACTAAATTTTAAATAATTTATATTTTTCTAGTTTCTTAATTTAGTTTAGGTACATATTTTATCATTGAGCTTAGTTATCTTTATAATTTACTAACTTAACTCATAAATTTAAAATATCATATTTATAAAAAATATCTACATATAAATAATAAGTAAATCTTAATTTTTCAATAAAAAATAACATGATTAACTCATTTTTCTTCACATTCATGTCTTCTAATTCTAGTTCCAAGGTTACATGTATTAAATTTTAATCTAGATTTGTTTATTGTTTTATAATTATTTATTATGAAAGATTTGATAATTTATTTGTTTATCTGTTTTGAAATATGTTCTTATTGATGATTTTTTATGATTTTGATTCTATTTTTTGAACTTATTGTTTTATTTCACTCATATCTATTATTATTTTTTCCATTAGTTTGAATCAAAATTTTCCGTAAAAGTATAATTCCAAAAAAACCGAAACCAAACCATATTAAACCGAACCGTAAAAAACCAAACCATACCGAACTGAAATATATATGGCTTTTATATGGTTTGAATTTTCGTAAAACCGATAAACCATAAAACCGAAAAAACTAAACCGAAACCAAACCAAAAACCAAAGTGCCCACCCCCAACTACACTATAACCAAATAAGCTATTTTAGATTAATAATATAGTGTAAATTTTTAAATTTTTATATTATTACGGATGCATTTGCACCCACACTTTTACATGTAGTTTCGCCCCAGAATGCATATGATTACGTTTTATATTTATAGAACTACGTTAGTATGATTTGATCAAAATAAAAAGATATTAAGTTTTTACCTTGAGGACGTATAGAGATACCAAACTGGGTCATCTGCTTGAGAACACAGTAACCTTAATGGCTACAAGTGTCCCAGTGAGGGTGATTAAATGATTCTTTAATATACTAAACAGCATATGGCAAATAATAATAATATGAGAGATCAAATTAAACAGTGGTATAGATAAATAATACTTGTAGAACCTATGTACTTCAACATGGTAGTTCCATGTTCATAGTCAATATACATGATTATCGGTTCACCTACGGCTACTGTAATACCGTTTCATTATCTTTGCGGATTGGTCGGGTGTTAAAAGATCAGAACACCAATCATCAATAACCTGACCCCCACAATTTCCAACTCATTTGTGGAGAAAAATGAACACACATAGTAAAAAGAACTCTAACAATAAAAAGATGAAAACCTGTTTCTTAAGTTTTAAAAATAAAATGAATTAAATAAATGAAATATTGACACATCATTTTAAATTTTAAAAGGATGAGAATCCGTTTTTAAAATTTTTTCATTAAAGAGACGGTTTTTCTCTTTTTTCTTTCTTTAATTATTTTTTTTTTAATTTCTAGAATTTCTCTATAGACTGTTGGACATATCTAAGGTATTGGGTATATATATAAAGAGTCAACTAGAACAGATTTTTTTTTTAAAAAAACAATACATCCATTAATTAAATCTATTTTCTTCTTTTTTGGGGGAAAGAAGAAGATTCGAACATGTTATTAGTGCTGCTGATTTTGTTAGTTTATAAACTTAATTAGTTTCAAGGCTCAATTGAGTGGGACACTGGAACAGATAAGACAACCAATTTTGGGCAAGCCATGTTGGGAACATCATTTTTCAAATGTCTTGAAAAACCAATTCAAATATTAAAAGATTGATGTCTATTTCTATGTAACATCATCATCCAAATAGTTTATCTTGTTCTGACTGCAATAAATAATAATTGCAATACAAATGAATCATTCACGTTACTTTTATTTTAATAATCGTACAGAATTTCAATCGAATTTTAGATATCGTGAGCAAAAGATACGGCCATGTACGAAGAAAACAATAATAGAAAGAAAAAAAAAAGATAGCCTTCTAGGTGCGTGCATTTGCGTGCTTGCAATTGCAGTGATGTTTTAAATATTATTCCTCAACTAAAAGACCTATAGGGCTTATTAATTAGTCAGTATATTGGGGTGAACAAAGGCAAATAGAATTACTACATGCTTGCGGACGTTTGTTCTTTCTAAAACAATATCCTACACATTCAACACAAAAACTAATTTGATTTCGAGGAAATTCTAAATAGTCATTGTGGTCGTCATTTGTATTCTGATCTTTAACCTGAAAATCAGTTTGGGGACTCTCTGCCAAATTGGAAGAAGGATTTGTGGGTGAACAAAGGCAGATAAACTTATGACAATCTTGTAGACCTTTGTTCATTGTAACACAATGGTGTGCACAGTGTATACAAAACTCAAACGGATCTCGAGGTTCAATAGTTAACCCAGGATCATCAGATGCACCTACAAAAGAAATTAATTATCAAATAATGTAGCTAGTATATTATTAAATATATATAAAACATTATACATATCTATCCTAAGATAAACTTACACGACAAAACAATAATAAGAGAAATGAAAAATAAAACTGTTTTCATTTGTCGCTTTAAAATTTTAATATTTTCAAATATTTATTATCTATTACTGATTGCTTTGAGTTTCGGTTGCGAAGTCATTAAAATTAGATAGTGTCCTATTTATATGGTTTTATCTTTTTAAGTTACAAAAGAGTTAGTGTTCTGATTAACGTTTTGATTATAAATTTGAAGGTAAGAAACTATACCATATTCATTAGAATTTTAATGTAAAGGTAATAATTAGTGAATGGTTACTAATTAATACTATGTTACGTTTGGTAACAAAATGGTTGTTATAAGTTGAACAGCCATACTGTTATTCGCTAAATTTTACTACTTGCTTTGTTTAAAATATGTAAAAAATTAGATAATGAAAAAATGTCGACAAAAATGAAGAAGATCATCCAAAACAAAAAGATACATTATTGTATGTTTTTATTTTTAACTCAATGGTAATTTTTAAATTATTTATAAATTTATTAATACGGTACGTGTATAAACAACTGTATTAGCTATTGAACCTGGTCGATATAAGTAATTCACAGTACACAAATCCACTAATATAAAACCAAGAATAGATCGAAGGTAATTTATTGCTGTGACCATTAAATACCCTCTTTTGATTAGAGAACAAACAACAAAACCGTTAGTTAATGAATTGGAATAGTTTTATACAGAGCCGTGCCTTATGTGTAACCAAAAAGGCATTTGCCTCAGGTTTTAAGGTTTATAAAGTTTAAGTGAGTCATATTCTCTAAAATACTATGTATCAAAATGGTTTTATTGATTGAGTTTAACTAGAAAAATCTAAGTTCGATCCCTTTAAGGAACTTTTTATTTTGTTTTTTTTTAATTTATTTAAACTAATAAATATAATTCAGTGATTTTATTTTTTTTTATTAAATATCTACAATATATTTGTTATAATAATGCATATTTCATTTTAATCATTAGTTTAAAAAGAAGTAAATATAGAATATTAAAATAAAAAATAAATATAAACTATACTAGATTTATTATTAAAATTATAATTATTTTTTATTTTTATAAAAAAAATTGCCTTACCCTCATCTGAGCCTAGGCACGGCACTGGTTTTATAAAAAAATACAAAAGGCGACAGATAGGCGTTGGACGAGGGAAAGAGCTGTGGGAGTGGTTCATGTGGGCTGCCTCTGTTCACCATATCTACGCACAGATAAGTAATTTCATGTTTATAATTTTTTTTTAAATATAATAATAAGCTATTTCGTATACAATATACAAATAATTACATATGCATATGCATTTTAACCAAAAAACTTACATATACATTGCACCGTAGATGATTATGGGTTAAAAGATGAAAACGCAGCAGAAAATAACGAGACATTTTTAATCCGCCAAATATTTTTCCCGGTCTAGCGATTTTGTTTTTCTATAGTAATTATCACTAATCAGATAAAAAGTTTGTTTAGAGGAGAAACAAAATGGGTTCCACCTAAAACAAGTTTTTAGGACAATTTAATTAAAAAAATGAATAGCCAAAAAGTTCCAAATCTTAACCCCATTAATTAATTTTTCAACTAATTAAATTTATCGTAGCAATAATCCGCCACATAGTTTAATCGTATATTCTGTAAAAGAAGGGACATTTTAAATAGAGAGAGGCTCGCTACCGATTTTCCCAATCCGGATTTAGAGAGTCTCCTTTACTTTTCCTCGTTCGATATTTCAATCTTGTTTGCATCCGTTTATGATATCATCACACAAAGGTTTCGTCTTGTCACTTTATTTTTCCCCCTGGGTTTTTGCGTCTTCTTCCCTTTGGATTTTAACGACTTCAGGAAATACCTTAATTTTTTTTGTAGATTTTATCCATTAATGGAGGACAACCAGCGAAGCAGATTCAGCAAAATTTGTGTTTTTTGCGGAAGCCACTCTGGTCACAGAGAAGTGTTCAGCGATGCTGCCATCGAACTCGGCAATGAACTCGTTTGCTCTCTCTCTCTCTCGTCCCTTCTCTTCTTCTTATGATTGCGTATCGTTTGGTTTTATGATAAAAAAACATCAACTTTTCAAAACATCAGTGACAGAAATCATCTTTTCCGAAATAGAACGGAAAAAGCAGAGTTTTTTCTCGGTTTTTGAAACATTTCAGGTTACTTGTTCGTCGTTCATATGAGCCTCACACAATGGGTTTGTGATTTTCTTTGTGTTGTGTCTGTTAGAAATTTTACGGATACTGTAAGCTCTCGTGATATTTACCTTGTTGACTCTTTGAATCTAGGAATGTTGTCTTTTAAAAATCTGTGAACTTTCCTCAAGATTCTGAAGTGTAAATCAGGGGTCTGCCTCTGTTTTTCTGAATGTGTTATCTTCGTTTGTGTAATTGGATTTTGGATTTGTTGGAAATTGTAGGTGAAGAGGAAGATAGACTTGGTCTATGGAGGAGGAAGTGTTGGGTTGATGGGTCTTATATCCAGGAGAGTGCATGAAGGTGGTTTTAATGTACTCGGGTTAGTTTTAGAGTCTCCAAACAGCTTTTATGTAACTCTTACAATCTCCTTTCATTTACAAACTTCTCTCTAAGGGTTTTTGATTGGATTCTCTGTAACTGCAGGATCATTCCCAAAGCTTTGATGCCAGTTGAGGTATGTATCTTCTTCTAAAAGCTCATGTTCTTTCAGAAAGTAGCAAACTTGGCATCAAGAAGGGGAATAGGAATTATAGAGGTAAATTTGGGGAGTGTGTGGTTGACCTTTACCCCAATCTTATGACTTGGGTTTCATCAGATATCTGGTGAGACTGTTGGAGAAGTAAGAGTTGTTGCAGACATGCACGAACGAAAAGCTGCAATGGCACAAGAAGCTGAGGCCTTCATTGCACTCCCTGGTGAGTAAAAAGTCTTAAATACCGAATTGAAACCACATTTGCAAAGCTGAAAGTTTTCTTATTTCAGGAGGTTATGGAACTATGGAGGAGCTGCTGGAGATGATAACATGGTCACAACTTGGCATCCATAAGAAGACGGTATACTAACTTTACCTTTGATCGGTCGAGAAGAAGCAGAGACCATTGATTCCTATGTTGAATCGTTTGTGATCGTTTCTGCAGGTTGGTCTATTGAATGTTGATGGGTACTATAACAATTTGCTTGCTTTATTTGACACGGGGGTCGAAGAAGGTTTTATCAAACCAGGCGCACGTAATATTGTGGTTTCTGCCCCAACAGCCAAAGAGCTTATGGAGAAGATGGAGGTAATTACATAAACTTAGGAGCCTTCCCCTTTGTTCTTGTTCTGTGATTATGTCTTCACTTGTATCTTGTATAGATGAAGTGTTATCACTGAAAGACATTTAACAACATTGTTGGTTACTTTGTTCATATTCTTGGCAGGAATATACTCCTTCACACAAGCACGTTGCATCGCACGAAAGCTGGAAAGTTGAAGAACTTGCAGCTTACCCGGGACAAGAAAGCAAGCCGCAATAAGAATTGTTGTTGCCATATGCTGCTACTTCCATTTCAAGTTTAGTCTGATTTATTTGCAGGATTCCACAATGTGTATAAGAAACACTCAAATCTTGTTGCAATTCGAAACAGCATATTGGGTCCCCAATTTGAAAGTGTTGCTGATTATGTAGTTGAGTTTGGTTTTGTTTTGGGGTGTCAAAAAAAAAAAAAAAAAAAAAAGTCTCAACCTTTTGATTGGTAATGTTAAAATTTGGTTTGCCCCAAAGAAAGAAGAGAGGAATCTTTGTGATTGTGGGTGATGCAGAAAAGTCCCACAAGTGTGTCGTATCGTAGTGAATGTCCATTACAACAGGAGTGTGGTCCCTTGTTTGTTTGTTTCATTCGATGGCTTCAATAGAAAAGCACAAAAATGTGAATGATGATGTGTGACCAAGTTGGACATTGATGGGTTTCTTCTTTTTGCTAAGTGCCTTTCGTGGTGGGGAGTGATTGGATTTGTTTCCTTCTTTTCTTTCTTTCTTGTCTATCATTCTCTCTCCCTCTCTCTCTCTCTCTCTTCTACGTTGGATAATTTTGAACAAGTCGTTGACAAGTTTAAAGGTGATGATGATGACCTTCATGGTAATAACAAAGGTTTTACAAACGATTCGGTCAAAGTTTGATGTAAAATAAAAACTAAAAACATGAAATAATGATCTCTTGACCACTCATTAGGGACACTGATCAATGGTTTGTCTCTGTCACAAACAGTGTACGGTAAAAACATTAATATACAACTTCAAAATGTGCATAGGCTTTCATCATTTACAAGTGACACTTGAGTTTTCTGTCAACGGGGACACAAAAAGATAAAGAAAAGCTGAATTGGGGTGTGGGAATTGGGACCCACGTGGAGGGGATAAACAGGATGAAAAAAAAGTAGGAGATGGTAATAATATACTTCAAATAGTAAAATGTGAATGTGTCACTTCATTGTCAAACATATTTGTCTCCCATAGTTTTGATGTATGTCCTGATTTGGTACCAATATAGGTTAAGCCCCAACCTAATTTGATGTTTCTTCTCTTACATTATGCATCTCACTTGCTTCCATCTTTTGCCCCCCCCTAAAATTGGTTAACCGGTCTTTTTCACTTTCAGTAACCGACAACCTACTTGCACACCAATATATCTTTGAGTTTACTTTTCTCAAGATAGTAACTAATGTATGTATAAAAATCAAGAACATAAGTTTATGGAAGAAGAACAAAGATTCCAAAGCCATAACAAAAGATTTAGCAGTCTAGCTTAGCAAAAAGAAGAACAATTCATTGTATTGTGAGCGAATGGTCGTATATCCCAAATTCACAATTAAAAAAACATGTCAAGGGAACTCATATTACACATTTCAGAAGCCACCAAGTTAACTCATAATCTGATACCAAGCTCTGACTTTTAACTGTTCCCACAAACTGGAATATCAATGAAATGAACCAGGAAATCTGAAAATCTAACACCTTAGTCGAGAAAGAGGGTGTAAAATGCAATATTATGCTTTGGTGTTTCTGAAGCATTAGTCTTTCTCTTTTGACGGGGTTGATAAGAGATGGTGTAATGTTGCTGCTTGGATAACCGCACTTGGGTTTGTATCCTTTGGTACGTGAGAAGATGTCCGCCTTATGTTGAACCCTCTTTCTACACTCGTCTGTCTGGAACGCCTGAACGACCGTGGCAGATGTCTGATTAGTCGTGATGAAGTCACGAGTAACACAACACCTAGCATGATCAGTACCCTGCAAAAAATGTTTCAAGAGTCTTCTTCAATAATCCAAAAACTAGAGTTTCATCTCTAATGAGTTGACTAATACTAAGAAAATGGTGAGTAGAAAACTTTACCAGCCCAAAAGAAGTAAAAGCCGTCCTGATGGTGAAGTGGGCAATTTCTCACCCAGAGCAAACATTCCCGCGACCACTCCTGTTACAATTGATGCCACAGCAGCGCAAGTGGATACTACAATTGCTCTCCCGTGTTTTAGTCCCCGAGTCTGATAAAAGTAAGAAAGAAAAAGAAGATTAGAACCGTGATGACTTGCGTTACTTGAATAATCAATCTGTAAATAAACTACAGGTAGATAATTCATTGTGTTGTTATACATGACGGTGCATTTTACACGCATATGCAGATAAGACTATGAGGACGTAGAAAAGCCTAGCAAGGGAAGTACCTGGTAGAAGAATCCTGTTCCACTACAGCATATACTAATCGAGATGCACATGGGAATGAACATAGCAGAAAACCCCTGCTCCACGAATACAAAACCCATCTTTGATACTACAGATGCCATCCTGTGATCAAACGAGTTTTAAACTGTTGTCAGCTATGCAACAAGCTACGAATACAGTTCAAATTTAGTCTCTTTGCAAAAGTTTCTGCAGACACACCAGCACATTGGTCCTTATATGTTTCGAAACTCAACAGCACATGTTCATGTATATATAGGAGATGCTAGTAGGTAAATATCAGAACAACATGCTCTTTGATGTTTATGGGTAGCGAAAGATACCCAAATAGAATTCCAGATTCCAAGCCATATATAATTTCTTCCACCACTTCATATTCCACCTGCAAACCAAAATTAGGCTGAGTGCATTTGGTAGGAGTGATAAAAAGACAATAACATTAGACATCTTCCACGACTAATCTAAACAATTAGACAGTTAAGAGGATAATATACCAGCTCCTGCTCCCTGCGCTGGCGTTTAAAGATATGAAGCCACGCATTTAGTAGTACCTTATCACAAAAATTCAACACACAAGTTATCAGAAACACAGCCATTACTACTACACCAAATAAGTGACATTGTTTGATAAAGACGGAAACCCCCCCCCCCCCCCCCCCAATTGTTCTAATAGTCAGACTTAAAAATGATATATGCAGGTCAAGAAAAGGCCATCATCAGTCAACATATGATAAAAAAAAAAAAACATAATGCCAAAAGGGGAAGACTTTCTTATGGAATACCATGGATGAAAGGTACCTACAAACAAGATGGCAACAACAAGTGCTAGCCACAGCAACTGGAAGACAGATATCAATGATGCTTCTTGCTCCTCACCTCCAGCACCGACTCCTGTAGCGGAATGAATAAATCCTCAAATTATAATAGGTGATTTTCTCTAGAATCATAATATCTTTAAACAGCTTAAAAGTATGCAGAGGATGATATTGAACCCCGCTCAAAGTATCGGAAAATGGTTGATGTTACCTATGGTGCCAATGCCGGCGACGGTAATCCCAATCCAGTCAAATACATTCATCACTTCCTTCAAGTAAAAATGCGAAAAGACAGAAAGAATGGCAAGTCCACATCCCGAGACTGGCTGAACAACAGACACCTAAAAACAAGTTTCCGAAAAGTACAGAGTCACAATCAATCAGGTCTAAGGCTAATCAGCACATCCAATTACCACACTAGACACCTCAAAGGCAACTATCATGGCATCCGAATAAGAAGTTTGGGAATTTATACTTACAGGCGCGAGAGATAGTGCTCTCAGCATCAACAAAGCCCCAAAAATGTCCATAAGAAAACCTAACGCCCAAGGTTTGTTAACAGCATATGCCCTTATCACCTGAAGTTTTATAAATTGTGATAAAATGTGAGCTTCCCAAAGAAAATTGACCACCGGCTCTGACTCATCGCCATGATTAACATGATCAAACACAAGGAGCATCGAGTCTCCATTGTTATAACTAAGCAAACCAGAGTCGCAATAATTGAAGAAAGCGAAAGTTTTGACTCCAATCCAATTTCCTAATTCAACAAGTTTTTTCATCGAAATGGTTGTACCTAACACGAAATCGAATTCGAATTCTCAAATATATAAATCGCCAATCTCCCGAAAGCCTCTAAATGCAAGAGATCCATCCAATCAAACGGAAATAGCATGCAATCGAAATCGAAAGAAGGAAAACCCGAAGAATCAAGAGAGAGAGAGAGAGAGAGAGAGAGAGACCTTAAGCTTGAGGGAGAGAGGAGGGAGGATAATAGTGCCCTTCTTCTGCAGAACCTTGCCGATATTGTTACCGGCGGTGGCCGCAAGCGTCAGGCAAATCGACTCCCACATGATTCTCTCTCAAACGCCGACGAGAACGGAAAGGCTCCGACTCCGAAATTTATTAAAGGAAATGATTTTTTGCCAATGTCTTACGTTACTACAGGCCCATCAAAATAGTAATTTCTCTGTTTATAGCAATTGTGTATTCTAATATCGAATATGGCAACATTTAATCTTATGTGATCGACATTTATTGACTTTTTCTGAATATATATATATTTTTTTTGTTTTAGGTTGGTAAAAGCAATGGGCAAGACTGTTTATTGCTTAACCTCCATTGTTCCAAAAGCTAATTGTGTTTACATGTCCAGATTTTTTTTCTTTTTTTTTTCACATTCCTAAAATATGATAGAAGTATATCGTTTACGAACCTTAAAGGTAATTTAAATTAATTTCGTAAAATGTGTTTTGGTCATCTAATAATTCATTTCGTTGATTATTGGCGCAAAACTCCCTTGTATTGAAAAGTATAAATGCAACAAAGTAGTGATAATCGAAATATTTTGTGAAATGAGGAACAGTACGAGTCTGCCACAAGTTCATAATGTTCAAAGGACTAGTCAGTGGATACATAGACCTAATCTTAGTTTACAAGTGGATAATCTCAATGACAGATAAACGAATACAAACTTACAAGTTCAGACTCAAGATCAAAACCGAGAAAGTAAGCTTTTAAAAGACCAAGTTCGAGAGACGGGGCATGTCGAATCGATAACATCTAAACCGGTACCTAAGGATCCTTCAAACACGCAAAATTGATCGCTATTGTTGAATCAAAGCAGACCTTTTTGGATCATGGAGAGTTATGCAGATGGATGATCAATATAATGATGTGATCATAATTAAAAAAAAAACGCGAGTGAGAGAGATTGATTCATTACCAGCAAAACATAAAACAGAACCCAACCACATCAAAAACCTAAGGGTGGACAAGATTTTATATATATGGATCATGTTTTATGAACTTGGAGCAACAAGAGACCTTTCACAATCTACTCTGAACAATATCTTGGTAAACTAATTAATAATCTAACTATCTAAGACAAAAGACACAAAATAGCTGGGTGTAAGAGATTCATCGAAAGTTTTTACTTTGTGAAACTACTGATCATATATAATTTGTGGAGATGCAGCCATCACAGTTACATTCAAGATTACAACACACAGAGGTATATAAGAGATAAAGAGAGAGAGAACACAATCATCAAAATATCAAAAAAAAAAAAAAAAGAAAAAGAAAAACCAAAGCTTGAGAAGAGAAAAAGGGGGAACATTTAGTCACCACCAACCATAGACGACCTGTGTGTACCTCTGCTTAAGCCATCTGAAGCTTTTTCTAAAAGAGCCCTTGACTTTGCCTTCAACACTATACATCTTGTAACTCGCGACCCGTTTCTTCCTCTGGAGCTCCGGGTCCGTTATTCCCCACGATTTCGACCTCTCTATCGATTTCCCCTTTTTCACATCGTACATATTGTTATCCGTCGCCGTCGCGTACGATGCGCTGTAGCTCCTGAAATCGCCGCCTCCCGGACCGCCGTTGTAAGGCTGGATCTGCATCCCTCCGTCTCCGTACGGTCGTTGACGGCCGTAATCTTCCATTGAAGCCGGCGAGAGTTGGAGAGAATCTTCTTCTTTTTTTTTTTCTGTTACAGCTCAGAGAAGAATAATTGCAGAGACAAAGGAGGAGAATAATAGTAACGCAAAGCCGTGTCTTTTGAGCTGGTCTCAATTTTGACACTAGACGTTATATTCATTATTTAATTTTATTTTCTGTGCCTTTTTTTAATTAATATTGAAAATACAAACAAATATAGAGAAGAAAAAAGGAAAATGGTAAAATTAAACAGATATGGAAAGATTTAAACGGTACCGCCTTTGAAAATTTTAGCAGGAAGAAAGAAACAGAAGAAACTAAAACGAATTCTTAAATAGTAACTACATGTATAAAAAGGATTAAGGGGCTAATGGGAGTTTATATTCTGAATTAATTTCTCAGAAAATAATTGACCGTTGATGTGAGAATGGTTTTCATTTTGGTAGAATTGACCGTTGACCGTTGATGTGAGAATGGTCAATGGCAAGTGGTGTGTAAAAATGTTCAGTAATCCAAAAATTTTAAGTGGCGTGATGTGTGATGTTGCTATTCACATATTCGTGGGAACGTGACTACCAGCAAACATACAAGACCATATGACACCTTTAATCAATCGCTTAATTTTCCACGAGCTATCATTTTTCCACATCAAAAGTAGATTAATTTAAAAGTTTTAAAAGTCATCAGAAAGTAAGTTGATAGAAAATCAATCACTAATTTATAGTTTAAATACATAAAGTCCAAAAAAATAGTCATTACACAGGAAAATATAAAAAGAGATAGGGTTGAACCAGATATGCTAACATAACATTTTCGAATATGTTAGAAGAAGAAGAAAAATGACCAAGAAAACTTTACTTTAATTTCCCTACAAAAGGTACGTTATGAAATCTCTTGGGTTGAAAGCAAGTCCAACCATTTCCTCTTTGATCCACGCGGAAAAATCGAGGTTAATGCTTTTAAACACTTGCAGTTTCAGATCAGAAAAGAAGACAAATTAAACCAAACAATTGGATATTTTATCACACGAGGAAGAAGATCTAAAACGTTTGCACCTTTCAATGCTAACACATATTGTATTGAGACAATCCTCAACAACACTGGGATAAGTTTTCAGTCTCATATGTGTGTTTGATTCATATCTCGCATACACTCGAGCAATGTTCTCAACTCAAACCCCCCACCCCACACACACATGCACTCATGCTCATGCATAGTGAAACTAAGGGCAAATAAAATATAACATCTCGGGTCGGCAGTGAATCAAACAGCCTTTAGCAATTGTTTTTCAATATCCATTTTAGTGTGTTCACCACTCCTACAAGGATTTGTTCACCAAACCACACATGTCTAGAGTCTAAACCCTTTGTTTTCGTGTGCTCCAAACTTTCAGCAAATACCTGAACTGATGAACGATGAAAATAACAAAAGAGAAAGAAAAAAGAATCAGACTCATCCCATAAACATGAGAGACTTGAAGTCTAGATATTTAAAATTTACAAATTCGCAGTTTAGCACAAAAGTAAAAAAAAAGGTACATGATCCTGACTTTGTGCCGAAATTGTATACTCACGATTTGACACATATCATCACATATATCGTATGATCGTATACATCATGATTAGCATCATCATCATTTTTGTAATGATTATTTATCAAAACCTAATTTATTCCATCAAATAGTTAAATTTAACCCCCCCCCCCCTTGAATATAGATTTGTAATTTTTTTCAATTGAATTTAACTTTTAATTAAAGTGTAGCGGAGGGGGCGTTTCTTAGTCCTCATACTCATATGTATGCTTCAAATCTGAGCTCAAACCCACAGGCCTTAACGTTAACCGGGATAGGGATAGGGATAAGCCGTATAACGAGAATCAAATCTTAGGCGAATCGATTTTAAAATCTAGAAGAAGGGATAAATGATGAGATGACCAGCGTGGTTCTGATGTCCACTTGCGATGTGGGGTTTGGTCGGCAAATTCCTTCCGACCACGTGTCCTCTCAGGGGCTCTCCCACGCCGAAAGTGGAACAACAGTGTTTGTGTATCGGAGAAGCATCTTAATAGTAATTTTAAAAATAACGTTTGTGTTCTCTCTCTATTCTCTAAAATGATCAAAAATATGCTAACTATGTACATCTGTATCTCCTCCACACATTCATATATGTTAAAGCTTTAATTAACACTGTCATTTGTCAACATGATCATGCATTCTTCATCTCTAATACATATGTATATTGAACCATAGTACACAAATTTAATACATGTTTAATTTTTATCGTACACGAAACATCATTGATAAGTATCGTACTCTTGACTACATACATTTTGTTATTTGAGAAAGAATGAAAACACTAAATATATGATTCAGTGGTAAACACGGTAATCCATTTTGATTAAATAGATGGTCGTGGCACTACAATTACTTAGTTTATATACTTGTATTAGTTGAAGAATCTTTTTTCTTTCTTCTTTCTCTTATCTTCTTTTCCACTCAGTTCAGAGATCTCCATATATTTACCGTATTATTTTAGTCGAACTGTCTAAATGCATTTGATTTTCACTCTCTTTTCCCCCTTTTGTTGAGGCTTCAGCTTCAAGCAGCACCGAATCCACAATGGATCCAAATTAGAAGTCAAAGTGAATATGTCCCACAAAATTCGTTTCCCAGTTATCGTTTGATGATAGATACAAATTACATAGATTTGCCAATAATTTTCAAGTGGATTATAGACAATCAATTTTAGAGAGGATCGATAGTACATTGTAGTATATTATTATACAGATATATATATATATATATAATTTATCAACGCATTAATTCCTTACATATCTTATTTTACAGTTTCCAATTACTTGTAAAGTAGTGATACGCGTTTTGGCTTCAAAAATATTACATTTTCCCCTAAAAATCTTAACCATTATATATAATCTGATAAACGAAAAAGACTCGTTTTAAAAAAGCGCAACTCAGTTTTTGTCTTAAAACACGTAAATGTTTTCCACAGATAGAATTGCAAAACGTAAATTTCTTCCATCAAAAATTGTGACGTAAATTCTTACGTTTAGGGGGCATTATTAATTAGACTGTCATCCCCTTGAGTGCGATGAAGATCACAAGTGTATCGATAACCTAAGACAAACAAAAATCACAAGTCTATCCATAACCTAAAACAAACAAAATCACAAGTCTATCTAGTCTCTAGGTGACAAGCATGATGATATATAAATAAATAAACAAAACCAAGTATAGTTTATGGTGCTATTGTGTGTGTTTTGCCTAAAAAGGAAAGCTGCTAAGGAAGCACAAATGCATGCGCACTTCCATATTCGGAAATATTTAATTAGCTAGGATTTATTGTTTTATTTCTTTTAGTGGAATTTATTCTTCCTTTTTTATTTTTTTTCTGACAAATTGTATTATTCTTCCTCTATAATTAATTATCCTCCCGGATTGTACACACCAGTGCTGCAATGCACCATATGTCAAGAATCATCGTTACATATATAATTCGCATTATCAGCAGATCGATCTCATCTCACGGTGGATTCAAAAATATATTAAACAAAAAGTAAAATCGAGGGTATCAATTTTGTGCATAGGTAAAATAAGAAACTTCTTTTTTTTGCTCAACAGGTATTTGGATACACGGTCTACAACAGTGACGTTAATGCAAAAAAAAATATTAGGTTATATGTTTTCGTTGGAAATATTATTGTATATAATAACTATATTGTAATTAATATTTGATGGAGTAAAAGACGAATTTGATAGAGAAGGGCATATCGCATACAATTTTTAAAATGTTTTTTTATAAAAAGCATGCATGCTTTAAGATGCTTTAGCGCCGTATTGAATATTTTTTGCTGTGGCTGAACTTTTTCATGATGAGGCTCTGTTGATTTGTAATTGGTCGGTCAGTTTCTTTATTCCATTTAATTATATAAAAAACAAAAAGTCATATGCTTTCCTTCAAAAATTTGTAATTAATTAATTCATACATGTTTTAAAATAAGAATTAAACTTCCTCCGATGTGTTTTTTTTTTTGACAAATTTCATCCATATATATTATATTCCAAAGTTTTGGGACCATTATTATAAATGTGCGTTAATTACTTGATAGTTGATACGCTTATTCGCAGTAACATTTATCCATTTTGGGATAGTCCGTAACCGTTAGTGACTTGCCACCAAGAGCATATTTGTAATTTGTAATGTGTGTGTGTGTTAAAGCATATTACAATACATATGAATAAATATATCGTCCAGTTTATACTAATGAGTGATGAGATATAAATCGTGGATGCAAAATAAAAAGACTGATACTTTATAAAAAGAGAGTTTAACTTGTGTTTTTATTTGATTAGCAAAAGCAAAAGATGACTTCGAGAAAATCAAGTATAGTAAGTCGGCATCTTAATAGATAGATAGTAATTCACGTGGTTAAGAAACGGAACAATCTTTATCAAATAATTCATGAGAGAGATCTGAGTTTATCTCTCTCTCTCTCTCTTTTTCTGTATCCCACTCTCTCTCTCTCTTCCTTTGGCTATAAAAAGCCCCGACAGGTCTCAGTTTCTTCCCACATCCAAAGATAGAAAGATATAAGGTCTAGAGTCTTGTTCTTAATTCCCTAATCGAACAATGATATATACATATATAATATATATATATATATGCATATAAACATAGCTAGATTTATGGGTTGAAATCGTGCGTTTTGGACTAGCTAAGGTTTTAGAGTTTGGTCTCATGCGCAGAGCATCGAAGGTAAGAGGAGGTGACAGAAGAGAGTGAGCACACATGGTGGCTTTCTTGCATGCTTTTTTCAGTTAGGGTTTCATGCTTGAAGCTATGTGTGCTTACTCTCTCTCTGTCACCCCTTCTCTCTCTCTCTCTCTCTCTCTCTCTCTCTCTCTCTCTCTCTCTCTCTCTCTCTCTCTCTCTCTCTCTCTCTCAATTATAGCTGGTAAACGATCTTCTTTTGGTTTGATTATCTTCAAGATTTTAGCTATATTATCATCAAACGGATCAAAGAAGTTTGAGATATTCCTTTGGAGGAGGCGGAGTCCTGCTCCCAAGCTTGAACTTTGTCGGTAAGGATGATTTACGTCTTAATAACATTATCGAAAACTGGTTCTGGACGAAAAAAGACTATATGGGTAAAAAAACCGAAACTTTCTTGTTAACACAAAACAATCGTTTGCAAGTGTGGTTTTAATTGTTGAGCTAATATTTATTATCACAATCTACCGTATGCTGATCAGATTTGTTTGTTCCCAAAACTATGTGTGATAAAAAGCAAATTATTATGTTCCTACTTTTTTTTGGTATTACTGGAGCGCTCGTACTTGTTTGAATATATGCAGGTTTCAAGAAACAATAGAATTTCGGAGACAAGACAAGCGGACGGAGATCTGGACAGAGGCGCAAAAATATCAATTTGTACTTCATTTCTCACAAGAAACATAAAAATAGAGACTTTGAATTAGCCAAGTGGTTTGGAAATATAGTAGCTTTATGTTAACGTCATCTATATGACTTTGTGATAGTCATGATGTCTTTCCCCTAAATGTTTCGCAAAAAAAATACAAGATTGTTTATAAGGTTAATGTCCACTAGTTTATGTTCCTTCGTTGTTGGTTCATATGTATAAATGATCATTTTCAAACAATTGTATAGCTAATTTTTCTACAATGCGACTAGATATTTTCCATGTTATGGGCGAACATAAATGTGAAAGTAAATAGTTATGTGGTAAATCTTTTCAAAAAAGAATGAATTGCATGTGATTACCATTATACAAAATAAAAACAATCGAAGAGCTTCGTAAAATTTGTTATTAGCTTGTTAAAAAATTGTATAGGTTTGCAAAAAAAAAAAAAAAAAAATACTAGTTTTAAAACATATTCTTTTTTTGAACGATTGTTAATTTAGAATAAAAAAATAACTCAGACAAAAAAAATTATAACGATGTGATAATGTGTAAATGTAGTATAGTCTATATAGTCTTAAAAGTGTGTAAGCTCTTTTAAATAAATGTAAGGGATATCTGAAATGGTAATTCTTACATATACGTTATGTAGCTGTTTTCTTTGAAGTATCCAAATTGTGTTATTGGAAATGGTAAACACTAGAAAATTCATTATGAAGACATTGAAGAGCACTTAGAAAATTACTATGTAGCCATGTAGGGGTACAAAGTGGAAGTGTGACTGTGTGATAAAAATCATAAAATATCTCTACATTTGATGAGGAATGCTTAAATATTCATATCTCAAAGTTGTTCAAATTGTTGCTATTTCATTTCTTCATCTTTAAAGCTCCTCTACAATCTTCAACCTCAAAACAGAAGCCGTTCTTCGATTCTGTTGAGATTTTTTTTTCTTAAGAAACAAATATAATAAGCGCAAAATATTATGTATGTGCTTATAACCAGAAATATTAAAACCAAAAACAATAATATTATATTTAAGCTTTGTGATTAGACGTCGAGAAATTTCATATTGGGTTGAAAACGTTGGAATGCTTGTGGTGGTCATAAGTATTATTAGATTATATTTTTTGATTATAGGCGGCTAAATAACTCCAATATTCCACGCAAACTTGTACGAAAGCAAAAGACTGAAATCGATGGGTGTGTGTCACGGAAGTTCGATAGTAGATGAGGAAATGTCAAGAATGCCCCCAAAGTTATTCTTCGATTTTAACATCACAGAACATCTTTTTTACAAGGCACCAACAATTTGGATCAAGTCTCAAAAACATAGTCGGACTGTGGTAGTCCTATCAAATTTGTACTAAATAGATAATCTATCGTTTGTTCTTTGCTTAATTTCTTCTCTATAAGTTTAATTTTTTCATTGTTTTATAAGAAAAATGAAGAAAACCTCTCAAGACTCGTGGGGTGTTGTTGTCTCAGGAATCTGCAAGGGGATGGGACTGTTGTCTTCTTTCTCATTCGGATTCTCGACTTGTTTTTCCTCGACTTGGGAGGTTACACCGTTCTCTGATGCACTCTTTGTGTCAGTGCTGCTGGTCCTTGCTGGTTTGCTGGATGGTTCTGGAGAGGACGAAGCGGCTAAGATGCGACCTAAACCCTCGTATGCGCTCTTGGCATCCATTACGATACTGGCACCACCTGGATAACACCGGCCAAAGCATGTGGCGCAATGTGGAAAAACTACCTGTAAGATCAAACGACCAAAAACGAAAAATGGGCAAAATGTGAGTTTAGAGACATAACGCTACTGACTTTTTTACTTGTTGAATGAGATGAGACTTAAAAGTGTACCTCGACGAAAGCTCGGCAAAGTGAGAGGAAGAGATTGGATTCATTGAGTCGAAGCATCCGAGTTGTGTTGTATCTTAGCAAGGAGTCAGAGACAGCCTGAAGTCCTTTGATCAATTCATGAGCAATAACATTCTTCAGACTTAGTGGGGCACAAGGGCGTAGTTCGTTCAATGCAGCAGATACACCTGTGGACATGGCCGGGACACTCGTCATTGGTTATACCATTTATTATATTAGAAACCAGATACTGTATAATTGTCTCACCATTTATGAATACTGCAAGAGGCGGGTGCTCCATCAAATATGATGGAGGTGTGACGTCGTCTTTGCTATCGTCATTAATACCGCTTGATGGGAAGCCGACAGATGGTAATGGAACCCATCGATGTGAATCCAAAACTAACTGCAAGTAAAACATCACGAAGAATTTAACAGGGAGCAATTTAAGAGTACAACATGTGATTGATAGGAATAGGTTGTTTATGTCTGAGTTGAACTTTTGTATTTACCCACCTGAAAATTCTCAACTGCTGTGCTCATGTTCTTGGAGAATAAGTTTAGAACCGCCCTGTATAAAGTATGCGAGTTAGATACTGAACCTGTAAAGAAATAAGTAAAGATTCTGACAGAAACGGAGAAAAATAGAATAAGAAGAATTGTTACTCTTCAAAAAGAGGAGGAAGTAATCCCCGGAAGTCTAGCCCAACCCAACCAAGCCCCATAGCACAGTACTGTGTTGTCATGAGAAGAAGGTAAAATGTCAATCAGAGTTGCACAGAGTACTCAAAAGGGAATATATGAGATGCAGAAGAACTTAACCATGCACTGATCCAAAATATTTGACAGAGACCCTCCTTCAGTAATCTTTGGGAGCATAACTTTCAGAGTCTTCAGGTGCGATGTTATTTGATGCATGGCCCAGCTAAACAGAAGTCCACCATCATAATTTTCCTCACTCCCCGATGTATCATCAGCAAAAATAGCTCGATATTGATTAACCACATCAAATAGGTGCATTCTGTGACAGTTTATCATGCCTTTCAAATACTCATAAGCATTTTTCTGGTCTAGATCCTCAAGAATTCCAGTGAGCCATGCCTCACGGCATCTTAAGAACTGCACAGACAAGAAGATAACCATTCAGAAGTGAAGGCATAGCTTACAGAAATGAAGAACTCCATAGACAAAGGAATACTCCGGATCAATTCAAACGGTTAGATGTCAAAATAGATCACCTGCAATCGCATTTCATACTCGCCAAATACTCCTATTCGGCGTAGGTATCCAATAATCCGAAGACATTCTGGTAACTGAAATAGAGAGCAGCAACAAAATTGTGAGCCTCCTAGAGTGCTAAACCCAACCGTGGTTCACTGATTACAAATAAACTATATTCACATGAAAACCTGTATATTTGAGCGTAGTTTCTGAAGAAGCTGTGAGAGAAGTGACTGAGTTGTTTGTCTAACCTCCGCTGCAAGTGCTTGGATAACTGGCAATCTTGACATCGAGAGAAGATTTAGTCTTAAGAGTAAAGCTTGAAGTTTCAGGCCTTAAGTAGCCAAAGGAAAAAAAAACATAACCAAAAATACTCACTTGGGGTGCATGGTTGCAAGTTTAGATACAAATGCTTCCAGGTCAAGAGCTTCATCAAAATTTCCGTTTCTCACGCATCTGATAAAGATACAATTCATTATGAAGAGCACTTAGAAATTGCTTAACGTCGGGAATACAATTCGCTTTTCTCTCATAGAAGGCATGAGAAGCTATGGACGAGAAAACATATTTGAAAGTTTTTGGCACGAGGCCTAGTAGCTTACGTGTCCATAAGCTGAGGAATCTCAAGCAAATCAAGAAGAGTGCTGTGATTTGCCAGCAAAGCTTGGTTCATCTTCCTCTTCTCCAGGATATTCTCAGCAGAATCGATAAACTCTGTGCAACCAGACGTTAGTTTTGGGACTTCACCAATCTGCAAAAGGTGAAAGAAAAGTAATCCGACATCAAAATTTTGAAAGAAAAACTTTTTTTCCCAAGGATGCAACTGCTAAAGTCAAAGGATGCTTTATATAGATTTGCAAGAATCTATCTTGCTTTCTGTCAAGTTACATTCCAAATCAATGATCAAGTTTCGCATACGCTGAGTGTACATAACTAAAGGACCTGAAACAACATGGTTCTGCAACTCAACTTGATTACCAACGATTATCTAATTCCCTAACTCCACTTTAGACTATGGAATGCTTCAAACACGGTGTATTCCAACATTTACCACAAAATTCAGAGCAAATCGTAATTTAGTATTCAGAACTAAATGAAGCATTGCACCTTGAGAAACCAGTCAGAAAATAAACACGTGAAGGAGTAGAAATCGATTAGGTATGGAACCAAAAAAAGGTATAGTTTACCAGAGACTCGAGATGCTTATCAATGAAGGATACTTCCTGCCGGATCGCAAGCAAAGCATCTGCAGCGGTGATAAACGCGCGGTAATTTCCAACTGCCACCTCTTGCATTTGCCTCTGAATCCGCTCCGCATCCACTCGAAGCAGCTCCGGTTCCTTCAAATTCAATAACCGACAAGATTCGGAGATCCATTCGCGCATAGATGTCAAGGGAAGAGAAGGAGAGAGAGATAATAGACCTTGTGGAGACGATCAAGAGTGAAGGAGAGGAGCTCGGAAACGTACGGTTGCTGAGAGGCGGAAGCGAGAGAGAGCAGACTCGCCGTCGCCTCCGGCGGAGACATCTCTCCAACCTCCGTTGCCATTCCGGATCTTCCTCCTGTAGGCGAGATCCTATCAAAATCTCGTATAAGAATGTATACAGATCCAGAAACAGTAGAGGAGATTTCACGATTCTTCAAGGAATTAACATCAAAATGTTTCTGTAAACTCAGCTGATTTGTTTCCTGGCTTTCCCTGTTTGGATCTGAAATTGCTCTTTCAGTCCCTTTTATTTTCTAATACTGTTTTTTTTTTTTACTGCGTTAAGAGATTAATAATTTGTTTTTATCCAAAAATTAAAAAACTTAAAAGGGCACAATTATTTTATTTTTTTAACATCATTCATACTATAATTTAGCATATTATGGAAATATTTATACAAAAATAAATTTAACCACCAGATGAAATAATAAACTATAAACAAAAATTGTAAACTATTGTCACAAACCATTGTCATATACAGTATAGCGAATTCGACATTTACATTTCGCTAAATGGTTAGTACAAGAGTAAATGGTTTGAGACTTTTTGTCGATATTCTATGTCCGACTTGGTCATGGACGAATCAGCTAAGATAAGACCCATCGAGTAGCTCGTTTTCACATTCCTAAATTTGATGTTGTTCTGTTTTATTGGCGTCTGCTTTGATGTTCGATATCGCATTTCATGAAAAGAGCAAATGAGCAATCTTATATGAGTATTAGTGTATTATTCACACAAAAATGAATAAACAGTAGTATATAATTAACAATAGAGGAGAGCCTTTTACACTAACGAACCGTAAAGAAAAATAGATACATAAAATAGAATAAGAGAAGTAAAAAAAGAAGAAGAAAGGAGAGGAGTGGCATTTGATGCAGTGTAGAAATAGAAATAAGGAAATGGGTAAGGGGGCTGCTGCCCCTGTGACTGTCCCTTTGGCGATGGCGGTGATGATGGTGGCGACCCTTTTACATCGGAAGAAAGAGGTGGAGGTGGCGGTGTCGACTCAAAATAGTAAAACCGTGGTGGCGGCGGATGGATGACGGTGATCAACGGAGGCGGTGATGAAAGCTGTGGTGGAGAGCGTTTGTGTGGCGGTGGAGGCGGTTGCGAAGAGGATGACGGCAATGAGGGAGACGGAGGTGGTGACGTAGAGGGAGAGGGTTTAGAGGGCGGAGGAGAGCAAATGGTGGGACACGTGGAGCACTCACTGATGCATAGAGGAGCGAGCACATCCGTTTGTTCGGACGGTGATGATGCAACTAGTATGATCATGACCGTGATGATAATGATGAGGCCCATGATGATAACCTAAAAAGTTTTTTCAAAAAAAATTGTGTTTGAGTGGAATGAATGTTCTTTGCTTAGTTTAGTTTGTTGGACGTTTATATAAAATCATCAGGAGAGTTTGATACGAAGATGCTTTCTTGATGGATTGTATTTTGCTGGAAAGTTGAACATTAAATTTGAGAATATCAAAAAGTTAAAAAGAAGCTGTATGTTAAGTTACATACTGTTTTCTTTTTCTTAGGGTAAAGATGCAAACATATTTTACAATTTATAAATGTTAGGTGATATGAAACGACTAAATTTGTTTATATTTGACTATCAAATACAAGCATTGTGCTTACAACAATCAATTTGATTATATATGTAGGATAATATTTTTCTGCTTAGATGACAAAAAAAAATGCTAGGATTTAACACAGGAGTTTGAGGTGAGAGTGGGATGTCAATATACGCGTAAATTGTATAAAAGGATATCTATATGATTTTATTTTATTGAATTATGATTATTCCTTTCTCAATGTATACTCAAAATCCCCATTTTAAGAGGCAACTAAATTCTAGAACTAAAAAGTGCCACACTCTCTCTAAATCTCTTTTTTGTTCTGTCATTGTTCTTTTTATACTTTGCTTCGAAAGTTGGCTTTGTATCAATTTCATTTTTAAAAATATCGGCATTGGATTGATTCTTTCAACTTTAACATTTTCTTATCTTTTTGTTTTTTGCTTTATAATCCCTCTGTTGTTTGGGAACCAAATGGTATTTGTAGTTGTAATCGGGTGTTTTTATATGTTAAAGCGCATATTAATGTCTGGTAACCGCAAATAAACCATTGATTTTTGTTAAATACTTTTCATCGGAGAGCCAGAAAGGTGGAAGTATTATGTTACAGAGATACAATATTGACAAGGGTTAGATTTTAGTTCAGTCATCTCCTCTTCATGGCACTTCACTTACCCCTTTCTTAACTTCCTTTCTTGAGAAGCAAGTAATCTCTCTATTCAGTTCCTTACAAAAGTCTTGAAAAGATTTAAGAAGTATATATGATCTTCTGACCCAGTTGGTTACTTCTTGCATCCTAATGAACAATATAGCATATCGAAAAAGTGTAAGCGATTTAGTAAATTTCAAGACTTTTGTTTAGGGTTTTAAATTGTATCACTCAACATACCTGACTCATTTTCCATCCCCAAGCTTCTTAATCGGACAAGCTCTGGAACTATATCCTTTCCAAGATCTGGTCTGTCTTTCTTTCTTAATTCTGCACATCTTAGACACAGCTTAGCGAAACTTATAGCTTCTTCGACAGGCCAATCAGTCACGACAGGGTCAAGCATTTCCTTGAAAGTTCCTTTATCGATTGCCCTCGACACATGGTGAGCCAGACCCATTGGATTCTTTGCAGTGATGATCTGAAGCAGCATTATCCCTAACGAGTATATGTCTGATTTCGTGGTTAACTTCCCTGTTTGCTGGTACTCCGGGTCTATGTAACAGAATGTTCCTGCCGCTGATGTCATGTGGTATTGCGTGACGGTATTAGCCACCGACGCGGGGACTAACCGAGCTAACCCGACGTCACTGATCTTGCTCACGTAGTTTCTATCTAAGAGTATATTGGCAGGTTTTAGGTCACGGTGAACCAGAGGCTCTGGCTTCGTTTGGTGAAGGAAAGAGAGTGCAGTAGCGATCTCTGCTGCTATTTGGAACCTTTTCCTCCATGAGAGAGGAGGCGAGTTTCCTCTACGAAAGAGTCTGTCCTCTAAGCTCCCGTTTTCCATGAACTCATACACCAAGCACCCATATTCCGGACACGCACCAAGGAGAAGAACCATGTGAGGATGTCTGATGCAACTTAGAACCTCAACTTCCTGGTTAAACTGCTTCTTTCCCTGAGCAGCATCAGGTCTCAAGACTTTAATGGCAACAGGAGTGTGATCGAGCGTACCCTTATAGACTGGTCCATATCCCCCTTCTCCTACTTTTCTGTTGCTGGCAAATCTGTCAGTAGCCTCTTCAATCTCTTCTATAGAGTATCTCCTGTACCGGACATCGTTCTGTACCAAAGCAGTAATCGCACGGTCTTTCTCCTGAGACTCCCTTCTTGCTTTCATCTCTGCTTGCTTCCTTCTCTGTCCTTCTAGTTCCGCCATTCTCTGCGCTTTCTCAGCTGCTTCCATTGCAGCTCTGCACTTGGCCTTCTCCATCTCTGCAACAGCCAGGGCTGCCTCCTCAGCACTCCTAGCTTCCTCAAATCTCCGAGCTTCTTCCATTTTCCACAGACTAAGCTCATTTGCCTACAGAAAAAAATGAGAGCCAGAAAGTATTAGATATGGCAGCAAGAAAACATCTTCTTCATCAGTTAGCTCTGTTACACCAGTAGATATTTCTTACCTTCTTCTTTGCAGTAAGTGCTTCCTTGCAGGCTGAGCTGTACATGTCCATGGTTTGCCTGAGCTCAATCTTTAGCCTTTTCATCTCTGCTTCAATATCTCTCTGCAAATAAGCACCCATTCATACTAATGTCATTTCTTTAACCCGATATATCATCAACTTAATCTATCTACTGTGTTAACATACAGTTCCTTGTGACACTGATTCATCAGAAGAACCAGATGCACCAATGGCATCAAAATTCTGAGCAGTAAGGTCAATGGAGCCCATCGCGAGAGGCCCAACATCCGATTCATCAGAAAACGAACGACGTCCCACGGGGTTCTTTTGACCCTTGGGCGTGTTAAACTCATGATTAAAGTCTAATGATCCATTCGTAGGACTTCTGTGCCTTTCTCGCACAGCTTTGAAGCCGCCATTCTCATGAGGATGCCTCTCTGGAGCTGCGTTTCTTGCATTACGTTGGCCCCTACAATGTCTCAAGAACAGCTGTTTCAAAAAGCCTTGTTGATTGACCAAAACAAAACATGTAAGGAGCAGAAATCACGCTGGTTTATTTATACCTAGGTAAGGGATCTTGTTCAGCAGCATCGGGTAGAATTGGGACATGATTAAATGTAGATGATGATGGTGCACGAGGTGGGACAAGCGTATTGCTGATAGGCCTTTGAGCTGTTCGTGAAGACTGGACTTTGCCTTTGGAGATGACATAGACGGAACAAAACTCCGGGGTTAACTTGAGAATGGAAGCTGCAACGTCATGTGATTTAGTGAACTTGAGAGACCTAGCGAACGGGTTCTTTGTGGATGATCCCAACACGATGTTGTTCACAAGGTTGTTGTTGACGTAATCCAAGATTCCTCTCGCAACGTCGGTATCTTCCAGAATAACCTCCATCATCGAGATCTAGAGAACGCAGACGCAAGAGAAAAAATCAACTTCTCAGGTTTTTTTAATATATGCATAGCAAATGCTCGACGAAATGCTTGAATGAATGAATGAAATCAAACATACCCCTTTTCGCGCACAATACCCTCTGTAAGGAATAAAAAGCTGGTTTATTTCGTCGTCTCCATCTGCAACAACAACAGATATTGGGTTACTATCCAATTTAGAAGATGAAATTGGGTTTTTTTTTTGTTAGAGAACGGAAGATACCTACGGTTTGAATTTTTAAGACGAACATGGACTAGAATCATGTTGGGATTGTTGATCATATTGAAGAGATGATCGACGGCCCAACGAACAGCGTAGTGACTGTTCTTGTCTTTGTCGATGGCGACCACCGTCGAGTTCACTGGCGCGTGCCCATCGTCCGATGAGTAACAAGCCATTTATATCAATTGATCTGCAGAGAATTTCTGGAAAAAAAATTCCCGACAGAATTAAAAAAAATGTAATAATGTTTCAGGTGTCACCAGACCTTTGGTCGTGTCTGGGAACAAGAAGAGAGGAGAGGGAAGAAGAGGAAAGAAGATGGTAAGCTTTCTTCTTCTCTGGTCTCTCTAGCTTTCTCTCCTCTCTTCTTCCTGTTTCAATGGGTGATGCTACAAGACTATTAACCAACTTTCTTCGTTAGAACAAAAATTCAGAGAAATTAGCGGGAGTCAAGATTTATATCAACCATTGTTTTTTAAAATTACTTTTTTAAGGGGATTCTCTATTTCTTCCACTCTTTTCTTTTTTGTGGGTATTAAAACAAAAAAATCTAGAATGCAAATCTTTTTTCTTTCATACGACGAGTTTTTAGTTTTTAGCATGTCTAATTAAATATAATCATTAAGATTGATGAAATCTATTTCTCGCTTCGAGGGGAAAAAAATATCTAATTCTCGCTTGTCGGTTTGCATCTGATCGGTGGGTCCGAAAAGAGAGTGGCTGCCATTGGTGAGTCGCTCGCTGAGTAAGAGCCACTAGGCAAAAACGAGTGAAGCACTTTAAAAGTTTAAAGAAACAAGACTAGCAGCAATATGGAATGCGTGCCGTTTTTACTGACGTAGCATCAAAACATGTCGTTTTTCCCAAAGCACCACAACACAGAGTACAACTACAAACCAACCTTGTTGGCTCAGCACTCACATTCTACACTTACTTTTAATCGAAGCACCAGAATGAAATCTCATCGAGTTAGTACAAATTCTTGTTTTATACATATTCTGCATATATTATATATATGTATATAATGTAAGTTTCTTCTATTGCCTCATATAACATCTGTGATCTAAACGTACAATACATTATGCATAAACCAAAGAATCAAAGTGAGTTTAGTTTATCATATAGGAGGAGAAACTAAAAGAACATTTCCATAGTCTTATTTCTACAGGAAAGAAGTACCAGCGAGTCCATGATGCAACAGATTATGTGAGATAGTATCTCTCGCCTTCATTGCATTCGCCGATCTCAATGCGTTTTCAGGCAAAACCTCATCATCCATCACATCAACCATCAGCTCCCGACCCATCCTCTCTTCTCTCATTTCACATATGTTGTGAAGCACACAGCAAGCGCCCAAAACCGTGGGCAAATCCTGCAGTTTCACTTCAGTCCGCTTCTGCAGACACGCCCACCGTCCTTTTAACCTCCCAAACGCTTCTTTAGCCACTCTCTGCACATCGCTCATCTTCTCGTTAAACGCGTGCTGCGTCCATGTCAAGTTCTGCTGCGTGTATGGAACCAAGACCCAGTCCAATAGCGGGTGACCGTGTCCACCAGCGACCCACAACCCCTTTAAAAGACCTCCATTGTTGGCTCTCTGGTACAGCAATGACTTCTCCAACACCTGATCATCAGGCATTGACCCGGGCCATCCGATGCACAAGTCAGTAAAAACGCCTTGCGGGTTCACAACTGCTTGAATTGTGATTGAGTATGAAGTCTTCTGGTTCCTCTCGGTGTGGCGTTTGTTGAAATAAGCAGCTACACTGATCTTAGGGGCTATGATCGGAATGTGAGTGGTATACATGGAGCCAACGATGTTTGGAATCCCCGAGATGGATTCGAATCTTTCTCTAATGTTTCTAAGAGACTCATCATCTGGCCATTGAAGGTACTTGGGCATTAGAACATCTTTAATCGCTTTACATACCTCCAGAACAAGCTTGTGGCAAGTGGAGATTCCTAAACCGAATTTCTTGGAGACGAGTCGGAGTGGCTCTCCGGTGGCTAATCTCCATATGCAAACCGCGACTCGCTGCCGCACCGGAATCGCGTTTCTCAGGGCGGTGTCTTCTTTCGCCACCGCCGAATTCAGCTCCTCGCAGATTAGTTCAAAGGTCGATTTGGACATTCGAAACGCTTTTTTGAAATCCTCTTCTGGATAATCCAATCGGCTACACTCTTCCCACCACGCCCGGCTCCGATCCTTAACCCATAACCGCCTTTGCTGACCCGAACCCGAACCGCGGACCGATCCGGATCCGGTAATCTCGCTGCTTTCCGCCTCCAGCTCCGAACACTCTGTCGCAGCAGCAGAGACGGAAGCGACGGCGCGTGAGACGCGTGCCTTCTTCCGATTGATCTCGCCGCTTTCCTCAGCGTCGGCGTAGTAATTGTTGATATCGGAGTAGTAATCGGACATGGTTCTCGCCCTTTTCCGGTAATTTGACTGAAAGTCGGACATTTCTCGGCGGGAAGCAGCGTTCCGAGCTTCCTGGTCCTGCTTCTCGTGCTCCTCCATCAAAAGCAAGGAAGTGAAAAACCCCTTGAGCTTTTTGGTGTCGTGGCTTCTCTTGGACGACAACGTCTGGCTCTCTACTTCGCCGTCGAAGACATTACAGACTTCCTCTTCCTCCTCGTCTCCGTCCTCGTCGATTCCTTTCCGGAAAACGGCGGCGGAGGCGGCTTTCATTGAAGTCGTGTTCTTTCACGTTTTTGTGAGTTTGCTTTGAAAAAAGGTCTTTAATTTGGATTGGAGAAGAAGATTTCTTCTTTTGGTTCATAAATAGAAATCTGGAGAAATTTTGGGATGAGACGAACCTTGTGGGGCGAGTGTGAACACGCAAGTTGACTTTACTAGGGCACCTCTTTTTTCTTTTCCAACATTTTTTTAATTCTTATTATTTATTACTCATTTTATTCTTGTTACATTCTTTAGTTTTTCTTTTTGCCAGCAGTACAGAGAAAGCCTGAACCAAAATTTTCCAACGAAGATAATTCAAATTTGGAAGCTAACTATGTGAAATCTGAAGCAAACTTGTTTGATCATGATCGAACCACCGTATCACTCATTTGTTCTTTATAATTTACTTACCAACGTTTTAGTATTTTGTTGTCTATATTTTAAGCATCTTATTATATAATGTTTGTCAAATTAATTAGCGATTTTTGGCCGGCGATTCATAATTTTATAAATTGTAAATGAGAAATTAAGAATCATACACTAGATTCTGCGTGGAGTTGCTAAAATGACGAATTAAAAAAAAACACTTTTGTTGGAAATATTTATATATATGTTGTGCTACTTGACAATGTGAACTAACTATTTCAACAACAAGAAAAAAAAAACAAAATTAGTAGCATTATTTTCACTGGATATATAAACCTTTTTGAAATTAATTGATCAGTTCTAGATAGATGGCTACAAATATTCTATAACAATATATTTACTGTAGAAAAACCTCAAATTAATTGTTAGATGTTCACATTAACTGGGGATTGGTAGCAGTAACTATAATTCTACACAAAAAAAGCATCACACTAGATTGTTATTTCTATTTGCATATTCTAATGAAAGCAATGTAATGGACAACAACAATAACAACCACAGAAATATTTCCCTATATCTTTCTATCACAATCTGGAATAAGACAAGGTTTTGAACTAGTATATATAATGTTTACTGATAGATAGAAAAAAAAATTAAAAGTTAAGATTAGTATGTTGTAAGTTTCTTATAAAGATACTTCTTGTCTCAAAACGGTGACTTTGATTTGAATGCTTAACGTGTATATGTTTTGGCTTTACTCTTAATTTTATTATGTTTCACACAAGACCCAAATGATAGCGATAAAAGATAGCGTGAAGATTAGAATAACAACAAAGAAGATTAGATAGAAAAACATGAACTAGGCTACAAAACTAGATCAAATTAAAATTTCTGTATTCAATATTTATAAATACAAATCGTTTGTGATGATACATCATCATTGTATGTTCGCAAAATATCCCCAAACAAGACCTAGAACGATACACGTATGATTCTCTCTCATCAGATGTTAACGTTCGGTTTAGGAAAAGATGGAGTTTTAGATATGGACATCTCTTTCCACCACTCTTTTATTTTATTTTACTTTGTTAACTTTTGTCAACAACATTTAGTAAACGTTGTTTGTTGTATTATATACACTTGTGGAGTGGGGGTGTTCACACACATATCTTATAGGCGAACCGAATAAACATGTTACTATAATATAATGATTGTACCGGGAAGCTGAAGAGAAAAGAAGTGTGAACACGCCAAGGAAGTATCGGACATTGGTGAATCTTATGTTTGGCGGTGTGGAACGTTAGGTGGCCGATGTAGACTTTTGGTCCCACGCTTTGTTTCTCTCTTTTCTTTCTGTATCTACGCCGATTTTTTAATTGTAAGCCACATTAGTCATTAGGGGATCTCCTAATATTTAAATCTTTATTCAAATAATTTTCTCAATTTACAAATAACTACAGTATGTCATTTTTTACTGAGCTGGAAAAGAGTGAACTCACATTAGTTCTTCATATATATTCTCATAATGTTACACTAGTCGGGGAGCAGCTTACTGATATATACAGGACTTTTGCTCTTTACAATTTATTTTTGGAAAAGGGACTTTGCTCGACTCAATACAAAAATCATAAAAGAAACAAGAGACAGATCTAAAACTAATTTACCCAATTAACTCCCACGCTCTATGATTTTAATTTACAGAGAACTGCACTAAAAGATATTCATATCATGATTTAAGTAAACGATTCATAAAAGCGTTTATGCAAGACTGAAAAAATCGTTAACTATATAGCTTATAATCTATTTGTACTCTTGTTTAATTAAAACGGTACAATCCTTTCCACTTTTGCTAGTTAATTTTATCAAATAGTTTGAGCTAACAAAGATATAATTCGGATTTTAGTTCCGGAGTTTGATCTCAATAACGGTAATGGATTGGGAATATGATATGTTTCTTGAGAATACATATAAAATTGTAGAAATGCGGTGTTTTAGCTGATTAAATTCGGTTTATATCACTCTTTGTGCCTCATTAAATTCTTAGAAAGAGTTCATTCATTTGAAAATCCAACAAGAGGACAGATTAAAAACAGAGGAACAACTTTTATTTCATCTTAGAACACACACGCACGCAGTCTCTCACATTCCGATTACATTACAAAACCCCAAAGATTAAAAAAGACAAGCCACAAATCCAGAAACTCAAGCAACTTGGACCTGAATGGTCTTTGGTTTCTTAGGCTCAGGAGGAGGCAGCTTCTGAACAGTCACCTTCAAAACACCGTCATGGCAAACGGCAGAGATCTTCTCCAGATCAGCGTTCTCCGGCAACTGAAACTTCCTCATAAACTTGCCCATTCTCCTCTCCATCCTCACATACTTCACACCATCGTTCTCCTTGTTCTCTCTCTGCCTCTCTCCACTCACCACAAGCACATTCTCGTTCTCGATCTGCACCTTGATCTCGTCTCCTTTGATTCCAGGCATGTCCACCACGAAGGCGTACGCGTTCGGGTGCTCGATGACGTCAGCCGGCGTAGCCGCCATTGCCTTCGCGTCGCGCATGTAAGCTCTCGAAGGGTTGTTGCGGCTCTTCTCGTTGTGCTCTTCGGGGACTTCGAGCATGTCCTCGAGGATTGAGATTATCGGAAACCTTCCCAAATCCATCGTTCTCTTGCTGTCTTGCGCTTTCTTTGATCTTACTTCTTTGATTTCTTCTGCTTTTGCTTTTTGATCGATGGAGATTGTTTGAGAGTTGTGAGATTTAAATAGGGGTGGAGATGGATATTTCTAGAGAGTTGTAGAGAGAGTGAACGTTTCGGTGTGATATTTTTCATTTTGAAGTGCTTCCGTATTGTTCGAGAAGCGTCTTGATCGTTCTGGTTTTGTGAACAATTATGATCCGGTTTTTGGATAAATGTGGGCCATCTCTAGCTTTAGTCATTATGGTTCTATGTGGGCTTTTAAATTAGAGTACATACTAAGGCCCATTATTTCTGTTTCGGAATATTTTCTCGATGGGAAGGCTTTGATTTATCCGGTTTGGTACGATTTCATTTGAATTTACTATGTGGGCTTTTAGATTAGAGTACATACCAAGGCCCATTGTATTGGTTTCGGAATAACTGTGATTTATCCGGTTTGGTACGATTTCATTTGAATTTACTGTGGACACATGCTTTTTATGGGATGTATATCACTATCATCTACCTGATCACCAGACACGGGCTGAAGTGAAATGAAGTCGGCAGTTTCATCGTCACTCCTCAACTCCAAGTTCCTTTTAAACCCTATTCCTCTTTCTCGTTTCATCTCCCTCAAATCCCTTTTCCTCCCTAAACTCTCTCTGACTCCGATCACTAACCTCCCATCTTCGTCATCCTCCTCAGCTCCTCTAAGATCCATCTCCTCCATGGCTTCCTCTTTCAACCCCGAACAAGCCAGAGTTCCTTCTGCTCTTCCCCTCCCGGCGCCTCCGTTGACCAAAGTTTGCTCTTTCTCTTTTTCGCTCTTTCGACTTTCGATCAATTTTCGTGGTTTGATTGATCTTCGTTTCCTGGGGAAATTGTAGTTCAACATCGGATTGTGTCAGCTATCTGTCACAAGTGACAAAAAGAGGAACATCTCTCACGCGAAGAACGCCATCGAAGAAGCTGCTTCCAAGGGAGCTAAGCTTGTTCTCTTACCCGTCAGTTTTCTTCCTTGGTTTCTCCGTCCTAATCTGCTATATTCACTTTGACATTGGTTTCTGTTAAATTTTGAAAAAAATGTTTTAGTTGCTCATGAATTTGCTTGTTCGTGCCACAAATATGAGTTCTTTGTGAGGTCAATTATATTGTTCTGTAGCTCAAATGTGTACAACTTAAAAGAAGCATAAGCTAGTGAACTCCTCTCACTGGGATTTAAAAACAATCAATGGATATTTTCGTTTCAGGAAATTTGGAACAGTCCGTATTCCAATGATAGTTTCGCAGTTTTTGCGGAAGACATTGATGCAGGTGGAGATGCTTCTCCATCAACTGCAATGCTCTCTGAAGTTTCCAAACGTCTCAACATTACAATCATTGGTGGCTCCATTCCAGAAAGATTTGGGGATCGTCTTTATAACACTTGCTGTATCTTTGGCTCTGATGGTGAGCTGAAAGCTAAGCATCGCAAGGTTCGGCTTTTTTCGAACTTCCATAGAATAAAATAGATGAACTTTACTCTGGTTTAGACCATAGCGTCTCTGTTAAAGGATGCTAATGTCACTTACTAAAATGTTGATTCATAAAGATATTGTCATCAGTTGCTGGGATCTGTCTAATAGACGTCATCAGTAATAAGAATGATTTGTTTTTATAAGTTCTGGCTCTAGTTCTTCCTCCATGAGTCTAAGGATTGTTTTTGATGGTCTTTGGACTTGTGCCTACAGATACATTTATTTGATATAGACATTCCCGGGAAGATTACTTTTATGGAATCAAAAACTCTTACTGCTGGAGAGACACCAACAATCGTTGACACAGGTTTCATTCTGGTTTTGCCAAATATCTTTGCCAGGCTATGCATAAACAAATAATGTAGATTCTTGTATAAACTTATTTCTCTAGTATCTAAAATATAATTGACAATCAGATTTGGGGTCCTCTAAAAGGGTGAAGTGATTAATTTTCATGCTGAGTGATCGTGGAGAAGAGAACTTGTTCACCAATGATATATATATGCTTACAATTTTGCCTTGGGGAAATGTCTTTAATGAGTAATGAGGTCGTAGTAGGGTCCGTTCACATCTCCTCTCACTTTCTAGTACTTAAGAGGAATCTCAAATGCGTTGTAGCACTTGAGAATAATGGTTTTGTTGGTTGTTGCAGATGTGGGGCGTATTGGAATTGGCATCTGCTATGATATCAGGTTTCAGGAGTTAGCTATGATATATGCTGCAAGAGGTGATGAGTCTTTATATTATATGCTTTATCCAAATGGACTTCTAATTTTTGTTCCCCGGGTCCATTAGCATTGTGAAGAAGTTCATCGTCCACATGTTTGCTCTATTAATTTCAGGGGCTCATTTGCTATGCTACCCAGGAGCATTTAACATGACAACTGGACCGCTGCATTGGGAATTACTACAAAGGGCAAGGTACAGTTCACTTAAGTTGCTTGGCTTAGTTAATCATGGTTAAAACCACAACGCTTACTCGATATGTTTTTTTCCATTTCAGGGCTACAGATAATCAGGTACATGAACCAAGTTAAAAAAATAATACTTGTATTGATAGCTCAATGAGAATTACGAGTTTTGAGAGATTTCTTGATAAATCAATTGAAACTTCCATTTCTCTTTGAGATTGTCACTACAAGTGTTTTCTTGTGCTTTCTGGTAGTTTTTACTGTATAGACACACTATCAAAAGTCATGGAGCAGTTGATAGAACTATGTGTGCTACTTTCTCCAGTTATATGTAGCGACATGCTCACCTGCCAGAGACACAGGAGCTGGTTACACTGCTTGGGGCCACTCTACACTCGTCGGGCCTGTAAGCATTAGACCCTTCTTTTTAGGTGTTACTTGATTGATAATATGAAGCTTTAGTTGAGCAATAAACTCGTAAACATGAATATTTAATTTGACAGTTTGGAGAAGTGATAGCAACGACTGAGCATGAGGAGGACATTATCATAGCAGAGATTGATTACTCTATCCTTGATCAACGAAGGTAAATCACAAGAGCACCGTATAACTTTCCTGGTTTTTCTTTAATCCCGTTGATGACCAACGATGTGAACATCTGTTTTTCACCATCTCAGGACAAGCCTTCCATTGAATAAGCAGCGGCGTGGAGATCTCTACCAGCTTGTAGACGTACAGCGCCTGAATTCTGAATGAATGCAGCAGAATTTGTATATCTGAGCTATTGTCTTTAAGAGTGTGTGACTCGAGCACAGTTTGGTTACTTACAACTTCTTGACCTGTCAACTTTGCAGAGATGAAATAAATGAAAAAAACTCGAGCCGTGCGTTTAAATATGAACAAAATAAATATGTTCTGCTTGAGTTAACATCATCTCTCATCCACTTGGCTTGTCGACTATTGAGCTGTGAGCTTTGTGTTGACTGTTTATAAACTTTAATGCCTAATGATTGTAATGGAAATGGGATTAAGTCGCAATCAAAATAACAGAGAATTGCAATTATACATTAGATAGTGTTCTTTTTTTTTCACTAGGATAAGCAAATACGTCAATTTAATTGGAAAACATCTCCTATTTTCTCATTCCGTAACCTTAAATCTCAAATACTTAATTGTAATCTATCATTGCATGCAATAAAGTGTTCTTCTAATAAGAAGAAGAAGAATACAAAAATTGTACTCGAAACTCTTCATCTCATAACCCTCAATTCAAGTAATATGTAATGTAATTGTTTAGATGAGAAGAATGTATATACAATTTAGAAAATTCCTACAATTTTTGAAAATGGATCCAAGTGGATAAATAAAAGATTTGAAAATGATATTACAGAATACTTTGTCAGGCTCTACTAGATTTTGATGATCCGTGGAGGATTTGTTGAATGATATAAATGACCGGACGACAAAATGCAGTTACAAACTTACAAAAAAAGAAAAAAAAAAACATCCACAGTGTGTTCTCGTCTTTGTAGGAAACACGTGGCCCAAGCCTATAGGCTAGAGTGGTCCATCCCTCTGCGAAAGAACAAGTGCCGTACGCGTGTGGGAGAGGAGGCCGCACGTGCGAGGGTCCCATATAGAGAAGAGAAGGAAAAAAAAAACACAACAATGCTTCACGTGGCAGGTCACGTGTGGGAGCCCACAGAGACACAGTTGAGCTATACATTACAGTACACCGCGTGAATCTTTCTTTTCTTTTTATTGTGTCAGCTCTTATTGTCCCTCCCTGACCAGCTGAATCTCTGACTCGCCCGTGCGATTTCTTTCCTTTAACTTCTGTTGTCCCTCACACATCCCTATAAGTCTAAACTGAATAGTTGCATCCATTGCAAGATCCATTTCCATGTTATATTGACTATTGTAAGTTTGTAACCATTTTTTGCTTTTTTTTTTAGTACACATGAGAGAATTATAATCGATGAACACATGTAGTCCAGCTGTTAATGTCATTTATATATAACATATACTGCTGATATAAAAAAAAACGTAAATTTCAAACCAAAATTCAGATGGTGTGTACTGTGTAGTGTGTAGTGTGTATCTGTTTATATGGTGTGTACTGTGTAGTGTAGCTGTTTCATCCAAAATTTCGTCTATTTATATGATGTGTACTTGTGTAGCGTAACTGTTTCATACAAAATTAAAGTATTGCGCTTTTTTTTATCCCCAACACAATATTTTTAAACACGGTAAATAAAACTCAAACACGAGTATTTACGGTGTTCAAACAATCAAACAAGAAGTCATTTTTACATAAGTTTCTGGTGTGTACTATAACGCTTGTTTGATTCAACGGTCTTTTGTATTATTCTAATGTTGTACTAGTATAAATGGTCCAACTAAACTTAGAAACAATAGCTACGGGGGTTTCTTCGAAACTGGATGTGATATCATACATATGATGAAATCATATAACTTAAGATGAAAACATCGGCCGAAGAGTGACAAAGATATAGGATGGAAACAAGAAGACATAAGTGTTGAGGAAATGAGGAACAATGAAGGAACAAGAAAGGAAGGAAGCATGTGAGACTGAAAAAGACGCAAAACAAGTACGGTTCCTTAACCTGTCCTTGTCGACACAACCAATGGGCAAATGTGGGTGTAAGACACACTTTGCTTAAAGTTAAACATATACTATATAACCATTTATTTTAATTAATCAAGACCCTGTTTAATTCTAATCACATCTTTTCCACCTACGATCGAGATCTGTCTAAGACAATTTGAGACAATCTCCGCCATGGTGTGGTATGGCTACATTTTTAATTCGGCTAGTAGTTACGCAACCACAACAATTATATACTTCAGTGAACAAAAAAATGATTCTAAATTTTTTATTCTGCAGCCACAACAATGATATTTCAATGAACGAATTTCAGTGAATACTTCATCAGGGAAAATCAAGGTTTTAATTTGAGATTTATCCATTATGAAATCTCTCATTTCCTCACATTATGAGGAAAATGACATAAAACGGTTAATTGGACAATATATAGTTTAGGTACATGCATACATAAAATAAGATTGAAGAATGCTCTTGTGTGGTCCATATGGTTAGCATACGTGAACATCACGCGCCGAGATCACCACTTATATATAAGTCCTCTCTCTTCCCTCTCGTCTCTCTCATTCGTCGTCTTCTTCTTCTCTCTACAACTTCCGAGAAAACAAAACAGCTAGAGACATAATCCCTCTTTCTCTTCTTTTGTCTCTTCTTCTTCCTAGATCCTCCTTTTTTGTCGAGTTTCTCAGACCAAACCATGCATAGATCCAAAACCCAATCCAGAAACCCGTCATTCTCCTCCACTCTCCTCGATGAAATCTACAATTCCATCGATCCCAAAACCAACAAAACCCAGTCCTTTGCCGGCTCTGTTAACACTTCCAAAAAACAGAGCATCAGCGTAACCAGACCGGTTCCTGACCGGAAAATCCACCGTGATCGGTTCTTCGGCTCTGTGTCGTCTTCCTCTGATTCCAACTCCAGTATTTTCTCATCTTCCGACACCGAACTAAACCACGCTAAGAAGATATCTTCTTCAAGGCCATTATGTTTCGGCCCTTCGAAAACGAAACCAAGAAAAACAGAGGACAAAACTCTGTTCCACCAAAACAGAGCAATCCGTCTGTCCGACGACTACGATTACGCATCCGACGCCCCGAAGATTACGAGATACGACGAGAACTGGGAAAACACGAGAGTGAGACGATCTGCGAAGAGCTCGAGCAATCAAAAGAAACCCAAAACTCCAGCTTCACCTGGAGTGCGAATCGTTAATTTCATCAATTCGCTGTTCAGCAACAACAATTCTAAACAATCCTCAGCGGCGGTTAAGAGTTATCCGAGGAAGATGAGTTACGACGACTCTTCTTTCGCTAAGAAACCAACTGATTACTATGCATCTACTACGTGTTCTTCAGCTTCTTCCTTCTCTAGGTCGTGTCTGAATAAAAGCAACGAGAAATCATCTGACCGTATCAAACGGAGCGTTAGATTTTCGCCGGTCAATGTTGTCGTCCCTGAGAGCAGATCATATGTCGAGAAATCTTCGCTCTACGCAGAAGAAGAAGATTATTTCAGTAACGGTTACATCAGAAAGTCGGTGAACAAGAGTGTGGAAGATGGAGGGAGGAGATCAGTGGAGGAGATTGCGAGAGAGTTTTTGAGAGGTTATCACAAGAATCATGAAAACAGCTTGGTCAAGAATAATGATTACGAAGATTATGAAGATGAGGATGATGATGATGCAAGTGATTCGAGTTCCGATTTGTTTGAGCTGGATTTAGTTGGAAATCATCATAATCTGTACGGAGACGAACTTCCTGTGTATGAAACCACTTTTGCTGGTTTGATCTTGTGAAGGGCTCTTTTTTCTTTTGGTTACTTTTCTTTAGATTTTTGTGTTTTCTAATTTGTAGTCTCATGTGATTGTTAAAAAGAAAAATGAAAAAAAATCTCATGTGATTTTCTCACCTGTGTTCAATTTTGTAACTATATGTCGTGTTATTAAAAAACTGTTTTGTAAGAATTTGATCCAATCATATTTTTCGTAATGTCATTTTACTTTCTAAATGTTGTTATCTTAACTATTTAAATCAAATAAATAAATATAATCATTCAACTATTTCTCTAGTTTTCTACCAAACACAATTGTATAAGTTTTGTTAGTTCTGTTAAATCTTCATATGCTAGTATTAAACTATTTATAAGATGATGTCAACAACAACAACAAAAAAAAAACTAGTTATGAGATTAAAATTCCCATCCATAATATTCTTACAATCACCATGAACTTTTGGGGTTTGGTAATTTTTATCATTATAACATATTTATGAAATGTATTCTTTAGATGCAAAGTATTTAGGACAGTATTCAAACACTATTATTGAGCTTCAAAAAACCTAACATCCCAATATCCTCAAATAGCCATTGTAAAAGTAGAGAATTTTGATTGAGAGGGATCCGTTACGTGCAAAGTAAAATGATTTGTGGAGGATAATATGATCATTGATAAAGTGGTTGATGATCCCAAAGGAAAAAAAAACCCAAGCTACCAACTTTCTCTTTTCTATGTAACTATCACATGCTTTAAATCCAAATTTACATGAATGCAAACACTTTTTTTTATATATAAACTGAGTTTTTCATCTCTTTTTTTCTTTTCTTTTTCAACAGTTTTTTTCATGTCTTTATACATTTGATTTAGCATTTTAGTAAAAACTCATAGATTAAGGCTTGAAATGGAAATCTAGAGCAGCACAACCATAAAATCAAATCTACTTGGTCACCATTCAAAAATATGAAATTTGAGTAATAAAATTGAGCATCAAATATAAAAATCTACGTATATACATAAAGCGTGTTAAATAATCAGACATATGATATATGAAAGTGTTGGTTGTGTATAAAAAGAAAAGAAAGAGGGAGGAGAATCGAGAAATTCGATATCCAAATGAGAAGCAAAGGGGTGATTGAAGCGGATCGTGAATGGACATATTAAAGCTTAATAAAATTTGCAAAAGAAAAGGGTAATTTTAAAATAAAGCAAAGGGGTTGTAGCGATGGATGAACATGAAGTAGTGATGCTTCCATGGGAACAGAGAAAGTCGAGAGCTTTTGCTTTACTTCTCTTTTTTCACTTTGATCATCTTTAAAAGTTCCGATTACAATCTTCTCCATTACTGCTCTCAGC